CAATAAAGCTCTTTTTTCTTTTTCTTTTTATCGTGCTTGCTGTTTTGTTTTTCCTTTGTTAATTAAGCTCATCATTTATTTTATTCATTTGCTTTTATTATTAATTAATTTTATTATTTCATATTTTTTCTTCATTTTTTCCTTCTAATTAACTATTTAATGATATATTTTTTCTTCAATATTTAAAAAGTAGAAATTAAATTGGTGATGAAGGTGCATCAGACTTAGGTTCAGCTTTAGCAAAATGCATTAATCTCTCAAATTTGACACTTAACCTTCAGTAAAAACAGTTTATTTGTTTTGGATTGTGATATTTTTAATTATAAAAACTAATTAAAAACAATAAAGCTCTTTTTTCTTTTTCTTTTTATCGTGCTTGCTGTTTTGTTAATTAAGCTCATCATTTATTTTATTCATTTGCTTTTATTATTAATTAATTTTATTATTTCATATTTTTTCTTCATTTTTTCCTTCTAATTAACTATTTAATGATATATTTTTTCTTCAATATTTAAGAAGTAACAATAAAATTGGTGCAATGAAGGTGCATCAGGCTTAGGTTCAGCTTTAGCAAAATGCATTAATCTCTCAAATTTGACACTTGACCTTTGGTAAAAACAGTTTATTTGTTTTGGATTGTGATATTTTTAATTATAAAAACTAATTAAAAACAATAAAGCTCTTTTTTCTTTTTCTTTTTATCGTGCTTGCTGTTTTGTTAATTAAGCTCATCATTTATTTTATTCATTTGCTTTTATTATTAATTAATTTTATTATTTCATATTTTTTCTTCATTTTTTCCTTCTAATTAACTATTTAATGATATATTTTTTCTTCAATATTTAAAAAGGTCTAATTAAATTGGTGAGGATGGTGCATCAGGCTTAGGTTCAGATTTAGCAAAATGCATTAATCTCTCAAATTTGACACTTATCCTTTGGTAAAAACAGTTTATTTGTTTTGGATTGTGATATTTTTAATTTTAAAAACTAATTAAAAACAATAAAGCTCTTTTTTCTTTTTCTTTTTATCGTGCTTGCTGTTTTGTTTTTTCTTTGTTAATTAAGCTCATCATTTATTTTATTCATTTGCTTTTATTATTAATTAATTTTATTATTTCATATTTTTTCTTCATTTTTTCCTTCTAATTAACTATTTAATGATATATTTTTTCTTCAATATTTAAAAAGGTCTAATTAAATTGGTGATGAAGGTGCATCAGGCTTAGGTTCAGCTTTAGCAAAATGCATTAATCTCTCAAATTTGACACTTAACCTTTGGTAAAAACAGTTTATTTGTTTTGGATTGTGATATTTTTAATTATAAAAACTAATTAAAAACAATAAAGCTCTTTTTTCTTTTTCTTTTTCTTTTTATCGTGCTTGCTGTTTTGTTTTTTCTTTGTTAATTAAGCTCATCATTTATTTTATTCATTTGCTTTTATTATTTATTAATTTTATTATTTCATATTTTTTCTTCATTTTTTCCTTCTAATTAACTATTTAATGATATATTTTTTCTTCAATATTAAAAAAGGTCTAATTAAATTGGTGCAATGGGTGCATCAGGCTTAGGTTCAGCTTTAGCAAAATGCATTAATCTCTCAAATTTGACACTTAACCTTCTGTAAAAACACTTTATTTGTTTTGGATTGTGATATTTTTAATTATAAAAACTAATTAAAAACAATAAAGCTCTTTTTTCTTTTTCTTTTTATAGTGCTTGCTGTTTTGTTTTTCCTTTGTTAATTAAGCTCATCATTTATTTTATTCATTTGCTTTTATTATTAATTAATTTTATTATTTCATATTTTTTCTTCATTTTTTCCTTCTAATTAACTATTTAATGATATATTTTTTCTTCAATATTAAAAAAGGTCTAATTAAATTGGTGATGAAGGTGCATCAGCCTTAGGTTCAGCTTTAGCAAAATGCATTAATCTCTCAAATTTGACACTTTACCTTGAGTAAAAACAGTTTATTTGTTTTGAATTGTGATATTTTAAACTATAAAAATGAATATAAAAAAAATTTCTTTGAATTTATTTGATTTATTTTTTTATCTTTTTTATTGCACTAATATTATTTTATTTATAAATTTAAAGAATAATTTAATTTAAAAGTTTATTCTATTTTTATATTTATTTAAAATTTACACAGATTTATTTTAAAATTTTTAGCTCAAAGAAAATTTCATAAAAATTCAAAGTAAAAGGCAAGTGTCTTAAATCAAAAAGATTAGTTGTCTTTAATATTGATTTCTCATGATAAACAGCTGGTGAAAAAAGGATGAATCAATATAAAATGTTTGAATAATATGATATATTTTATTATTTAATATTTTTAAAAAGTGTTTTTAACCTAAAATATAAATAGATTTATAGTTGTTATTATTGATTTTAAATTTATAAATATCATTCATATTTTTGTAAGTAAATAAATTATTTATTAAAAATAAAAAAATTTAAAAATTAAATTTACTTAAATAAATTAAATCCTCTTAAGCAAACCCTCCGAATTCTCCAAAAACGATAAAATAATTTGGAACTTTTAGTTTAATATATCTTATTAAATTAAAAAAATACCAAGCTTTTATATGCCAGTTATATTATTATCTTAAATATTATCCATGAATCATATTTCTATCCTTTTTTTATTTATCATGATTAATTAATTAGATACCATGATTTAAATAAAACCTTAGGGAGAAATCAAATTTTACTTTTTATTTTAATTTTTGTGATTTAGTAATTTTCGAAAAGTATTTTGAATAATTAATATTTTTTTTAAAAAAATGATTTTACACATAATAATATTAAGCAAAATCAAATTATAAAAATAATATTTAGTATTTTAAATTACAAATTTAAACTAAAAAAAGATACTGATTTAATTAATCAAACTAGTTCATATCAAATCAATCAATTAAATATTATTGTTCCCTTCAACATTTTTAAGACTACTAAGAAGTGCTACATTTCTAATAGATTAATATATATAATTTAAATAAAACTAAATAATTTTATTAATTTTTTATATCCTTATAAGTTACTGTTACTACCTACCTAATTAAAGATTAAAAATACTTAATATGTAAGTTTTTTTACTTTTAAAATTAAAATAATTAAGAATTTTTTGAGCTTTATTTAGCTCAACAAAAATTTAAATTCTAAACAGCTTCAAATATATTTCCATATTTACTTCATGTAAATTTTATTTTTAAAATCAAAATTTATTGAGCAAAATTATTTTTTTAAATTTAATGGTAAATTAATTTACTTGCTGGATACTAAGTAAACAAAATATTAGAATGATCAAAAGTTATTAGATAAATTAATGTGAATAAACTAATGAAAGTAGTTTAAAAGAGTTTGTGGTTAAAATTAAACTTTACATCTTCTCTCTTATTTTGAATTTTATGGTAAGAACCAATCAATGATGGTAGTTAGTTATAATTAATAAATTAATAAATTAAATGAATTATTTTTATTTAATAGTTTTCAAGTATCAAAATTTGAATATCCAAAAATTAATTATTGATTAGTTTTTCAGGATAAAGGTGGTAAAAAAAAGAATATCCATATAAATGGTAATTAAGATAATTAATTATTGAAAATGTTAAGGCATTTGAGAATGTGTATCTTTTTTTAAGAATTTCTTCAGTTAAAGTAATGAAGAAAAAAAGAGAGTGAGTGGAATATTTAATTGATCCAATATTAAATAAAATTGTGATAAAAAATATTACTTAAATTACAATAAACAGAATTATAAAATAATGAAAAGTAAGTTGGAATTTAATACATGCTCAAATTTTTGATTTACTAATTTACTTCTAATTTCCTTTAATAAACCCAAATTAAATAAACTATGGATATTTGAAAAACAAACAAACAAACAAAAAAATAAATAAATATAGAGATAAATACTTATTGATCTTTTGAATAAATATTAATCTGTTTTTATCACTAAATTGATTCACTAAAATCTTTAATTTACTTAGTCAATCAATCAATTAATTAATTAAATAATAAATTAGTTAGATTGATATATTATTAGCAATTAAATAAGATAGATGAAAACAAGAAGGTGCAAAAATATGTTTTTAAATGAAAAATAAAAAAGACTTCTATTATTTTTCATGCCTTATACTGCAATAGTCATAATAATATATCTATTGATGGGGATTATGATGGCGTTTTACTACCAACAAAATGTGTATTTTATTATTAAATATTATAAATAAATATTCTTTGGATAATTAATTCTACTTAATACCTTATAAAAAGTAAAAACCAGCTAGAAGATGTAATTTTATTGAGATATAATCAGTATCTTGATTTCATGAGTATCTCAGAAAAAATGATTATAACTTTTTCGTTTCAAAAAATATCATCTTACTCTCAGACTTTTGGAATACTTAACAAGCGTTTATTAAGTGATGACACTAAATTTAATGATGTAGGTATAATAAATATATTGTATTCTAAACAACTATTAATAAAATGATGTTTGTTTTAAATATATCTACATACAGTTGCATGGGATGATAAAAGCTTAGAAAGATTCTCATAAAATCAGAATAAATCTAATTATTTACTATTAAGTTAAAGTTAACTCAAAGATTATTGCTAACCTATAGAACTTTGTTAATAAAACTAGACATGTATTAATAGCTTTAACAACTATCGATTATAGTAAAATTACATGGATGACAACATTTAATATAGTAAACTTCTTTTTTTCTTTAATTATAAACTTATTTTTTTTGTTAACTTCTCAAGAAAAAGCACAATTTTCAAGCTGGTCGAGCTCGATGTATATAGATTGGGATGATCTTGCTGCAGCATAAAAAGAATATTTAATTAAAATGAATTTACAATAAACTTTTTGGTAATCTTATATAATAAATTAAAAGTATGATTTTATTTAATCTATAAGGATATACACTGCAAGACAATCAGATGGAATATATTATCAAATACTTTCAGAGTAAATTATATTTTTAACAAATTTAATTGCTATTGTAATAATTTTATTTTATAAATGCAAATTAAGGAGTTACTTATTGGCATCTAGTTTTTCTTAAAATACTTATTACGGAGGACCTTTTGCTTGTGTGAAGCGTAACGGACGCTATCCTGAATATGCTTTCACAAGTACTGATTAGTTCTATGGATTTCAATATTAAAATTAACATATTTAAACTTGTGGAAACAGCACATCTCCATGCTCTTGTCCTTACTTTAATTAAAAAAGACTTTTACCTATTGAATGGAGATGCAGACCTTGGTATTAGGAAGCGAATGATACTTTTTATATGTAAAAAATTAAAACTTTATGATTCAATATATTTTTTTTTAAATAATAAAAAGTAAATTTTCTTAGCCATACATTGACTAGGGATTGAAAACTGTAGCATCTACTTCAACATTTAAAATAGTTAAATCATAGAAAAATACTTATTCAATACAAGATGAACTAAATTACTAGTAAGATGCTGTATAGGCGATGGATTTATACCTATAAAACATCTAAACTAGATTTTTGTAAAATTTCGAAGATGAAGAATATTCTTATTTAGTATCAACTAATCCAAGCAAAAATTCAACAGATTACACTCCGTTAATTATGGCTCATCCTAGTATGAATATTAGTAAATATAAAAATTATTTATTACAAAGACTAAATATTTAATTTAATAATATTCATTTTTGATATTAGTCAACTCAAATTAATTAATTTTAGCTTTAATAATATTTAATTTTTGTTTATTTCCTATTATTTAAATTAAATTAATTTAATTCATTCTAGAATTTTATGAGAAATTAATTAACTTTAAATTAAAAATAGGTACACAATAAAATATTTATGATGTAGAATTCTAAAATGAATAAAGCAATGACAATGATAAGTATATGTATGCAAATTAAACTAGCTTTCTAAGCGAAATCTTTACTATTGAAAATTCATGTAAAGAATTGATTCAAATGAATAACAGCTACATAAGAACTATTGTAAAGGATGGATAATAGTATTTAACAAGGTTTTCACCTATTTTCGTATGCTATGGAAATTTATATGAACAATATAGCAGTAAAGTTGCTTACTATGTTAAATCAATTTCGTATTAAAAAAGAGATAAAAGTACAAAGGAAGTTTCTTAAATGATGGAATTTATGGTCAAAACAATATTTATTTTGGTTATTGTAGCTATTTTATTTATAAGCATTATTTTTTTCATTTTGCTAAAATATTTTCTAAAGCATAATTTCGAAATTCCAATAGCCATAGTAAGTAAAGTTATTTAAGAAGCTGATTGTGAAAGGTAAAGTTTATTTTTATTATTCATTTATTTAGTTAGTTATCGCTGTTTAGATTTAGATTTATATATTTTATAAAAGCATTTATATTCTTAATACTAAGATTGAAAGTGGTTAGCTGAAAACTTCATTGGAATTGAAAAACTTGATCTTCACAATTAACAAAGTCATATTATAATTTTAAGAAAAAATTAACAAAAAATTATAAAATAAAGAAGATAACTTCAGTCAAATTTAAAAGAAATACTTAAAGTCTATAAATACTTTTTATACTTTTTCACATAAGACAGGATTAGGAATGTGGTAATTAATGCTTTTATTTATTTATTTAATTTTATTTAAAACTTTATAGAAAGGAATTTTTTATTTTAAATTAAAAATTATTTAAGTTTTAATAATATTTTATTGAAAAAACAAATTAATTTAATAAATATTTTGTTAATATAGCTTAAATAATCTTTCAGTATTATACATGCTATAAAAGAACTATTAAAAAGCAATTGATTTCATGAATATTGCAAATCTAATTACTAACTAGATTTTTGAAGAAAACACTTAATCCTTAATGTAAGAAAGGAGTTTTAGCGTATTTGAAGCCATAAAATATATTCTTTTATAACCTGAAAAAGAAGAGAAAATAAACTTTTTTAAAATATATTCTTGTAGAAAATATTAATTTGCAAACATATTATACCTTTATTTAAAAAAGTCTTACAAATAAAATAGCAAAAATTAATAGCAATTAGATGTAAGCAATTTAGAGAACGAAATTTAGCTTTAATTTAATCGATAAACTATTTTTGAACGTTATTAAACTAATTATTCAAAAGCCAGTATCTAAACTATAGACTCGATTATATCAAATAAACTTTATCTAGATGATTATGATGATATAAATGAAATTAAAGGATTCGATAAACAATCCATTTCTTGTAACGATGATAAATAAGTTTTGATATAGTATTCTATGTAATTAATAAGAGAAGGAAATGATATTTTATAAATCTTTTCTCAAAATAAAGCTGTTAACATTATAAAAAATGACATAAATAGATTTTTGATGTATAAAGTCTTATTTCTTTTCCTTTCAATATAATTTTAACTTCTATAAGAAAATAATATTAAATTTATCATTATAAAAGAGCTACTTATTTAGATAAAAAAGTTGATATTCTATAAATATAATAATTAATATCATGATTGTAAAAATTTACAAAAAATATTTTAATAGAAATATTTCTACTACAAGGGCTTGATGTATTTTAAGAAACTAAAATACACTAAATCTCTAAGTTTCATAATCAAAAGTTTAAATTTTAACTTTTTAACATAAATTAATTCAAAAAATCGAATATCTTTCCTGTAATTGCCACCATTTTAAATTTATGATTCTTATATCTCGTATAAGTCTCTAAAGCTTCTTTGCGAAATAATTAAGATTAATAGTATCGAATTGCAAGAATCTTAATTGAATTAAATAAAATAAGATTAAGAAATGCTTAAATAAATATCTTCTTAATAATAAAAAAGTAAATTTTTGCTTTTATTTTATTAATAAATTTTAATTATTTTTTACTAAAAAATAGATTAATTGCATTTTTTTGAAATATTCTTTCAAAATGCAAGCAAAAAATGAGTTTAAATTAAACTAATTAAAAATAGTAATAAAATCAAAATAAAATTAAGGAGTAATTCTTACTATTATCATTTTTTTATAACAAAAATATAATTTTAAATCATAATTTAAATTGTAAAAAATCAATTTAATATTAAATATGTAATCTTACTTGGTGTTTATGATCAATTGCTAAAAGGCTTCAGATTATTTTCAATTAAGTTAATAAATAAAAATTAATTTTCTTGAGTTTTGACTTTTATATTTTTAATTTTTGTCTTTATTTTATATAGCATTAAAAATAAATGATAAAAGCTGAAAATTTCTATTATAAATAAATTAAGTTTTTTAAATTTCGAAAATATGACTCAGACAAACAGAAATAATATTTAATTTTTTATTTAATTTGAATATTAAAAAATTTATTGATGCTATAATCATTGAATACCTATCTAACTGAACCAGAAAAAAATTTTGATAGTTTGATAAACATTTTTTATTAATTAAATTAAAAGAATTTCAAAGTATTTTTAAATTTTGCTTATCAATTACTTAATTATTTTAATGTTTAATGCCTATTTCGAGAATAAAAATGTTAAAATTTTCATAAAGTTTATTATTATATTAATTTTAAATGATTAATTAGATAAGAATTTAATAACTTAAAGGTTGAATTTTATAAGTTAAGCAAACTGGTCCACTAAATTGATATATTATTTTTTATAATTTCTTTTATTGGCTATCTTCTTTTAATTAAAACTTCTTAATATTAAATTGAATGTTGGTATTTAATCAATTAAAAAAATACATTCTCTTTAATTAAATGTGCTTACATTATTTTTATAAATAACGATTAAGAAAACAAACTAATTTATTATTAAGACAAAAAATATGTGCAAAAACATATTTATTAATGAAAAGTAAAAAAGGCTTTTATAAATATTCATCCCTTATACAATCATTGTAATTTTAGGATCTTTAGTTATGGGTGTTATGATTATCTTTTACTACCAGTAGAATGCGTAATATCTCTCTTTTTTGTTAAGTAATTTGACTAAAAATTCTACTTAATAAACATTAACAAAATAGGAAAAATTAACTCCAAGATTTAATATTTTTGAGGTATAATAACTATCTAGACTTCATGAGCATCTCTGAAAAAGTTCTTATTACACTTTCTTTCCAAAAAATATCTTCATATTCTCAAAATTTTGGAATGATTAATAAGCATTTAATCAATGATGACTATAATTTTAATAGTTTAGGTAAAAAATAAATAATAGTAATAGTCATTATTTTGCTAATTCAATATGTAAAAATAAAAATTCTAGTTGCATGGGATGACAGAAGCACTGAAAGGTTTTCGTAAAACTAGAAAAAACCTAATTTTTTACTTGAAAATCACTATTAACTTAAAGACTATTGTCAGCCAATAGAGCTTTGCAAACAAAATTAAACTTGTATTGATAACTATGATAATTATTTGTTATAGCTTAACTATCTTGATGATGATGTATAATATGGTATTTTTATTAAATACCTTTGCTTAAATTATTATATAATTTATTAATTATAAATATTTAAAAAGTAAAAGCGTAGTTTTCAAGTTGGTCAAATGCTTTGTAAATAGATTGGGAAGACTTAGCTATAGAATAAAAATAATACATGATTAAAGCTAATTTATAATAAATATTTTGGTAAACGTATTTTATAAACTAAAATTAAGATATAATTTAAACTGTTAGAATATATTCAGTAAGGCAATTAGATGGACTATTTTATTAAGTTTTTTCTGAGTAATTAATTAAGTTTCGAGTTTGGAATCATTTATTTATTTATTTTTTATTAAATTTTATAATATTTAGGAGTGTAATAACGGCTATTAGTGTGTTAAATAATACATAATTTGGAGGTCCATTTACTTGCACCAAGGTTAACGGAAGCTATCCTGAATATATTTATAGAAGTACTGACTAATTTGATGGTTTTTTATATAAAGATCATACCTTAAAACCTTGTGGAAATAGTACTTCTCCATGTTCATGTCCTTATTTTAATTAAAAAAGGCTTTTACCTCTTGATTGGAGATGTAGACCATGGTATCAAGATGCCAATAACAGTTTTTATAAGTAAATCTTTAAATATACACTTACTTCTATATCAAATAATATTTTAAATAGCTAATTTTCATAGCCGTATATAGATTATGGAATGCATACAATAGCTTTAACATCAACTTTTAAAGTAGTTAGACCCTAAAATTAAAAAATTTCTATACAAGATGAATTAAATTACTAATAAGATGGTGTATAAGCTATTGATTTAAACTTATAGAATATCTAAATTAGATTTTTGTAAAACTATGATGATGAAGAATACTCTTATTTAATATCAACTAACCCAAGCAAAAACTCAACAGACTATATTCCCTCCATAATGGCTCATCCTCGTATGAATATTAGTAAATTAGTTATTAAATTTCAAATAATTTAGAATGCAAATTTGTTAATTTTTATATTTTAATAAATTTACAAATCATTTTAAATATATTAAATATCTTTAAATGAATGAATGAATGATAGGTATTCAGCAAAATATTTATGACATAGAATTCTAAAATGAAGAATATATGAACTATGAGAAGTAGATGTATGAAAATTAGACAAGCTTTTTAAGGGATGAGTTCACTATTGGAAATTCATGTAAACAACTTTTTCAAGCTAATTTAAGTGAGATAAGAACAATCATTAAAAATAATTAATAATATTTAACGAGGTTTACTCCCATTTTTATATGCTATGGAGATTTTAATGAATAATACAACAATAAAGTGGCTTACTACGTTAAGTCAATTTCCTACAGGAAAAAAGATTAAAATATTTAGGAAGTATCTTAAATGATGGAAATTATGGTAAAAACAATCTTCATCTTCATGTTTTTAGTTATTGTTTTTATTATTTTAGTCTTTTTTGTGCTTTTAAAATATTTTCTAAAACACAACTTTGAAATACCGATAGCAATAGTTAGCAAAGTTATTTAAGAAGCTGATTGTGAAAGGTAAACAAACAGAATTTATTTATTTATTTATTAATGTTGCTCTTTAATTTAAATAAACATTTATTTATAAAATACAAGCATTTACATTTTAAATACAAAAATCGAAAAAGGTGAACTGAAAACTTCTTTAGAGTTGAAAAACTTAATTATCACAATAAACAAGGTCATTTTGAAATTTTAAGAAAAGGTTGACAAAAAATTGTAAAATAAAGAAGATAATCTCAATTAAATTTAAAAGAAGTATTTTAAATCAATCAATACCTTTTATGCCTTTTCACACAAAACAGGTTTAGGAATGTGGTAAAATATTAATTAGCTTATTTCTTATTTCTTTAATGTTAAGATTTTAATAGTTGATAAACTAGCTTTTCAATAATACATTTATTATGCAACTATTTAAATTAAAATTAAAAAAAAGAAAATAGAAATTCATAATTTGAAAAAAATACAAAAGAAATTTCTTTAAATTGCTTAAAAATACTTTAAAATTATTAATAAAATAAATTAATAAATTAAGTTTATTTTTAAAATTTCTTAATAGCTTAAATAACTTATCTGTGCTTTATATGCTTTAGAAGAGTTACAAAAAAGCATTTTACTATATGAATCTTGCAAACAACATTAGTAACTAAATTTTTGAAGAATATACACAGTCATTGATAAAAGAAAATAACCTCAGTATATTTTAGGCTATACAATTTATTCATTCTTAGTAATAATCAGAACAAAAATTAAATTTTCTTTAAATATATTCTTGTAGAAAATTTTAATTAGCAAATATCTTATATTTATATCTAAAGTAGTCTAATAAGTAAGTTTATAAAATTTAAGAAACATAAGATTTAAGTCCTATAGCAGCTTAAAATAATTATTTTTAAACCAAACGATAAACTACTATCGATCTAAATTAAACAAATTATACCAAAATAAGCTTTTGTGGAGTTTAAACAAGAGAATCATTTCATTTAAACAAACACTTTGTTGATGAGCTTGATTAAGTAAATGAAATAAATAAGCTTGATGATTCAAATATTTTAAATAATGATGAAAAATAAGCCTTAGTGTAATTTTCTAAGCAACTCATTAAAGAGGGAAATATGATTTTCTCAATTATTTCATAAACTAAAACAATAAATGAAAATATCAGAAATAAATTTATTTTATACAAAGCCTTATCTCTATTACTCTCAATTAAAATTTAACTGTTAGAAGAAAATCATTTAAAACGTATAATTATTAAAGAATTGTTCTATTTAATGAAAAAACTAGTATTTACAAATTATAAAAATCAATTAGATTATTATAAGTAGCTGTAAATAATACTTTAGTAGAAGTATTATTACTATAAAGCTCTATTTTACTATAAAATATTCAAATACAAAAAAGCACTGCGTTTGATTATAAAAAGTTTAAATTATAAATAAATAACCTATGTTAACAAATACTATGAAACAATTTCTGTTAATTAATCTTCTGCTCAATTCTATGACTCTTAAGTTGCTTATAAAGCACTTAAACTGCTTAAAAATATCATTAAAGTTGCTAATATTAAACTGCTTTCAAAATAATAAACATTAATCAAGTAAGATATGCATGTACTTAAATAAATGTCCTTATCAACTTAAAAAAGTAAATTATTAGTTTATTTAAAATCTTAAATAATTTTTTTTTAAATAAATAGATTAGTTGCATTTTTTTGAGGTTTTTTTTGAAAGTAATTACCAGGAAAAATGAATAAATTGCTTTAAAAATATATAGCAAACTCCAAAATAATAAACAATTTAATCTTATGAAAATCTGTTTACTTTTTAATAATTTCCCATTCACTAATTCCTTAATAATTTAATCAATTAAATTAAATAACTTAGTAAAATATTTTAATCTTTTTATTTTTCACTTTATTGTTAAATTATAAATTTGATAATCTATCTTTCTATCTAATTATCTATCTAACTAATTATAATATATCTATCTAAATATCTAATTATTTATTTCATGGTTTTAAATTACAAAATAAAATATTTTTTTAGAAAATTGTTAATTAAATAATTTTTATTTAGATATAAAAATATTTTATTTTTATCAATTTTCAAAAAAAATTTAGATATGAAGTAGAAGAAAAAAAAATATTTATTCAAGTTGAAAGAGATGAAGCATTTTGACAAATAAAGAAAGATATTGGCAATTATAAAATTTATGACATTAAATTTGAAGTTTTTATTAAAATAGCAGTTAGTTAGTTAGTTAGATAGATAGCTCGTCAATTTACTTTTTATTATTTATATAATAAAAAGTAATAAAATAAATATAATTTGAACAAAAATAATAGCTTTAAAATTTGGTTCTACTTTATATTCATATATTAAACAAGCATGAAATTAAGTGAAGAAAAAAAGAGACTTTTTAAAGTTTTGCTTCCATATGTGATTAATCTTATACTTGGTAGTTTATTATTATCAATGCTAGTGCTTTATTATTGTTAATTTAAACTGTAAGCAATATTTTTTCGATAATTTCATCTTATATTTATTTTAAATAGAGAGGATTAACTTAAAGATTTTGTTTTGTAAAGATATTATGAGTATTTGGGTTTCATGAGTTATTCTGAAAAAATATTTTTAACCCTATAATACTAAAAAATAACATCACTGAACTAAAAGATGGGAATATTAACTAAAAACCTGATGAGCGATTTATATAAATTTGATGATATAGGTATTAATGAAAATCCTTTTATAGATAAGTAAATAGATATTTAATATTTTTTTTCTAAAATTTGAATAGTTGCATGGGATGATAAAGTTAGAGAAAGATATTCTTTTGGATATGATAAACCCAATTTTTTATTACTAAGTAGCCTCGAATTATAGGATTTTTGTAAATCTAAATTGCTATGTGGAAAAAATTAGACATGTCTTAATTAATACAATTCCTTTTCTTTATAATACAATTATATGAATGATTAAGTGTTATATGGTAATTTTTTTGAAAATAAAATTGAAGATTTACCAGGATTATTTTAACAAATCCTGTTTTAAAGAAATATTTTTGTTAAACAGTAAAAAATATTTTAAATTAAAAAAATAAAATAAATTATATTAATTAATTTAAACAGAAAAAGCTTAATATTCTACTTATTAATATCCGCTTTCTCTAGGGTGGTAGAATTTAACAACTTCTTAAAAAGAATATCTTATAAAAATGGATTTAAATAGAATTTTTGTATAAACTATTGTAATAAATTAATCATAAGAAGATATCATTTTACCAAATTTAATATACTCAGCTAATGAATAAGATGGAATATTTTACACTATCTTCTCAATGTAATTAATTTATTAACTTTATTTCCATGATCTAATTTTCATAGAAAAAATTTATTTATTTATTTATTTAATTTTAGGAATTTTTTGATGATGTTTTCATAAATAAATAACTAAAAATACGGAGGGCCATTTTCATGTGATTTAGTGAATGGAAACTATTAATAATATAAATATACTAATGTAAATTAATTTGATGGATTTTAGTATTAAGATTCTTTTGGAAATATATGTGGAGATGCTACAAATAAATGCACTTAATGCTCTTACTATAATTTGAAAAGAATATTTTCAGTTGAATGGAGGTGTCGCCCTTGGTACTAATAGTCATAAAATTAGTTTTATATGTAAAGATTCTTTGTTTAAATTTATTCTTCAATAACCAAATTCTATTTTTTAATCAATGTTTACTAACATCTATTTTATATAATTTAAAGTTTGTTTGGACAGCCATATATAAGTATTAATCCTAATATAGTCGGCTCAACTATTACATTTAAAGTAGTTATAGATAATTAAAAAATTAAATCTATTAAAGATGAATATAGCTATAAATAAGATGCTGTAGTTGCTACAGACATAGACTTAACTCTTATTTTAAATAGATATTAATAAAATAAAGACCTTAATATTGAGTATTCTTATTTGATTTCTACAAACCCCTCTTCTAATTCCACTGAATATTCACCATTAGTCATAGCTCATCCTATGATGAATATAAGTATATTTTTTATTTAAATTTTATTTTCTTATATTCTTTTATTTTGAACTTAATTTTGATTCTTATTAATTAATATTAATAAAAATTTGTTTAAATTTAAAAGCTAATCTTTAAACAGTGTATGATGTTGAGTTTTATAACTCCACAAATAAAGAAAATGAGATTTATTTATTTAAAAATTAAACATCGTTTTTAAATGATACCTTTCAAACTTACTAGAATTGTTCCTTTCAAATGTTATTTAATAATAGTTAAATTAGGATAATTACAAAAAATAATATTAAATATTTAACAATATTCACACCTATTTTTATATGCTTTGGTACAATATATGAGCAAGCTAGCAACATTAATTCATATTATGTTAAAGCTGTCTCACTTTAACAAATGGACTAAGATACATATTAAGTAAACTAAATGCAAGAAATTATGGTTAAAACTATTTTTATAATATATTCTACTTTGGTAGTGATAATATTAGTTCTTTTTTATTTTCTCACTAAAAGTTTTCTATTTTATAATTTTGAAATTCCTATTTAAATATTAACATAATTCATTTAAAATGCTGATAGTCAAAGGTAAAAAATATTTTTGTTCTTAATTTATTTTATTTAATTATTTTATAATTTGATAAAAAAAAGCATATTTATTTTTTACCAAAAAATAAATAAAAAAGAACTTAAAACATCTTAGGAACTTAAGAACTTAATATTAGCTATCAACAATGTCGTACTTAATCTTTAAGAAAAAGTTAAGTCAAAATTTTAAAATCAAGAATCAGATTAATCATACTTGGATATTTAAACAGCTCTTTCTTAGTAACTTATTACATTCTAAGCATTTTCTCATTTAACTGGTATTGGGTTATGGTAAGCTTCAAAACTTCTTGATAAATATATATAATTATTTTATTTTAAAATTTATAAAAATAGCTTGAATAATATGTCTATCATAAATATGTTTCAAAAAAATCTGAAACAAGGATTGTAGTATATGAACTTATCAAATAGGATAAGCACTTAAATGCTTTAGGAAGCAGTTAAACCACATATTTAAAAATATAAAATAAACTAAAATTAAGCTATTTAAATTTTAAGTAGAAATAAGCACTATATTAACTTTCTCAAAATTTGTGCTTGCAGAAAATATTAATTAGCAAATTTATTATACCATTATTCTAAAAGTATTTAGAATGGTAATAAAAACAAAAATGATAGTGAAAGCAAATAATTAGTCAAGTTTTTCAGAAAAAAGTTAAGCAAAGAAGCTAAAACATTTGATTTTACAAATGTTGAAAATTAGCAGATATTTTTAAAAGAATCATTTTACTATTCAAACAAATACTAAGATAAACAGAATTTTATACTATTTTAAAACAACAAAACAAAAGAATAAGTTACCATTTAATAAGATGAGTTCATAAAAATATAAATTATTTAAGCCAAAGATTTGATTTATGAAGGAAATACCATATTTTAAATACTCTCTTAATCATTTATAATAAATTAACTGAAAAAAAATAAGTTATATTTATATTAGGCTTTAAGCTTAATGCTTCTTATAAAAATATATCTGATGAATTAAGATGAGCAAAGACATACTTTGATTGAATAAATACTTTTTTATATCAAAGAAATACTTTTTGTAAATTATGATTTGTCAAAGACAGATTAAAATCTGTTAGCTATATTAAAATAAAATTACTATTATCATAAAAGCTTATTCTATTTCATATAGTTAAATTTTTAAAAATCATTAAAATATAATCTATATAGCCTAAATTATAGATTTCCTTATTTATAAAATGATTATCCCTATTTTTTAGATAAAATAGATCATAATTTTAATAATATTTATGATCCTTATATAGCATGTAAGTCTCTTAAATTACTTCAAAAAATAATAAGTAGTGATAATATATAATTCAATCAAGTTTTATTAATTAAAATTAAAGATGACATCAATAATTTAAAAAGTTAGTACAAAAATAAATTTACAAGTAAATAAATTTATTTTTTTAATTTTAATTATTTTATTTTTTTTCTTTTTTAATAGATGAATTAAATTTTTATGAAGTTTTCTATGAAGACTAATAAGAGAAAATAGAAATTTGAATAAACTTCAAATTTTGTTATGATAAATTTAAAATCAATTATTTAAAATAATAAAAATATTAAAGATATCTTTGAAATATTTTTGTAAATTTTTTTGTTAATTTATATTAGTGTATTTTATCCTTAATTAAGATTAAAAATAATTTTTAAAAACTCTGTCCTTTGATCTTTATAAAAAATTATTTAATTTTTAATAATTTCCCATTCACTAACTCACTAAATACTTAATGTTTATATTATTTAGACTTAACAACTTAATAAAACATTTTATCTCTTTTTTTTCACTTTTTTGTTCAATTATGAATTTGATAAACTATCTATCTAATTAACTAATTATAAATATATCTACCTAGATATCTATCTATCTATGTATTTATTTATTTATTTATTTATTTATGAAATTGTATAAATAATTATATTTGATGGTTATTAATTATAAATTAAAGGTTTTTTTAAAACAAAATTATTTTATGTTTATAAATGATTCAAAAAAATTAAGGAATAGAAATAAAATAAATATTAATTAATTGAATTTGAATGAGATGATATTTTTTGATAAATAAAGATATTCAAAAATATAAAATTTTAGAAATTAAATTTTTGGTTTTTATAAAAGAAGTAGTTAGTTATCAAGCAGGTTGAATAATTTACTTTTTTTTATTAAATAATAATTAATAAAGTAATAAATGAAATATTATTTGAAAAGATAATAACTTCAAACATTGGTTCTACTTTATATTCAAATATTAAATAAGCATGAAATTTAGTGAAGAAAAAAAGAGACTTTTTAAAGTTTTGCTCCCATATATTATTGAACTTATTCTTGGGAGTCTATTACTATCAATGCTAACGCTCTATTATTATTAATTTAAATTGTAAGCATTCTCTTTATCATAATTTTATCTCATATTTATTTAAAATAGAGAGGATTAACTTAAAGACTTTGTTTTGTAAAGATATTATGAGTATTTATTTGGGTTTTATGAGTTATTCAGAAAAAATATTTTTAACCCTATAGTACTAAAAAATAACATCATTGAATTAAAGGATGGGAATATTAACTAATATCCTGATGAGCGATTTATATAAATTTGAAGACTTAAGTATAAATGATAATCCATAGTTAATAGATATATAATCAATATTTTTTTCAAAATTTAAATAGTTGCATGGGATGATAAAGTTAGAGAAAGATACTCTTTTGGAAATGATAAACCCAATTTTTTATTACAAAGTAGCCTCGAATTGTAAGATTTTTGTAAATCTAAAATACTATGTGGGAAAAATTAGACATGTCTTAACACATACAGATCCTTTCCTTTATAATTCAATTATATGAATGATAAAGTGCAATATGGTATATTTTTAATAAATTTAATTTAATATTCACAAAGATTATTTTAACAAATCCTGTTTTAAAGAATTTTTCAGCTAAACAGTATAAAAAATATTTTAAACTTTAAGAAAAAAATAAATTAAATTAATTTATTTTAATCAGAAAAAGCTTAATATTCTACTTTTTAATATTCTCTATCTCTAGGGTAGTAGAATTTAACAACTTCTCAAAAAGAATATCTTATAAAAATGGATTTAAATAGAATTTTTATATACACTATTATAATAAATTAATCATAGGAAGATATCATTTTTCCAAATTTAATTAGCTAGAGAGTAAGATGGATTATATTACCAAATATTCTCAATGTAAATCACTCACTAACTTACTTTATTTTCATAAACTACTTTTCAATAATAATCATAGAATATTTATTTATTTATCAATCTAATTTTAGGAACTTTTTGATAATGTTTCCTTAAATAAACAATTAAAAATATGGAGGACCATTTTCATGTGATTTAGTGAATGGATAATATTAATAATATAAATATACTAATGTATCAAAAAATATTATTATTTAAAATGAGTAATTAAAAATAATAAAAATATTAAAATCTTTGAAATATTTTTGTAAATTTATTTTGTTAATTTACATCAACGTATATTATCCTTAATTAAAATCTATTTTATTTAACTTAAAAAATTTATTATGCAAAAATATTTATTTTTATAATTTTATTCACCAGAATATTTTAAATATTATAAACAAAATTCATATGTTAACCATTCATTATCATTGTTATAATTAAAAGTTTATAATATAAACAAATTACCTATGTTAACTAATACTATGAAACCATTTCTGTTAACCAACCTTCTGCTCGATTCTATGAAACAATAAAATTTAATTAATTAATATATGCAATTACTTACTTAAATAGATGTCCTTATCAACTTAAAAAAGTCAATTATTAATTTATTTAAAAGTTTAAATATAATTTTATTTAAAAAAAATAGATTAGTTGAATTTTTTGAGGTATTTTTTGAAAGCAAAAACCAAGAAAAATGAATAAATTGCTTTAAAAATATCTAGCATACACCAATAGAAGAAGCAGTTTAATCTGATGAGCATTTATTTAATTTTTATTAATTTTCGAATTGCTAACCTTATTAATTATATCAATATGATAAAACTTAGTAAAATATTTTAACTTTTTTTGGTTTTCACTTATTTGTAAATTATAAGTTATCTATGCAACTAACTAATTATAAATATATCTATTTATATACTTATGAAATTGTATCAATAAATTTATTTCATGGTTTTTAATTACAAAATAAAAGCTTTTTTACAAAATGATTCTCTAAACTAAATCATTTTTTACAGATATAAAAATATTTTATTTATTCAATATAAAAAAAAAATAATATTTATAATTAATTATTAGAAATAAAATAGATATTTATTCAATTTGAAAGAGATGACATTTTTTTACAGATAAAGAAAGATATTGATTGAATTTATGAAATTAAATTTTAGGTTTTTATTAAAAAAGTAGTTAGTTATTTAGATAGATAGTTAGATAGCTGATCAATTTACTTTTTGTTTATTAAGTAATAAATTTAATATAATTAAAAAATAAAAACTTTAAATTTTGATTCTACTTTGATTCAAATAGCAAATAAGTATGAAATTAAGTGAAGAAAAAAAGAGACTTTTTAAAGTTTTGCTTCCATATATAATTAATCTTATACTTGGCAGTCTGTTATTATCAATTCTAATGCTTTATTATTATTAATTTAAACTGTAAACATTTTCTTTTCCACAATTTTATCTAATATTTATTTTAAATAGAGAGGATTAACTTAAAGACTTTGTTTTATAAAGATATTATGAGTATTTGGGTTTTATGAGCTATTCAGAAAAAATATTTTTAACCCTATAGTACTAAAAAATAACATAATTGAATTAAAGGATGGGAATATTAACTAAAAACCTGATGAGTGATTTATATAAATTTGAAGACTTAGGTATAAATCATAATCCTATTTAACATTTAGATAGATAGATAATCAATATTATTTCTAAAATTTGAATAGTTGCATGGGATGATAAAGTTAGAGAAAGATATTCATTTGGATATGATAAACCCAATTTTTTATTACAAAGTAGCCTTGAATTATAAGATTTTTGTAAATCCAAATCACTATGTGGGAAAAATTAGACATGTCTTAACACATACAGATCCTTTCCTTTATAATTCAATTATATGAATGATTAAGTGTAATATGGTAAATTTTAAAAGAATTTTATTCAATATTCAGATTGATTATTTCAACAAATCCTGTTTTAATGTTATTTTTCAGATAAACAGTAAAAAATATTTTAAACTTTTTTTAAAAAGTAAGTTATATTAATTTATTTTTAACAGAAAAAGCTTAATATTCTAGTTATTAATATCCGCTATCTCTAGGGTGGTAGAATTTAACAACCTCTCAAAAAGAATATCTTATAAAAATTGATTTAAATAGAATTTTTATATAAACTATTATAATAAATTAATCATAAGAAGATATCATTTTGCCAAGATTAATATATCTAGCTAGAGAATAAGATGGAATGTATTACCAAATCTTCTCAATGTAGCTAATTAACTTTATTTCAATAGTCTACTTTCATCATATTTTATTTATTTAAATAATTTTAGGAATTTTTTGATATTGTTTCCATAAATAAATAACTAAAAATATGGAGGACCATTTTCATGTGATTTAGTGAATGGAAAATATTAATAATATAAATATACAAATGTAGATTAATTTGATGGATTTTAGTATTATGATGCTTATGGAAAACCATGCGGAAATGCTACAAATAAATGTACTAAATGCTCTTACTATAATTTGAAAAGAATATTTCCAATTGAATGGAGATGCCGCCCTTGGTATTAATAATCATACAATTAATTTTATGTGTAAATATTTTTTATACTAATCTTCAAAAACTAAATAAATTCTATTTTTTAATTAATAAAAATTAAAAAAAATAATATTTACTTTTTAAAATTTAAGTTCATTTGAACAGCCATACATTAACGTTAATCCAACTACAGTAAGCTCAACTATTACATTTAAAGTAGTTAGAGACAATGAAAAAATTAAATCTATTTAAGATGAATATAATTATAAATAAGATGCTATAATAGCTATAGATATTGATTTAAGTCTTATTTTAAATAGATATCAATAAAATAAAGACCTTAATATTGAGTATTCTTATTTGATTTCTACTAATCCCTCTTCAAACTCCACTGAATATTCACCATTAGTCATAGCCCACCCTATGATGAATATGTGTATAATATTTTATTTTATTTTCTTATTTAAATTATTTTGATTCTTACTAAAAAAATAATTCTTTTAAATTTAAAAGCTAATCTTTAAACAGTGTATGATGTTGAGTTTTCTAACTCTACAAATAAAAATAACGAGATATATCAATTTTAAAATTAAACATCGTTTTTAAGTGACACGTTTCAAATTTACTAGAATTGTTCCTTTCAAATGTCATTAAAATATAGTTAAATTAGGATAATTACAAAAAATAATACTAAATATTTAACAATATTCACACCTATTTTTATTTGTTTTGGTACAATATATGAGCAAGCTAGCAACATTAATTCATATTATGTTAAAGCCGTCTCACTTTAAAAAATAGACTAAGATACATATCAAGTAGACTAAATGCAAGAAATTATGGTTCAAACTATTTTTATAATTTATCCTACTCTAGTTGTGATAATATTAGTTCTTTTTTATTGTCTCACTAAAAGTTTTCTATTTTATAATTTTGAAATTCCTATTTAAATATTAACTTAATTCATTTAAAATGCTGATAGTGAAAGGTAAAAAATATTTTTATTCTAAATTTATTTTATTTAATTATTTTATTATTTGATAAAAAAGCATATTTGTTTTTTACCAAAAAATAAACAAAAAAGAACTTAAAACCTCTTAGGAACTTAAGAACTTAATATTAGCTATCAACAATGTAGTACTTAATGTTTAAGAAAAAGTTAAGTTAAAATTTTAAAAACAAGAATCAGATTAATCATACTTAGAAATTTAAGCAACTCTATTTTAATAACTTATTACATTCTAAGCATTTTCTCATTTAACTGGTATTGGGTTATGGTAACTTCTTGATATATATATAATATATTTTATTTTAAAATTTATAAAAATAGCTTGAATAATATGTCTATCATAAATATGTTTCAAAAAAATCTGAAACAAGGATTGTAGTATATGAACTTATCAAATAGGATAAGCACTTAAATGCTTTAGGAAGCAGTTTAACCACTTATTTCAAAATATAAAATAAACTAAAATTAAGCTATTTAAATATTAAGTAGAGACTAGCACTAAATTAACTTTCTCAAAATTTGTGCTTGCAGAAAATATCAATTGGCAAATTTATTATATCATTATTCTAAAAGCATTTAAAATGGTAATACAAACAAAAATGATAGTGAAAGCTAATCATTAGACAAATCTTTAAGCCAAATTTTAAACAAAGAAGCTATTTCATTTAATTTTACAACTGTTGAAAATTAGCAAATATTTTTAAAAGAATCTTTTTACTATTCAAACAAATATTAAGAGAAGCTGAATTTTACAATATTTTAAAGCAATTAAACAGATGAATAAGTTACCATTTAATAAGATGAGTACATAAAAATATAAATTATTTAAGCCAAAGATTTGATTTATGAAGGAAATACCATATTTTAAATACTTTCTTAATCATTTGTAATTAGTTAAGTTGAAAAAAATAAATTATATTTATATTAGGCTTTAAGCTTAATGCTTCTTATAAAAATACATCTGATGAATTAAGATGATCAAAGATATACTGTGATTGAATAAATATTTTTTTATATCAAAGAAATACTTTTTGTAAATTATGATTTGTCAAGGACAGACTAAAATCTGTTAGTTATATTAAAATAAAATTACTATTATCATAAAAGTTTATTCAATTTCAGAAAGCTAAATTCTCAAAAATCATTAAAATATATTCTAAAAAGCCTAAATTATAGATTTTCTTATCTAAATTAGGGTTATCCTGTTTCTTTTGATAAAATAGATCAAAATTTTAAAAAAATATATGATCCTTATACAGCTTGTAAGTCTCTTAAATTACTTTAAAAAATAATAAGCTGTGATAATAAATAATTCAATAAAGTTTTATTAATTAAAATTAAAGAAGACATTAAAAAGTTAAAAAGTAATTACAAAGATAAATTTACAAGTAAATAAATTTGTTTTTTTAAAATTTTTAAAATATTTTATTTTTAATTTTTTTAATAGATGAATTAAATTTTTTTGAAGTCTTCTATGAAGATCAGTAATAGGAAAAAGAATTTTGAATAAGTAATACTTAAAAATATTTTAGTAATAAATTATCATTATTTAAATCAGTTATTAAAAATAATAAAAATATTAAAATCATTGAAATATTTCGTAATTTTTTTGTTAATATATAATAGTGTATATTATCCATATTTAAGATCTTTTTTAATTAAAATTAAAAATATTTTTAAAAATTCTAATTTTTTCATTAATTAAAAACAATATTTATATTTATTCCTATCTATTTAAACTATCTATGGTGCATAAAATTCTTGGTAAAATTTAAAATTTAGATAATATATTGCAAAAACTTTTTTTTATTTGCTTTAAAGAGTTATTTATAGTGAGAGTTAACTTATTTTATTTATCTAAAAATGAAAAATAAATTTTTTCATATTATTGGTTTATTAAGTTTTTGATTAAAAAAAAATTAGTTATATAGTTAGTTAGTTAGTAATTAGTTTTATTTGAAAGTAAATTAAACAAAAAATCAATCTAATTTTTTTAATAGTTCTACTACTTAATAATTACATAAAATAAATTTAACAGACTAATGAAATTAAGTGAAGAATAAAAAAGATTACTGAAAGTATTTTTCCCTTATATTTTCGTATTAATAATTGGAACGACACTATTGTGCTTATTGATGTTTTATTTCTATTAGATTAATCTGTAAATATTTTATTTGTGATCTTCTTAATATATTCTTTTTACTAATTAGCGAAAATGTACTCAGAGATTATGCACTTGAAAGATATTAAGACTACTTAAGCTTCATGAGTTACTCGGAAAAGATATTTTTAACTTTCTAATATCAAAAAATTACTTCTTTCAACTAGCGAATGGGGATATTAACTTAACAATTGATGAGTGATATGTATTCTTTTGATGATATTGGTAAACAAACAACTTTAAATTTACAATCTTATTTTAAATTTAAAAAATAAAATCAGTTGCATGGGATGATAAAGTTACAGAGAGGTATTCTAATGGCTATAATAAAGCTAATTTTTTGATTTCAAGTACATATTAAATGAAAGATTTCTGTCACTCATTTTAATAGTGTGGGCATGACTAAACTTGTATACAAAATTACTATACATTTTCTTAATAGATAAATTATATGGATGATTAAATATAATATGGTAAATTTAAAATATCATGATTAATTCAAAATAAATTCATTTAATTTTCTTTTAATGAAGAAAAGGCTTAATATTCAACTTTTTCGTATCAGCAAGCATCAGTGTGGTAGAATTTAACCAAGTCTTAAAAATAATATTTAATAAAAATCGATTTAAATAGAATATTTATTTAAACCCTTGTAATTAATAAGTTATCTGATGATATAATCTTACCTAGCTTCATATACTCTGCTAGGTAAGAAGATGGTATGAACTATTCTATACTTTTATTGTAATATTAAATTTCAAAATTATTTTAGATTTAATATTGATTGTAAATAAAAGCAATACCTTAATGAACTTTCCACCAATAAACAATGAAAATTATGGCGGGCCATTTGGGTGTGATGACTTAATTGATGGATAATATAAAGAATATAAATACACAGATATTGATTAGTTTAATGCATTTTAGTATGAAGATATTTTTGGACAACCCTGTGGAAATGCTACTCATCCCTGTACTGAATGCATTTACTATAATGAAAAAAGATTATTTCCGATAGACTGGAGATGCAGACCTTGGTATACAAATTCAAATAGCTCATTTTACATGTAAATAAAACGATATCAATTTTTAAATTTGTAATTATAAATTTTATATAATCTTCTATATATAGTTCATTTGGTCAACCATATATTAATGCTAATCCTCTCGTAGTAGCTTCAACTTAAACCTTTAAAGTAGTTATACCAAAGCAAAATAGTAATGCATCTATTTATGATGAATAAAATTATTAGTAAGATGCTGTAATAGCAATAGATCTTGATTTAACTCAGATATTAGAGAGATATTCAAATAATACTGTACTTAATATTGAATATTAGTACTTGATTTCTACTAATCCTTCAACAACTTCAGATGTTTACTCTCCTTTAGTTATAGCTCATCCAGATATGAATAATAGTATATTCATTGTTATTTTTCTATCTTATTTTATATTTAAATATGATTTTATCATTCTTTCTAAATAAATATTTATTAACTTATTTATATTTTTATAATAGCTGTTATTCAAACGATTTATGACGCTGAATTTGCTAACTCAGTAAATAAAGACTTAGAAATTGAATAATTTAAAAATTAAACACAATTTTTAAATCAACCTCTTGAAGTTGATAAGAATTGTTATTAGCAAATGAAATAGAAAAATAGTTAAATGAGGACAATATTAAAAAATAATACTTAATATCTGGCTATATTTGCTCCTATTTATATATGCTATGGAAATATATATGAGCAGGCTAGCGTTATTAACGCTTATTTTGTAAAATCTGTTTCATTTGAAAAAATAGAGTAGGACATTTACTAAGTAACTTAGGCAGCATCAGTTATGATAAAATATATTTTCATTGTCTATTCTTGTTTAGTTATCTTAATTTTTATTATTTTTTACTATCTTACCAAACATTTCCTGTTATTTAACTTTGAAATACCTATATAAATACTAACATCATTCATTTAAAATGCTGATTGCTAAAGGTAAATAATTTATGTGCTTTATTTAATAATTTGATATTATTTTAATTTAAATAGCATTTTTATATTCAACTAAAAAATTGAAAACTAAGAACTTAAAACTTCTTCAGAGCTTAAGAATTTAATAGCAGCTATTAATAAGGTTGTCTTGAGAGTTTAGGAAAAGGTTTAATAAAAAATGAATTAATAGGAATCAGAACAATCATATTTTTAGATTCAAAAATCTTTGATTAAGCAATTAATTATTTTCTAAACATTCAATCATTAGACTGGGATAGGGATGTGGTAATTAATATTAATTTTATTTTTTTATATAATTTGAATGTTTTTATTAAATTAAACAAGCTTGAATAATTTATCTGTCATAAATATGTTTACAAAAAATTTGAAATAAGCACTTTTATATATGAATGAATCTAATAAAGTAAGCAATGAAATACTTTAATAATTAGTTTAGCCTTTTATTGAAAAGAAAAACATAAGCTATAATTAAGCTATCTATATTTTGAGTGAAGACAAGCACCAGGTAAGCTTTTTGAAGATATGTGGTTGTAGAAAATACTAATAGGCTAACTTGTTATACCACTATTGCAAACATCTTAAAAAGGGAAAAGCTAATAAGGAATACGATGAAATTTTATAATTAAATAATTCTAACAACTCCATATTTAAAAATGTTTCATATTAATTAAATAATTCAAGTCCAATAAACCAACTTGATTTTAAAGATTTTAAGGAGTCTTTCTTTTACTCGAATAAGTTTTATACAAAATATACACACACAATAACTTAAAGTGATTATATTGATGAATAGAAGAGCCTCTAGGAAAAAGATTATTTAGGGATTTAGATTTTATAAGCAAAAGATTTAATTTATGAAGGAAGTACCCTATTTTAAATTTTGTCCTTATCACCTATTCTAAGTTAAAATGAAAGAGATAGGTTAATTTTGTACTAAGCTTTAAGTTTATTGCTTCTTATAAAAGTATATCTTATAGATTAAAATATAGAAAGACTAACAATAATTGAAGAAACCTTTGTTTGCATTTAAAAATTAATTTTTGTTAATTACGATTTATAGACAACAGATTAAAATTTACAAGTTATTCTACAATAAAGTTATTACTATTATAAAAGCCTATTTTATTTCCGAAAGTTTAATTATAAAAAATCTTTAAAATTGAGTTTAAAAAGTCTTTTTTATAAAAGTCCTGATTTATGCTTCACGAATCTATTGACATTTAACAATATTGAACTTTAATTTTCTTGTGTTTATGATCCTCGAATAGCTTATAAGTCAGTTAAATTAATTGATAAAATTATAAGTATTCAAAACTTATAATTGAAAGAAGATCACTTGATTTTAATTAAATAAGATATTTAAAAATTAAAAAGCCGATTTAGAGATGCCTACACAAGTAAAATCCTTTTTTAATAATTTTGAGTTAAATATTTTTTTTTAAATAGATGAATTGAACTTTTTCGAGCTGTTTTATGAAAACAAATATTAAGACTAAGAAATAAATCCTAGAAAAAACAGCATGTTTATATGAAAGTCATTCATTAATATATTATTAGCTTATTGTTTCTTATCTAAATTAATTATGTGTAATATGAATTAAAATATGCATTCAATTTTAAATATAATTTAAAAAATAAATAAATACTTTTTAAAAAACCATTTGTTTTTATTTATTTATTTATTTTTCTTTTTTTAAAGTAAAAAAAAGTAAATTAGTAATTGAATAAGCTAATTAGTATGTAAGTTTCCTATACCCTCAAATATATTAAACAACATTTATTAAAAAATAATTAAATAAACAATTTAAGTAATAATTAAGTTATTTAAATAGTTCTACTTAGGATACTGCCAATGCAAAAAGAATGAAAGAACAGTATAAAAGAATTGTTAAGATATTTTTTCCTTATATATTAGCTCTTATTTTTGGAATATTATTAATGGTTATATTGATGCTTAAATTTTACTAAGTCTAAGTGTAAATAATTTAAACTTATCATGTTAACAGTGATATTTTAAAAATATAATATAGGGAATAATAACTGAAAGAATATGTCGTAAAAAGGTATAACATGTACCTAGAATTTGCTAGCTTTTCAGAAAGAATAATAATTACATAATCATTTTAAAAAATTACTTCAATAACATAGACATTTGGGACTCTTACTTAATATTTAATGGATTAAAAATTTAATTTTGATGAATTAGGTAATAAAAACTGTTTATATTAATTAGATGGGTATATTAGTAATAATATTTATTTCTTTTGAAATAAAGTATCTTGGGAGGATAAATAACCTGAGAGGTACTCAAAAGGCCAAGTCAAACCTAATTTTTTAATTATGAATGGATATTAACTTAAAGATTATTGTGGCTTAATCAAATTTTGTTATTAAAATCAAGATTGTATTGATAATTATAATGATTACAATTAACAAATATACAATTTTATTGATTATGTTTAATATGGTAAACTTTAAAATTTAAATAACTTTACAAAAATTTATTTCAAATTAACATAGAAAAATCATAGTATTCAACATGGAGTTATCAAATGACAAATGATTGGGACTAATTAAATAATGAATAGAAATAATTTATTGTTAAAATGGATTTATAATAAATATTTGGAGTTTCATATATTTTTAATCAATAAAATGATGTAATTTAAGCAATAGGAATATATTTAGCTAGATAATCAGATGGGCTACAATATGATATCTTATCTTAGTTAATAAATTTTATTTATTTATTTTAAAAAAATTATTTTATATAAATACTATAGCAATTTAATTATAAGTGATAGCGTGCTTAGCTAGCCTTAATTTGGTGGACCATATAATTGTTCAGTGAATACAAATGGAAGCTACTCTGAGTATATTTATACAAATGCTAGCTAGTTTTATGGGTTTTAATATCAAGATGATGGTGGAGAGACTTGTGGTGATATAAATAATCCATGCTCTTGCCCTTACTTTAACATGAAAAGATTAACTCCATTAGATTGGAGATGTAGACCTTGGTATTAATAAAGTGATAACATATTTTACATGTAATTTCTTAATTTATCAAGATTTAACTTACATAATTTTACTAATTAAAAAAATTATTAAATTTAGTACTTTCTCACAACCCTATGTAGATATTTCATCAAAAACAGTGTGCTCTACTAGCACTTTCAAAGTTGTTTTATCTCAAAATACAACTGCTTCAATCATCGATTAAATTAACTAATAATAAGATGCTGTATATGCTACAGATATAGATCTTTAACATCTATTGTCTAGATTTTCATCAAGTGAATAAAACATAGATTATTCATACTTAGTTTCCACAAATACTGATCCTAAATCAACAGATTTTTTACCTTAGGTGTTTGCTCATCCTTAAATGAATTTTAGTAATCTTTTAAAAAATTTTATTATACAAAATACATCTTTTATATGTCTTTTTAATTTATGATTTATTTAAAAATTATGATAGAATCTAATTCCTTAAAAACAAACTCAGAAATTAAATTTTTTCTAAAATAATTTTAAATAAATCATAAAATTGATATTAATTTACATTTAAGGAATTAAAGAAAATAAATTTATAAATTCTATTATTAATTGTGTTTTAAGGTAGTAAAATGAAAATATTAAATATTAATATTACAAATATCTAATTTAAAATTTAATTTTTTTGAAGAGCTAACTTTTATTTAGATGTTGAGATAAACCTTTTTGTTATTATTTTATATTAATTATTTGAAATTTGTGATATTCATATAAAATTAAAAGTAGTAAATATGCTTACAAGAAGTTATTATATAAAAAAGCTTAATTAAAAAAAATTTTTTTACAACTTTTGATTTAAATTTTATTGATGTTTTCCTCTATTTAAAAGTAAATTGAATGATTTTAAATATTTTAAATTAAATTTAATATATAAAAGCCTAAGAATAAACAATATTAGAAGTTGAGTTTTCTGATTCTATGAACAAAGACTTTGAAATTTAAAATTATAAAAATTTAACAAAATTTTTAATGATGACTCAATAAGCAAATAAAGATTGTAAACCTATTTCTATTACTGATACAGAAAAAATAACTATAACTAAAAATGGTTAAGAATATTTGACTATATTTACTCCAATTTAAATTTGCTTTGGAACTTTTACAGAATAGTTTAGCGTTTATATAGCTTATTATGCAAAAGCAATATCCCTTGAAAAAATAGATTAAGAGATTTAGAGTGTAACAAAACTAACTCAAACCATGCTTGTTATTATACCAGTTTCCTAATCATTTGTTTTATTTATTATAGTCTTTATTTTTTACTATCTTCTTAAATATTTCCTATTATTCAACTTTGAAATTCCAATAAATATTGTTTCTCAATTCATCAAAGAAGCTGACTGCAAATCGTAATACAAAAAACATTTATTTTGCTTTTAAAAAACCTTTATTTCGTATTTAATAAATAGTTTATATTTGTTTAATAAGAGAGTTAAGAAAGGATAAATGAAAACTTCATAAGAGCTAAGGAATTTGATATTTACGATAAATGAAATTGTTTTTAAAGTTTAAGAAAATGTAAAATAAATTGAAAAAATAAAATAAGCTAATTAATTTGATAAATTGGAAGAAATTTATAAAACTTCTATGTTAATTTATTAACAAATTTCCCATAAAAATGGTATTGCTCTTTGGTAAATTACATTTAATAATTTTCTTATTTAATTCCTTTTTGAAATAGTTTAAATAACATAGCTGGCATAAACTTATTGCAAAAAAATTTTGGAAAGGCATTGTAGTTTATGAGTTAATCTGATTAAATTAATAACTAAATTTTTGACGAAATTATTAAACCTATAATGGTAAAGCATAATGTAAATTAGTAGGAAGCTATTGATATATTAAACCAACAAGAATATTTTGAATTTTTCAAGCTTTATGCATGCAGAAAATATTAGTTAGCTAATATCTTATATTTAATAGCTAAATAAATAGCTAAAAATACCTAAAACATTTTGTAAACAATAAAAAGAGACTCAAGAGAGTAAGATTACTTTGATATTTTACTCAGCAAAGATTCCATTTACTTTGAAAATAGTAAAGATTTAGAAAAATAACAATAGTAACCATAGCATATTAACTCTTTTTACTCTAAAAGATTTTCACAAAAATTTTATTAAAACCCAATTCATAAAAATAATAATTTTGTAGAATAGTAAAATGAATAAAATTTAATTAAAACATATACTTAATAGGCCAAAGATCTAATATCTGAAGCCAATAATATGTTTTAATTGATAAGTTATTCTAAAAACACATCAATTACAAATCAAGGTAAATTTAAACTCTACCAAGCACTTTGCTATTTATTAATAGTAAAGATATTTTTCATCAATTAGAATTTTCAAAGAATCACTGCTGTTTAGGAAATATTTAAGCATATTAAGGGATTAATATTTTCTTAAGATCTTCTTTCAAATTCAGATTCAAATTTGAAAAAAATTATCTAGCAACATTATTTTTACTACAAAAGCTTATTTGCATATAAATTATAAAAAATTAGTAAATCTATTATTCTAGCTTTAAAAAGTATTAATTACGATTATTAAGAACAGCAATTAATAAAATCTCTTGAATTATTTTGTACTTTTTAGAATTTAGTTTTTGTTGTTTATGACTCTAGAATAGCTCTTAAATCTCTAAAATTGCTTTATAAAATAATATTAGAGGAAAACATATTAATTACATAAAATCAAATAACTTAAATATAATTAGATATTAAAGTACTAAGAAAAAATTCTTAAGAAAACTATAAAAGTAAGTAATTTAATTTCATTTTTATACTTATCCAATTATTTATTTATTATTAAATAAAATCAGATGAGCTTAATTTTTATGAGATATTTTTTGAGGAACTCAAAATGAATTGAAATAAAAATTAAAAATAAATTAATTTAAAAATAATATCTTTATCCTTTAATTTTGTTTGCAATTTATTTTATTTATTTTTGCAGTATTTATATTGAATACTCTATAAATAGTAATATACAATATTAAAAATAATTTATATAAGCATAATTTTACCCAAAAATTTACAAGAAATCTTGAAAATAATAATTTTACAATCATTGATACTATTAACAAATCATACAGTTAATAACTTATTATAATTTACAAGTTATTCTACAATAAATTTATTACAATTATAGAAGACTATTTTATTTCCAATAGTTAGATTTATAAAAAATCTTTAAAGTTAAGTTTAAAAAGTCTTTTTTTTAAAATTCCTATTTTATATTTTACAAACTTTTTGGCATTTAACAATATTGAATTATAATTTTTTGCTATTATGATCCTCGGATAGCTTATAAGTCAGTTAAATTAATTGATAAAATTATAAGCATTCAAAAATTATAATTTGAAAGCAGCTCACTAGATTTTTATTGAATAAGATATTTATTTAAAAAGCCGTTTTAGAGATGCATATACAATTAAAATCTTTTTTTAAAAATAATGAGTAAAATATTTTTTTAAAATAAAATCTTTGTATTTATCTATACAATTAAAATACTTTTTAAAAAATTATGAATATGTATTTTTTTTAATAGAATCTTTGAATTTATTATCCTTTATTTTTTTAAAGTATATAAAAGTAATTTGTAATTGAATTAGTTTATTTGCAAAAAAGAATTCCATACCCTCAAATTAATTACATAATATTTATTTAAAAAAATTAGTATTAAAGCCAAGTAATTTAAGTAATACTTAAGTTATATAAAAAGTTCTACTTAGGATACCTACTTATGCAAAAAGTATGAGAGAGCAGTATAAAAGAATTATTAAGATATTTTTTCCTTATATATTAACTCTTATTTTTGGAATATTATTAATGGTCATATTGATGCTTAAATTTTACCAAGTCTAAGTGTAAATAATTTAAACTTACATGTTAAAAATGACATTTTAAATATATAATATAGGGAATAATAACTGAAAGAATATGTTCTAAAAAGGTATAATATGTACTTAGGCTTTGCTAGCTTTTCAGAAAGAATGATAATCTCATAATAGTTTTAAAAAATTACTTCAATAACATAGACATTTGGGACTCTTACTTAAAATTTGATGGATTAAAAATTTAGTTTTGATGAATTAGGTATTATTAACTGTTAAAATAAAAAGATGGGTATATTGGTAATAATATTTATTTTTTTGGAATAAAGTATCTTGGGAAGATAAATAACCTGAGAGGTACTCAAAAGGCCAAGTTAAACCTAATTTTTTAATTACGAATGGATATTAACTTAAAGATTATTGTGGCTAAATTAAGTTTTGCTATTAAAATTAAACATGTATTGATAATTATAATGACTACAATTAATAATTATACAATTTTGTTGATTATGTTTAATATGGTAAACTTAAAAAATTAAATAATTTTACAACAATTTATTTTTAAATTAACATAGAAAAGTCATAGTATTCAACATGGAGTTATCAAATGACAAATGATTGGGACTAATTAAATAATGAATAGAAATAATTTATTGTTAAAATGGGTTTATAATAAATATTTGGAGTTTCATATATTTTTAATCAATAATATGATACAATTTAAGCAGCAGGAATATATTTAGCTAGATAATCAGATGGGTTATTTTTTGAAATCTAATCTTAGTAAATAAATTTTATTTATTAATTTTTTTTTAAAAAAAATTATTTTATGTAAAATATAATAGCAATTTAATTATAAGTGATAGCGTGCTTAGTTAGCCTTAATTTGGAGGACCATATAGTTGTTAAGTGAATACAAATGGAAGCTACTCTGAGTATATTTATACAAATACTAGCTAGTTTAATGGATTTTAATATCAAGATGATAGTGGAGAAACTTGTGGTGATATAAATAATCCATGTTCTTGCCCTTACTTTAACATGAAAAGATTAACTCCATTAGATTGGAGATGTAGACCCTGGTATTAATAAAGTGATAACATATTTTACATGTAATTTCTTAATTATATCAAAATTTAAGATCTTAAATTTTACTCATTAAAAAAATATTAAATTTAGCACTTACTCACAACCTTATGTAGATATCGCATCAAAAGCAGTGTGCTCTACTAGCACTTTCAAAGTTGTTTTATCTCAAAATACAACTACTTCAATTACCGTCCAAATTAATAAATAATAAGATGCTGTGTTTGCTATAGATTTAGATCTTAAATATCTCTTGTTTAGATTCGCATTAAGTGAATAAAGCATAGATTATTCATACTTAGTTTCAACAAATACTGATCTTAAATCTACAGATTTTGTACCTTATGTCTTTGCTCATCCTTAAATGAGTTTTAGTAATGGTTTAAAAAAAATTTTATTTTTACAAAATTTTTCTTTAATATGACATTTTTAACTTAATATCTTAAAAATTTTTAATAGAATCTTTTTCCTTAAAAAAATCATGAAATTTTATTTTTCAAAAGTAAATTTTAAAATATCATAAAATTGATATCAATTTAACATTTAAGGACTTAAAACAGATAAATTTAATAATTCTATTATAAAAAGTATTTTAAGGTAGTAATATAAAAATATTAAATATTGATAAAAAAAATATTATAAATATCTAATTTAAAATTTACATTTTTTTGAAGAGCTAAATTTTATTTAGATCTTGAGATAAACCTTCTTATTATTATTATTATTATTTTATGTCAGTTATTTGAAATTTATGAAATTTTATAAAATTAAAAGTAGTAAATATATTTACAAGCTGTTATCATAAAAAATATTTTTACTTTTAAAGCTTTTAATTTACATTTTATTGATGTTTTATTTTCCTCTATTTAAAATTAAATAGAATGATTTTAAAACCAAATTAATTAATTAATAAAAGCCTAAGAATAAACAATATTAGAAGTTGAGTTTTCTGATTCTATGAATAATGACTTCGAAATAGAAAATTATAAAAATTTAACAAAATTTTTAATGATGACTCAATAAGTAAACAGAGATTGTAAACCTATTTCTATTAATAACTCAGAAAAAATAACTATAACTAAGAATAGTTAAGAATATTTAACTATATTTACTCCAATTTAAATTTGCTTTGGAACTTTGACAGAATAGTTTAGTATTTATATAGCTTATTATGCAAAAGCAATACCTCTTGAAAAAATAGATTAAGACATATAGAGCGTAACAAAACTAACTCAGATGATGCTTATTATTATACCAGCTACCTAAACATTTGTTTTATTTATTATAGTCTTTATTTTTTACTATCTTCTTAAATATTTCCTATTATTCAACTTTGAAATTCCAATAAATATTGTTTCTCAATTTATCAAGGAAGGTGACAGTAAATCGTAATACAATAAATATTTATTTTTTAAAAATTTTCTTTAATATTTAATAAATAGTTTATATTTGTTTAATCAGAAAGTTAAGAAAGGATTAATAAAAACTTCATAAGAGCTAAGGAATTTGATATTTACGATAAATGAAATTGTTTTTAAAGTTTAAGAAAATGTAAAATAAATTGAAAAAGTACAATAAGCTAACTAATTTAATCAATTGGAAAACATTTATAAAGATTCTATGTTAATATATTAATAAATTTCCCATAAAAATGGTATTGCTCTCTGGTAAATTAGATTTAATGATTTTCTTATTTAATTCCTATTTCAAATAGTTTAAATAATATAGCTGGCATAAACTTATTGCAAAAAAACTTTCGAAAGGCATTGAAGTTTATGAGTTAATCTGATAAAATTAATAACTAAATTTTTGAAGAAATTATTAAACCTGTAATGGTAAAGCATAATATAAATTAATAAGAAGCAATTAATTTATTAAATCAACAAGAATATTTTGAATTTTTTAAGCTTTATGCATGCAGAAAATATTAATTAGCTAATATCTTATATTTAATAGTTAAATAAATAGTTAAAAATAGCAAAAACTAAAATAATATTTTCTAAACAAACAAAAGTAACTAAAGAGAATAAGATTACTTTGATATTTTGCCCAGAAAAAATTCTATTTACTTTGAAAATAGTATAGATTCAATTAATATAGAAGAATAATAAGAGTAATAAAATATTAGCTCTTTTTACTCAAAAAAAAATTATTAAAACTCAATTCAAAAAAATAATAATTTTCCAGAATAGTAAAATTAACAAAATTTAATTAAAAGTTATATTTAATAGGCTAAAGATCTAATATCTGAAGCCAATAATATGTTTTAATTGATAAGTTATTCTAAAAATACATCAATTACAGATTAAAGTAAATTTAAACTCTACCAAGCACTTTGCTATTTATTAATAGTAAAGATATTTTTCATCAATTAGAATTTTCAAAGAATCACTGCTATTTAGGAAATATTTAAGCATATTAAGGGCTTAATATTTTCTTAAGATCTTCTTTCAAATTCTGATTTAAATTTGAAAAAAATAATCTAGCAACATTATTTTTACTACAAAAGCTTATTTGCATATAAATTATAAAAAATTAGTAAATCTATTATTCTAATTTTAAAAAGTCTTAATTACGATTATTAAGAACAACAATTAATAAACTCTTTTGAAGTATTTTGTACTTTTTAGAATTTAGTTTTTGTTGTTTATGACTCTAGAATAGCTCTTAAATCTCTAAAATTGCTTTATAAAATAATATTAGAGGAAAACATATAAATTACATAAAATCAAAAAACTTAAATACAATTAGATATTAAAGAACTAAGACAAAATTCTAAATAAAACTATGAAAGTAATTTAATTTTATTTTATTACCAATTTATTTATTTATTTATTATTAAATAAAATTAGATGAGCTTAATTTTTATGAGATATTTTTTGAGGAACTCAAAATGAATTGAAATAAAAATTAAAAATAAGTTAATTTAAAAATAATAATTTTATTATATAATTTTGTTTGCAATTTTATTTATTTTTCAGTATTTACATTGTATACTCCATTAATATTAGTATGGAAGATTAAGAATAATTTATATAACCCTGCAAAAAATCTCCGAAAGTTGAACTATAAAAAATCTTTAAAGTTGAGTTTAATGAGTCTTTTTTAAAAATCCTGGTTTATATTTCACAAACCATATTTAACAATATTGAACTATACTTTTCTTGAGTTTATGATCCTAGAATAGCTTGTATTAAGTCTATTAAATTAATAGATCAAATTATTAGCATTCAAAACTTATAATTGAAAGCTCACTAGACTTTAATAAAATAAAATATTTAAAAATTAAAAAGTCATTTTAGAGATACCAATACAAGTAAAATCCTTTTTAAATATTTATGAGTAAAATATTTTTTTTAATAGATGAAAAAACATTGAGTCTAAGAAATAAATCCTAGAAAAAACAACAAGCTTATATGAAAGTCATAAAGATATTTAAAGAAATATTGAATTTTATATTATTAACTAATTCTTTTTTATCCGAATTATATTTAATATGAATTAAAATATACTTTAATTCAAAATATAAATTTGATAAAAAACAATCTTTGAATTTATTTGTTTTATTTTTTTAAAGAAGAAAAAGTAAATTTGTAATTGAATAAGTTTATTTGCAAAAAAGAATTCTATACCCTCAAATATATTACATAATATTTATTTAAAAAAATTAGTATTAAAACCAAGTAATTTAAGTAATACTAAAATTATATAAAAAGTTCTACTTAGAATACCTACTTATGCAAAAAGTATGAGAGAACAGTATAAAAGAATTGTTAAGATATTTTTTCCATATATATTAACTCTTATTTTTGGAATATTATTAATGGTCATATTGATGCTTAAATTTTACCAAGTCTAAGTGTAAATAATTTAAACTTACATGTTAAAATTGACATTTTAAAAATATAATATAGGGAATAACAACTAAAAGAATATGTTCTAAAAAGGTACAATATGTACTTAGGTTTTGCTAGCCTTTCAGAAAGAATGATAATCACATAATAGTTTTAAAAAATTACTTCAATAACATAGACATTTGGGACTCTTACTTAAAATTTAATGGATTAAAAATTTAACTTTGATGAATTAGGTAATATTAAATGTTAATATTTATTATATTGTTTTTTGGTAATAATATTTATTTTTTTTGATATAAAGTATCTTGGGAAGATAAATAACCTGAGAGGTACTCAAAAGGCCAAGTTAAACCTAATTTTTTAATTGTGAATGGTTACTAACTTAAAGATTATTGTGGCTTAATCAAATTTTGCTATTAAAATTAGACTTGTATTGATAATTATAATGACTACTCTTAATAATTATACAATTTTGTTGATTACGTTTAATATGGTAAACTTAAAAATTAAATTATTTTACAATAATGTATTTTAAATTAACATAGAAAAATCATAGTACTCAACATGGACTTATCAAATGGCAAATGATTATGACTAATTAAATAATGAATAGAAATAATTTATTGTTAAAATGGATTTATAATAAGTATTTGGAGTATCTTATATTTTTAATCAATAAAATGATATAATTTAAGCCACAGGAATATATTTAGCTAGATAATCAGATGGGATTTATTATTAAATCTTATCTTAGTATATAAATTTTAATTATTTATTTATTTATTTATTTTAAAAAAATTATTTTATGTAAATATTATAGCAATTAGATTACAATTGATAGCGTGCTTAGTTAGCCTTAATTTGGAGGACCATATAGTTGTTAAGTGAATAGAAATGGAAGCTACTCTGAGTATATTTATACAAATGCTAGCTAGTTTTATGGATTTTAATATCAAGATGATAGTGGAGAGACTTGTGGTGATATAAATAATCCATGCTCTTGCCCTTATCATAACATGAAAAGATTAACTCCAATAGATTGGAGGTGTAGACCTTGGTATTAATAAAGTGATGACATATTTTACATGTAATTTCTTAATTATATTAAAATTTAGCATCCATGATTTTACTCATAAAAAAAATATTAAATTTAGTACTTTCTCACAATCCTATGTAGATATTTCATCAAAAACAGTGTGCTCTACTAGTACTTTCAAAGTTGTTTTATCTCAAAATACAACTGCTTCAATCATCGATTAAATTAACTAATAATAAGATGCTGTTTATGCTACAGATATAGATCTTAAACATCTATTGTCTAGATTCGCATTAAGTGAATAAAGCATAGATTATTCATACTTAGTTTCCACAAATATTGATTCTAAGACTACAGATTTTATACCTTAGGTGCTTGCTCATCCTTAAATGAATTTTAGTAATCGTTTTAAAAAATTTACAAAAAATATCTTTGATATGCCTTTTTTAACTTATTATCTATTTAAAAATTTTTGAGAATCTAATTCCTCAAAAAAACTAAGAAATTTCGTTTTTTGAAAAATAATTTTTAAAATATAATAAAATTGATATTGATTTAACATGTAAGGATAAAATGTGTTTTAAGAAATATGAAAATTTTAAATGTTGATATAATATTACAAATATTTAATTTAAAATTTAATTTTTTTGAAGAGATAAATTTTATTAAAAACTTGAAATAAACCTACTTGCAATTATTATTTTATATTTCTTATTTTAAATATGAGAGATTTAAAAAAAAATAAAAATTCAGAAATATTTTTACAAGTTATTTTCAAGAAAAAATTTATTTAGTAAAATTTTTTTGCAGATTTTAATTTAAATTTTTTGTAGTTTTGTTTTCTACTCTATTTAAAAGTAAATTGAATGATTTTAAAGCCAAATTAATTAATTAATTAATAAAAGCCTAAGAATAAACAATATTAGAAGTTGAATTTTCTGATTCTATGAACAAAGACTTCGAAATAGAAAATTATAAAAATTTAACAAAATTTTTAATGATGACTCAATAAGTAAAAAGAGATTTTAAACCTATTTCTATTACTGATACAGAATAAATAACAATTACTAAGAATAGTTAAGAATATTTAACTATATTTACTCCAATTTAAATTTGCTTTGGAACTTTGACTGAATAGTTTAGTATTTACATAGCTTATTATGCAAAAGCAATATCCCTTGAAAAAATAGATTAAGAGATTTAGAGTGTAACAAAACTAACTCAAATCATGCTTATTATTATACCAGTTTCCTAAACATTTGTTTTATTTATTATAGTCTTTATTTTTTACTATCTTCTTAAATATTTCCTATTATTCAACTTTGAAATTCCAATAAAAATAGTTTCTCAATTCATCAAGGAAGCTGACTGTAAGTCGTAATACAAAAAACATTAATTTTTTAAATACCTTTAATTCATATTTAATAAATAGTATACATTTGTTTAATGAGAAAATTATGTAAGGATTGATAAAAACTTCACAAGAGCTAAGGAATTTGATATTTACGATAAATGAAATAGTTTTTAAAGTTTAAGAAAGTGTAAAACAAATTGAATAAATAAAATAAGCTAATTAATTTGATAAATTGGAAGACATATACAAAGATTCTATGTTAATATATTAATAAATTTCCCATAAAAATGGTATTGCTCTTTGGTAAATTAAATTTAATAATTTTCCTATTTAATTCCTATTTGAAATAGTTTAAATAACATAGCTGGCATAAACTTATTGCAAAAAAATTTTCGAAAGGCATTGTAATTTATGAGTTAATCTGATTAAATTAATAACTAAATTTTTGACGAAATTATCAAACCTATAATGGTAAAGCATAATATAAATTAGTAAGAAGCTATTGATATATTAAATCAACAAGAATATTTTGAATTCTTCAAGCTTTATGCATGCAGAAAATACTAGTTAGCTAATATCTTATATTTAATAGCTAAATAAATAGTTAAAAATACCAAAAATTAAAATAATATTTTCTAAACAAAAAAAAGAGACTCAAGAGAGTAAGATTAATTTGATGTTTTACTCAGCAAAGAATCCATTTATTTTGAGAATAGTAAAGATTCAATTAATATTGAAAAATAATAATAGTAATCATAGTATATTAACTCTTTTTACTCAAAAAAATTCACATAAAAATTTAATTAAAACTCAATTCAAAAAATAATAATTTTGAAGAATATTAAAATTAGTAAAATTTAGTTAAAACGTATTCTTAATAGGCCAAAGATCTAATATCTGAAGCTAATAATGTATTTTAATTGATAAGTTATTCTAAAAAAACATCAATTATAGATTAAAATAAATTTAAACTCTACCAAGCACTTTGCTATTTATTATTAGTAAAGATATTGTTCATTAATTAAAATTTTCAAAGAATCACTGTTGTTTAGGAAATGTTTAAGCATATTAAAACCTTAATATTTTCTTAAGATTCTCTTTCAGATTCTGATTCTAATTTTAAAAAAATAATCTAACAACATTATTTTTACTATAAAAGCTTATTTACTTATAAATTATAAAAAATTCGTAGGTCTATAATTCTAGTTTTAAAAAGTCTTAATTATGATGATCAATAATACTAAGAAGATATAAAATATTTTGAAGTATTTCGTACTTTTTAGAATTTAGTTTTAGTTGTTTATGACTCTAGAATAGCTCTTAAATCTCTAAAATTACTTTATAAAATAATATTAGAGGAAAAAATATAATTTACATAAAATCAAATAACTTAAATATAATTAGATATTAAATAACTAAGAAAAAATTCTGAAGAAAACTATAAAAGTAAGTAATTTGATTTCATTTTAATACTTATCTATCTATTTATTTATTCTTAAATAAAATCAGATGAGCTTAATTTTTATGAGATATTTTTTGAGGAACTCAAAATAAATTGAAACAAAAATTAAAAATATGTTAATTTAAAAATAATATCTTTATTCTATAATTTTGTTTGCAATTTTATTTATTTTTGCAGTATTTATATTGAATACTCTATAAATATTAATATAGTAGATTAAAAATAATTTATATAAGCATAATATAACCCAAAAATTTACAAGAAATCATGAAAAAAATAATTTTACTATCTTATATTTTGATGCAATTAACAAAACATACATTTAATTAAAAACTAATTGATTAATAGAAGTTGCTTATTAAAGGCTAAAATGAAATATATATGTTAATTTTGTACTAAGTTTTAAGTTTATTGCTTTTATAAAAATATAGAAAGACAGACCATAATTTAAGAAACATTTGTTTGCATTTAAAAATTAATTTTTAATAATTATGATTTACAAAAAACACAAAATTATAAGCATTAATAACCTATAATTGAAATCAGCTCACTAGACTTTAATTTAATAAGATATTTAAAAATTAAAAAGCCGTTTTAGAGATGTATCATATCCTTTTTAAACAGTTATGTGTAAAATATTTTTTTAAAAAGATGAATTGAACTTTTTCGAGTTGTTTTTATGAAAACAAATATTGAGTTAAGAAATAAATCTTATAAAAACAAACTTTTATATGAAAGCCATTAAGATATTTAAAGAAATATTGAATTTTATATTATTAACTAATTCTTTTTTATCCGAATTATATTTAATATGAATTAAAATATACTTTAATTCAAAATATAAATTTGATAAAAAACAATCTTTGTATTTATTTTTCTTTTTTTTAAAGCATGTAAAAGTAAATTTTCAATTGAATAAGTTAATTAGCATATAAGAATTTTATATCTCTCAAATATATTACATAATATTTATTTAAAAAAATTAATATTAAAACCAAATAATTTAAGTATTACTTAGGTTAAATAAAAAGTTCTACTTATGATACCTGCTGATGCAAAAAGTATGAGAGAGTAGTATAAAAGAATTGTTAAGATATTTTTTCCATATATATTAACTCTTATTTTTGGAATATTATTAATGGTCATATTGATGCTTAAATTTTACCAAGTCTAAGTGTAAATAATTTAAACTTACATGTTAAAATTGACATTTTAAAAATATAATATAGGGAATAACAACTAAAAGAATATGTTCTAAAAAGGTATAATATGTACTTAGATTTTGCTAGCTTTTCAGAAAGAATGATAATCACATAATAGTTTTAAAAAATTACTTCAATAACATAGACATTTGGGACTCTTACTTAAAATTTAATGGATTAAAAATTTAACTTTGATGAATTAGGTAATATTAACTGTTTATATTAATTAGATGGATATATTAGAATAATATTTATTTTTTTTGAAATAAAGTATCTTGGGAAGATAAATAACCTGAGAGGTACTCAAAAGGCCAAGTTAAACCTAATTTTTTAATTATGAATGGTTACTAACTTAAAGATTATTGTGGCTTAATCAATTTTTGCTATTAAAATTAGACTTGTATTGATAATTATAATGACTACTCTTAATAATTATACAATTTTGTTGATTACGTTTAATATGGTAAACTTAAAAATTAAATAATTTTACAATAATGTATTTTAAATTAACATAGAAAAATCATAGTACTCAACATGGACTTATCAAATGGCAAATGATTGGGACTAATTAAATAATGAATAGAAATAATTTATTGTTGAAATGGATTTATAATAAGTATTTGGAGTATCTTATATTTTTAATCAATAAAATGATATAATTTAAGCCACAGGAATATATTTAACTAGATAATCAGATGGGTTGCTATATGAAATCTTATCTTAGTATATAAATTTTAATTATTTATTTATTTAAAAAAAATTATTTTATGTAAATACTATAGCAATTTAATTATAAGCGATAGCGTGCTTAGTTAGCCTTAATTTGGAGGACCATATAGTTGTTAAGTGAATACAAATGGAAGCTACTCTGAGTATATTTATACAAACGCTAGCTAGTTTTATGGGTTTTTATACCAAGATGATGGTGGAGAGACTTGTGGTGATATAAATAATCCATGTTCTTGCCCTTACTATAATATGAAAAGATTAACTCCAATAGATTGGAGATGTAGACCTTGGTATTAATAAAGTGATAACACATTTTACATGTAATTTCTTAATTATATCAATATTTAAAATCTATAATTTTACTCATTAAAAAAAATATAAAATTAAATATAGTACTTTCACACAACCCTATCTAGATATTTCATCAAAAACAGTGTGCTCTACTAGCATTTTCAAAGTTGTTTTATCTCAAAATACAACTGCTTCAATCATCGATTAAATTAACTAATAATAAGATGCTGTTTATGCTACAGATATAGATCTTAAACATCTATTGTCTAGATTCGCATTAAGTGAATAAAGCATAGATTATTCATACTTAGTTTCCACAAATACTGATCCTAAATCTACAGGTTTTATACCTTAGGTGTTTGCTCATCCTTAAATGAATTTTAGTAATTGCTTAAAAAAATTATATTTTTACAAAAAGTATTTTTAATATGACTTTTTTTACTTATAATCTATTTAAAATTTTTGATATAATCTAATTCCTCAAAATAACCAAGAAATTTCATTTTATCAAAAATAAATTTTAAAATATCTTAGAATTGATATTAATTTAACATCTAAGGACTTAAAACACATAAATTTAATAATTCTACTTTAAAAGTGTTAAAAATATGAAAATATAAAATATTGAGATTACAAATATCTAATTTAAATTTATTTTTTTTTTTTGAAGAGCTAAATTATATTTAGATCTTGAAATAAACCTTCTTGCTATTATTATTTTATATTACTTATTTAAAACTTGTAAGATTTATATAAAATAAAAAAAAGTAAATATTTTTACAAGTTATTATCATAAAAAAAATAAATTTATTTAATAAAATTTTTTTAGCAGATTAAAAAAATTTTTTTATAATCCTAATTTACATTTTGTAGACGTTTTATTTTCCTCTATTTAAAAGTAAATTGAATTATTTAAAACAAATTTAATTAATAAAAGCCTAAGAATAAACAATATTAGAAGTTGAGTTTTCTGATTCTATGAACAAAGACTTCGAAATTTAAAATTATAAAAATTTAACAAAATTTTTAATGATGACTCAATTAGTAAAAAGAGATTGTAAACCTATTTCTATTACTGATACAGAATAAATAACAATTACTAAGAATAGTTAAGAATATTTAACTATATTTACTCCAATTTAAATTTGCTTTGGAACTTTGACTGAATAGTTTAGTATTTACATAGCTTATTATGCAAAAGCAATATCCCTTGAAAAAATAGATTAAGAGATTTAGAGTGTAACAAAACTAACTCAAACCATGCTTATTATTATACCAGTTTCCTAAACATTTGTTTTATTTATTATAGTCTTTATTTTTTACTATCTTCTTAAATATTTCCTATTATTCAACTTTGAAATTCCAATAAATATTGTTTCTCAATTCATCAAGGAAGCTGACTGCAAATCGTAATACAAAAATCATTAATTTTTTAAATACCTTTAATTCATATTTAATAAATAGTATACATTTGTTTAATGAGAGAATTAAGAAAGGATTGATAAAAACTTCATAAGAGCTAAGGAATTTGATATTTACGATTAATGAAATTGTTTTTAAAGTTTAAGAAAGTGTAAATCAAATTGAAAAAATTAAATAAGTTAATTAATTTGATAAATTGGAGGAAATTTATAAAGCTTCTATGTTAATATATTAATAAATTTCCCATAAAAATGGTATAGCCCTTTGGTAAATTAGATTTAATAATTTTCCTATTTAATTCCTATTTAAAATAGTTTAAATAATATAGCTAGCATAAACTTATTACAAAAAAATTTTGGAAAGGCATTGTATTTTATGAGTTAATCTGATTAAATTAATAACTAAATCTTCGACGAAACTATTAAACCTATAATGATAAAGCAAAATATAAATTAGTAAGAAGCTATTAATATATTAAATCAACAAGAATATTTTGAATTCTTCAAGCTTTATGCATGCAGAAAATACTAGTTAGCTAATATCTTATATTTAATAGCTAAATAAATAGTTAAAAATACCAAAAACTAAAATAATAATATTTACTAAACAAAAAAAAGAGACTCAAGAGAGTAAGATTATTTTGAAATTTTAGCCAGCAAAGATTCCATTTACTTTGAGAATAGTATAGATTCAATTAATATAGAAAAAGAATAATAGTAACCATAGTATATTAACTCTTTTTACTCAAAAAAATTCACATAAAAATTTAATTAAAACTCAATTCAAAAAAATAATAATTTTGAAGAATATTAAAATTAGTAAAATTTAATTAAAACTTATACTTAATAGGCCAAAGATCTAATATCTGAAGCCAATAATATGTTTTAATTGATAAGTTATTCTAAAAAAACATCAATTATAGATTAAAATAAATTTAAACTCTACCAAGCACTTTGCTATTTATTATTAGTAAAGATATTATTCACTAATTAAAATTTTTAAAGAATCACTGTTGTTTAGGAAATATTTAAGCATATTAAAACCTTAATATTTTCTTAAGATTCTCTTTCAGATTCTGATTCTAATTTGAAAAAAATAATCTAACAACATTATTTTTATTATAAAAGCTTATTTACTTATAAATTATAAAAAATTAGTAAGTCTATTATTCTAGTTTTAAAAAGTCTTAATTATGATTATCAACTATAGCAAGAAGAAATAAAATCTTTTGAAGTATTTTGTACTTTTTAGAATTTAGTTTTTGTTGTTTATGACTCTAGAATAGCTCTTAAATCTCTAAAATTGCTATATAAAATAATATTAGAGGAAAACATATAAATTACATAAAATCAAATAACTTAAATATAATTAGATATTAAAGAACTAAGGAAAAACTCTAGAGAAAATTATGAAGGTAAATAATTTAAATTCATTTGAATATTTATTTATTTATTATTAAATAAAACCAGATGAGCTTAATTTTTATGAGATATTTTTTGAAGAACTAAAAATGAATTGAGATAAAAATTAAAAATAATTTATTCTGTAAAAATAATCATTTTATTTTTAATTTAGTTTGCAATTTTATTTATTTTTATCAGTTTTTGTATTTTTTAAATATTCTATTAATATTAATCCAGAATATTAAGTAAAATTATATCAGTATAGTACCCAAAAATAAGCAAGAAATCTTCAAAAAAATTTGACTGACTTATATTTTGATATTATTAATAAAAAATACAGTTAATTAAAAATATATAGATTGTTATAGGCAAGTTCTTAAGTAAAAATTAGTTCTACATAATAATGAGAGAATAATAAAAAAGGATAATTAGTATATTTTGTCCTTATATATTATGTCTTCTTACAGGATTTTCAATAATGGCAATAATGTTCCTGTATCTGTATCAAGCAAATGTGTAAATTTTAGATAAAATAATATGTTTTATGTTAAATATTTATTTATTTGATTGATTTTAAGCGAAAAATAGCTAAAAGATTATGTACTTAAATAATACAATGAATACTTAGATTTCACTAGCTATTCTGAAAAAATTATATTGACCATTCAGTTTTAAAAAATTACTTCTATAACGCAAACTTTAGGTTTATTTTCTTAAAGCTTGATGAATGATACTTTTGGTTATAGTAAAATAGGTAATTTGTTTTCACTTTTATCTAATGTTTTTATTTAAAATATCATCATTAAATCTTTAAAAATTAGTTTAATGGGAGGATTAATTGCCTTAGAAATTTTCATAAGGATAGGATAAACCAAATTTTCTGATAGCTAATGGTTATTAACTTGAAGATTACTGCAAACCTGTCAGTTTGTGTTAATCTAACTAAATATGCTTAGATAACTATGATAATTATTTTTAATAACTATATTACTTGGATGATGAAGTACAATACTGTAAAATTATTCATTTCTACTTTAAAAATATATTAAAATTATTTTTTTCTGTTAGAAAAAGTATAGTATTCTACATGGACTTATCAAATGACTAATGATTGGAAAGAATTAAAAGATATACAAAAGTAGTTTATCATCAAAATAAGTATGTTATAAGTTTTTGGATTGTCTTATATTTTGAATTAGTAAATAGACATAATCTAAACTACTGGAATTTATCTTACAAGATAAGAAGATGGAATTTTATTTGAAGTTATGCAATAGTAATTAATTAATTTAACTACTTTATCAATTTTTATATCTTTCATATTTATTATAAAATCTAGCAATTTACTTATTGATAACAGCTTTCTAAGTGTAAAAGAATACGGAGGCCCGTTTGATTGCAAAAAAATAAATGGAAGCTATCCAGAATATATTTATACAAATACTAATTAATTTGATGGATTTTTATATAAAGACGATTCTGGAAATATATGTGGAGATGTTAATTCGCCTTGCGAATGTCCTTATTTTAACACAAAAAGATTAACTCCATATGATTGGAGATGTAGGCCTTGGTATTAGTAAGCTGACGACACTTTCTTTGTGTAATTAAATTATTAGTTTATATATATAATATAGATGCTCTTAAATAAAGGATTTTTAATTAAAATCAAAAACTTAAAGTATGCTTATAAAAGTGAACTTTTTAAACAAAAATTTGATTTTTTATTAAAGCTTTTATTAATGAGTTCTTTCAGTACTTGAAAAAATTATTAAATTATATTTAATAAAAATAAAGATCTTATTCCTAGCCATATATAGATATTACATTTGGTTCTGTATGCGCAACAAGCACTTTTAAAGTAGTGCTCACGAATAATAAGACAAATTCTATTTAAAATGAAATTAATTATTAGCAAGATGCCGTCTTAGGAGCTGACATTGATCTCTCACATTTAAAATCTAGATTTATTTAAAGTACACAAAAAATAGAGTACTCTTATTTGCTCTCTACTAACGTTTATATTAACTCTACTGATTTTAGTCCATTAGTATTTGCTCATCCTAATATGAGTTAAAGTATATTTATTCTTTTATAAGAAATTAAAAAACTAAAAGAATAAAATATTTTATTTTTTAATTCAATTTTTAAGGATTATTGATTAATTAATATTTAGTTATAAACAAATTTAAAAAAACTTTTTCTTAATTATTTTTGTACTTGAAAAAAAGCCTAAGAATAAGACATTTATTAAGTAGAATTTACTGATCCTAATTACAATTAAACAGAGAAGTAGTAATTTAAAAATTAAACAGAGTTTTTAGTAGCTCCTTAATAAATAAAAAAATTTTGTAATGCAACATCAATAAACAATATTTAAATCAGAACTATAAATAAAAATAACATTCCATATTTAACTCGATTTACCCCAATATAAATATGCTTTGGTACTATAAACGAGTAATTTAGTGTTTATATAGCTTATTTTGCAAAAGCAATATCTCTTTAGTAAATTAATTAAGATATTTCAAGTGTTACATAATTAACTTAAATGATGATCATTATTATTCCTGTAGTTTAATCTGGTTGTTTAATTGTCATCCTATTAATTTTTTATTTTCTTCTTAAAAATTTCCTCAAATATAATTTTGAAATTCCAATTTAAATCCTAACTGAATTTATTAAAGAAGTTGACTGTTATTCGTAATTTAATTTTTATTTGTTTTAAATGCTAAATACAAATTATTACTATTTATTAAAAACTAGAATTTATATCTTTAATTGCAAGCTTAAAAATGGTCAGATAAAATCATCTGAAGAGCTTAGGAATTTGATATTTTCTATAAATGAGATTGTTTTAAAAATTTAAGAAAATGTTTAAAACATTGAATAAATAGATTAAAGTTCAAATGACTGCTAAGTAGAATAAATATACATGTAATCCTTGATAACTTATGAAGCTGTTTCTCATTAAAATGGAGCAGCAATGTGGTAAATTAATTAAATTAAAATATACATAATGAAAAATTCATTTTTTTAATAACTAGTTTAAATAATATTGCAGCTATTAATTTAATATAAAAAAATTTTGATAAGGCATTATCTTTTATGAGCCTTTCAGACAAAATTAATTAATAAATTCTCGAAGATTTCACTAAAAAATTAAAGGATTAGAATAATATAAATCAGTTTCAAGCAATTGAAATGTTAAACGAACAAGACTACTTCCCTTTCTTCAAACTATATGCAAGTCGAAAATATTAATTTGCTAATATTTTATACCATCATGCTAGAAGTTTAAATAAAGTCAAAAATGAATTAAAAATATAAAGATTCCTAAGTACAAACCAAAGTGCTTTAATTTCCTCATAATATTTATTAAAATAAAGACAATCATCTAACTTTATGTCTTAAAAAGATTCTAAGTTAATGAAAGACCTGTCAGTATTGTCTTCAGATATTTGTTTCTCTAAAAAATTTTAAATGAGATCAAACACTATAGTCTAAAATAAAGATATGACAAACCTGACTTAATAATTATAAGGCTTGGTAGAATTTTAAGAAGCAAAAAATTTAATTAATAAAGCTATTTATATTTTTGAACTAATTACAAGGTCTAATAAAATAAAAATTTTAGAAAAAAACAAATTTAAACTGTATTTAACTCTTTGCTTATTGCTATTGATCAAAATTTAACTTGTAGATTAAAAAGTTTTCAGAATAACAATTATAAAATAATTATTTAAAGATATAAAAAAATTGGTTTTTCGAAAATATTATTTATCTGATCACGATTAAAATTTATAAATAATAATTGTGTAGAATTATTTTTACTATAAAAGTCTATTCAATTTTAGATAATAAAATTATAGAAGATCTATATCTTATATTTTACAAAGTCTCTAATACTATTATAAACTTGAATATAAGTATAACTAAAATTAATTATTTACCTTTTAATCATCATTTTAGCAAGTTTATGATTCTAAAATTGCTTACAAATCTTTAAAATTGCTCTAAAAAATTATCCAATTAGAGATTATCAAAGTAAACGCCAACTAAAAAAAGCTAATAGAATAAGATATATTAAACTTGTAATACATTTCTAAAGACAAACTCCAAAGTAATAACATTTATTTTCTTTAATTAAACAAATAAATTTATTTAATTTTTATGAAAAAAAGATGAACTTAATTTTATAGAAATCTTCTATGACAATGACTAAAAACTATGAAAATAAAATCACTAATTTAAAATCTTTGAAATAAATAAATACTTTATTAAAAATTATTATATTAAATTATATTACTATAATTAATTAATTAATTTTGTTAATATTCATTAAGTTAATTAATATTTGCTAAATTTTATAATAAGTTTTCTATACAAAATCATCTCAAAACCTTATCTTACAGCAGTATTTATGATAATTAATAGCAATTAATTAGTTCGTACCCATTAATTAATTATTATATTTAAAAAAGTTAAAGCAATTCTAAAATAGAAATAAATGAACAAAATTGGATATCCATAAATATATTTAATAAATGTAAATTAACTACATACTTTTAAATTTTATCAATTTAAATTTAAAAAATTTATAATAATAAAAAAATTAAAATTTATACAAATAATTTTTTTGCAAGATACATTTTATTTAAAGATAAATAATGATTATCTATTATAATTAATTGGTTGGTACCCACCAATTAATAATTATATTTAAAAAAAGTTAAGTTCAATTTTAATTAAAGCTATTCTAAAATAAATAGAAAGTAATGGACTAAAGTGAATTTAGTAATTGATAGATTCTTTAAAAGAAATAATGTTTGTTTTGCTGCATATTAAAAAACTCCAAATTTACTTTTCATTTAATAATAATTAAAATTGATCAAAAATTATATAAATAGTATAGAAAGTGATTTAATAAATAAATAAAGATGATGCAAGAAATAGAGCTAAAGTACCGTGATAAAATTCGGAAATTGAATATCTTATTGTTTAATCCTCCGATCAGAAGTCCATCTAAGGCGCAATTGATAGTTATCAGACATGCTTTTTCTTAAATAAATTTGAAGATGAAGGAGTTTTTAACTGAAAAATTCGATGAGGTTAAGGAAAATAAGAATCATCCTGAGAGAAAATAATTAATCTTAAGTAGAGAAGACATAGATTCACCGCTTCATGAAATAGGTAAGGAAATTATTTATAAAAATATCCTATATTAGTTTAAGAAAATTACAGCTTTGGATTTTTTATTTTCTTTTGTTGAAACTAAATTTTTATTTCATGATATTAAAAATTAGGCATCTTGCAATGCATGAACAATTAAAAACATATTAATCTTATTGATTTTTAAATCGTTCTGGTATCACCATTAAAGCGTGCCCTTCAGACTTGCATTTATTTATTTTAAACCCACCCTAATAGAAAATAAATAAAGTATTTCTATTTTTGATGTTTAAATTAGGATAAATTAATTTGTTTCCTTTTTTATTTAAATACCCTTATCATATGCTAATTTGTTGAGTATTTCAAAGAAGATTCACTTTTTTAATTGTTTTTTTTTTTTTTCAAAGTTAATTAATTCTACTTCATAAATTAAAAGATTTTTAATTTTTCCTTTAGCAGCTGAAAAATTGAGCAATACATCTTCATTTTCGCCAGATACTTTTACTAATTAAAAGGAAGAAATATCTTAATTAGCTTCGAGATTTGATATTGAATTTGACTATAGCTTATTTAATGAAGTAATATTATTCTTTTTGAAACTATGTTTTTTTAAATTTTATTGAGTTTGATTAAAATTAAATATTTTGAAAATTTAAGTTTGAAGTCTAGGAGTAGTGGTAAATTGAAATGCTTTGTAATGACCACTTTCATATGAAATAGAAGCTAAAAGAATCAGATCCAAATAAAATTAATTACAAAGAATTTGTACTTTAAGAATTCGATGATCATTTTCCAGAATACCTTGAGACTTGGGAGCAGTTATACGAGAGAGCCTAATAAGCAAAATCTTAAATTAAGGCTTTTTTAAGATAAACTGATAAGAAAGTTGGTCTAATATCTCATTTTAATTTGATTAAATGCCTAACAGGAGACGGTATAAATGATGAAAAATAAATAATTAATGGAATAAACATAAATAATTGTTAGATAATTCCTTATCCAAATATTAAGAAGGATAATTGAATGATTTCTTAAAAAATGTTAAATTACAAAGTATTTAATTAAAATACTATTTATATATTTTGTATTAAATAATTTTCTATTTTTAAATACTGTGAATACTAATATAATACTTATTTATATATTGATAAAATATATGGATAGTTACAAATTAGGGCTATTATTTTTAAAAGTTTTTTTTAGGGAGGATAACCTTAATTAAGGAGGGTTTAGAGTATATTTAAGATTATATAATTTAACATAATATTTTATTAATTTCAATTTAACAAGAAGAAACAAACTTAAATATATTATTCACTAATAGTTAAAAAAATATTAGTTTATGATATATAATTGCTTAAATAAAATGTAGTGTAAATAAAGTGTACTAAAAATTTATATAATAAAACAAAAATGTATGTAAATAACTGAAAAAATTATAAATATGATTATTTTGTTTTACGCCTAATTTTTTATAAATTATAAAAAAAATTTCAGATTTTTTAATTAAAATACATTGAAGAAAGAGTGAAAAATATTGTTTTCTGCAAACTGTAAATATGAACAAATTTAAGATAAGATGTATTAATGAATAACAATAAAGATTAATAAAAATATTTTGGCCTTATCTTGTTATTTTAAGTGTTGGTTTTTCTATTAGTTTAATAGTGTAACTCCATTTTTATTAGCAAAACGTGTAAAGATTAAAGATTATTACTGCACCATTTAATTATAATAATTTATATTTTCAAAATGAAAAAGAGAAGATTAACTTAAAGAATATGTATTGCAAAGGTATCAGAATTATCTAGATGTTGTTACTTACTCAGAAAAGCTAGTTTTAACTTTATCGTTTTAAGCTACCTCACATATAAACCAATAAATGGGATTACTAAATAGAGATTTAATGACTAATATTTCTTATGAAAGTGTAGGTAAGTAAATTTAATAGTTTTCAAATTAAATAAATATGTAGAAGTTTTATTTGTGTTTCAAATTAACACTCTTAATTGCTTATAAATATTTAAATTATGCCTATTATCGATTGATTTTTGTTTAAATAATAAGTATCTTGGGAAGATCAAACACCTGAACGCTATTCTCCAAATCAAGCTTTACCTAACATTTTACTTTAAAGTGATTTTAGACTTAAAGACTATTGTTAAATTAAAGAAAAATGTGGTTAAGATTAACAATGCTTAAATAATTTTGATAATTATCTTCTTTAATTTGATAAAAATAGAAATTCTGTATAATATTGTAAGTTAAATAATTTAGATATTAGTTAAATTTTTTTTGACAAAAAGATAAAACATAATGGAATACTTGGTCATACCATAACCAAAACTTATGGGAAAACCTTGAACTAGAATAGAAGCATTTTATCATAAAATCAAGTCTCTAATTACTCTTTGCCTCATCTTATGTAGAAAATTAGTACAGCAATTATGCTTAAGCTAATGCTATTTATGGAGCTAGAAACAAGGACGGCTTATTAATTGGATAATATACTTCGTAATTTATTTTAATTTTCAAAAATAATTTTTTCATTTTAAAATAAGTACAAAGATACTGATTAATAAATAAATCAATAATACAAGCTATGGAGGACCTTTCTATTGTATGAAAGTTAATGGCTAGTATCCTGAATTCAAATATACTAATATCGATTAATTTAATGGGTTTTAATATATGGATTAGGCTGGATAGGTTTGTGGAAACTAATCAAAGCCATGCTCATGTAGCTATTTCAATATCAAAAGAATGTATCCTATAGACTGGAGATGCAGACCTTGGTATTTATCAGCTAACAATACATATTATATGTAATTTCAACATATTTTTACATAAACTAGAAATTCTTTTGAAATAAATACTAGTTCTTATTCTTAACCATACACTAATATTTTACTTGGGATAGTTAGCATTACTTGTACTTTTAAGGTAGTTATACCTAGATAATAAATTCATAGTATAGAAGATGAGCTTAACTTTTAATCAGATGCTATTTTGGCGATAGATATCAATTTAGGAGAGCTCTAGAAAAGATTTATGAAGAATGACACATAAACATAATATTCCTATTTATTATCTACAAATACTGATAAAACTGTATCCAATTTTACTCCGTTGGTAATAGCTCACCCACTTATGAATAAATGTAATTAATCATAATAAATAAAATAAATACTATGAAAACATATTAATTTACCCCCACTGCCTCCCTCATTCTCAATTTGTCTTCATATAATTTATTACAAGCAAAAAGCTAGATTTTAATACAAGCTTGACCTTTATTAATAAGGATTTATAGTGGCATATAATTTTGCTAAAAACAAATTTTGTTATTAATTTAATAATTAATTTGGAATTTTTTGATTATTGTTCAAATTAAAATATTGAATTATTGATAATTAAATATTTTTAAGAAATACCACACCACACATTTTAGTTGGAATACAAATTAATTTTAATAATTTAGCAAAATATAAAAAGAGAGTTCTATTTTTATTTGAAATTTCTTCTTCTTTTTAATCATTTAATTATTTTAATAATACTAATTTATAAATATTTTTAAATAAAAATTAATTAAACAAGTAGCAATATTAAAATTTTTGATATTAGTAATTTTCTTGAATAAAAATGAATTAAAAAGTAAGAATAATATTTAAATATGTATATCAATGTTAATTTTAAAACAAATTATAAAATAATATGATAAAACTATCTCAATTAAAATATTTTATATTGTGTCATTTAAAATAAAAAGTTTAAAGTATTAAAATTTTTTCTTGGTAATTATTTTTTAATTTTAATTTTAATAAATGATATAAAAAAGTTAATACGTAATCTATTTATGATGTAGAATTCTAATCAAATGATTTAAGTGAGCTAGAAGAATACAAAAACTAAACTAATTTTTTAGTGGAACTTTAATAAAATTAAAATGGATGCAGCTAAATATTTAAAAACAATGATTCAACAACATTAATTATAAAAAAAAATAATACATAATATATAACAATGTTTTCTAAATTATAGATATGCTTTGGAAATTTAAATGAATAAAAAACAACTGCAATAGCTTATTATGCTATTGCTATATCTTTTAACAAAAGAGATTAAGATATAAAAAGTGTAGAATAGACTTTGTAATAAATGCTGAATATTACAATATAATTATTAGTTGGGCTTTTCATCGCAATACTCTTGTTGTTTTATTTCTTACTAAAAAACTTTTTGTTTATTAACTTTGAAAATCCAATCTAAATTTTGTCCAGCTTTGTTAACGAAGCTGATAGTTATAGGTAACTTATATTATAATATTTATTCATTTGTAAAACATTTTAAAAAATAAATAATTTAATTTCATATTTTTAAAATATAAACAATTTAGTAATATTAAAGCTAATTTAATCAATTTTTCAATAGATTTAGCATAACCTTAATACCTCTTACATCTTATAAACCAAAAAATAAAAATTTACTACTATTCTAGGTTTTTACTAATAATATACTATCTATATTTTAACATATTAAAAATTATTAAATGAGGTATTAAGGTAATTAATAATTTTATTATTTACTAAAAAAATTAATGTAAAAATAATTTAATCTCTTTAAATAAATAAATTATTTTTTAATAATTTTAAAAAAGTATTTACCATTTCAACTAAAAAATTCAAAACGGAGAGCTAAAAACATAATATGAGCTTAAAAATTTTATTTATGCAATTAATTAAGTAGTTCTCAACGCTATATAAGTAATATAATAAAAACTAGAAAACAATGACAGTACATATACTGATACAATTTTAGCATATTAAGATTAGCTTAAAGTATTTACAATAATCTCGCATTAATATGGAATTGGAATGCTGTAAATTTTTATTTAAAGAAATTTTATTAATTGACTTTATTTAAAAAAAGCCTAAATAATATGTCTGTAATGTATCTCCTATTAAGGAACTACGAGTAAGCCCTTAATTACATGAATGAATCAGAAAAAAATAGTTGTTCAATCTTTGAATAATTTACTTAATCAATAATGAATACATAAGGTGTAGATCAAATAAAAATTATTACCTTTGTTTGCGAATAGGGTTAAAACATACCACTTTTAGAGATTTATGCCTGTAGGAAATTCTAGTTAGCAAATATCATATACAACTTTTGCAAATTTAGTAGTAATGAAAAAAACCAAACGAAAACTAAGAATTAATTATATACATTTAATTAACATAAAGAATAAATTAATTTCTTAAATAGCTCTGAAGAGATAAAAATTTAAGAGAATGATTCTCACATTAATTTTATGAATTTAAATGAGAGTTAAAACTACATGAAATAGTCATTTAATTAAACATTTTATTCATAAAAATTTCATTAAATTTAAAGTAAATCTACCCCCAAAAAAAATAAGAGAGGTGGAGATGAGAAATAAATAATAGATATAAAAATGTATTTAAGATAAGCTCAAGATTTATTAAGTGATTCTCATTAAATATTTTTGCTTATTTCTAATTCTCACAAAATAAATGTTTAAGAGAAGCAAAAGTACTAATTCTATTCAATAATAGCAAATATTTTGCTTATAAAATGCATACTATTAAAATAAGGGAGAAAGACAATCATTAATTAATTATTTGTACATATTAGGTAGGAGCTATTAAAGCCTTAGCATGTATTTAATGAATAAAATGCAATACTTAAAAATATTCTGATTTAGCATTACTTTTATTATAAGGCTCTTTTTAATTATCAATTGAAAAAATATGATAGAGCTCTTATATTAATTTTAAAGAGTTTAAATAAATAATTAAGAAGTAAAATATTTTAATATATTTAAAATTAAGAACCTAATGTTTATGATGGATATATAGCAAAAAAAGCATTAAAATTATTGAAAAAATTAATAGAATAATTGAAAATTATTATGGATCCCATTCAATATAATTTACTATGTTAAGATGAGTTGAATTTAAACAAAATAGACAAGCAATAATGTAAAAAAATACTTTTTTAATAAAATTATTAATTTATTTTAAAATTATTAGATGAATTTAACTTTTTCGAGATGTTTTTTGATACAAACTAGAACTTAAAATGAAAGATGGATTTATTCATAAAAATTTAAATAAAATATATAAAAATAGCTTACAATGAAAAAATTACTTTTTTAAAATATTGAGAATAATTAATTATCCTTGGCTTTCAAAATATCCAATTTAAATAACTTAAGAAAATGAACTGTTTTGCCTTAATAAATGAGCTTTAAGCTAAAAACATACTTAATTAAATAATAACTAGAGAGTGTTAATTAATAAGAAAAAATAAATCAGAAGAATAATAATTAAAAATTAAAAAAAATTTCATAATTAAATAGTATTGAGTTAAATAGTTAAATTATAAGTTTAATATTATAAATAATTCTCAATATTTTTATTATAAACTTACTGTGTTTTTAATCTTCTTACTTTTTAAAGATTTGTTACTTTTTGAATAGAAAAATCATAAAATCCTTAGAGATTTATCATATTTATAATGGAACCAAAAGTGTTTAGTTTTAGATTACTTTGATCTATCTATTTTGTATTTTTTGATAAAGTAAAATTAAGTTTTTATCTTTGATGAATAGTAATTAAAAAAAAAATAGAATTATTATTGTTTTTATTTTGTTCATTTAAAACAATCATACTTCATGGTTTTTTTTGTAAGTGCTAATTTTAGTGGATTAAATATTTTTAAAAATCAATTTCATTTTAATGGGTCTATAAATTTAAGTACACTTGGTAATAGAGTATTGTTAAGACTCTATATTTATGATTTCATTTTTAACTTATTAGTAATAAATATGTAAATAACAAAAAGAGCAATTATAATTTTTGATAAAAATGTATTATTCATTTTACTTTGTTTAATACTTAGTAATAAGTTAGCCTTTTTAAAAAACTTAAAATAAATTACTGTTTATTTTTGAATTACTAAATTTAGATTTCCTTTCATAATACATATATTTTTTTATTATGGTTACAAGAAAGAATTTATATCTATATATTTTCTAAAAATAATAAAAATTAAACTATTAAATTTTTAAAAAATCAGTACTTTTTAGATTAATGAAAGACAATAAGGAAGCTTAAAAACATTACTTCTTAGAATCATAAAAGATATTAATAAAATAATTTGGGCCATTCATATTATGCCTCATTTTTGGAATATTGTTGCTTGTAATTATTACTATTTACTACTACTAGGTCTTTGCATAAGTTTTATTTTTGTTAATTTAAGATTGTTATTGACCATATTAAAGAGTAAATAAATTTAATTATAAATAGGTGTGATGCAAAAAAATGAGATGTCACTGTTTTAATTTCAAGATTTAGGTTATTCTTCATTATTGTAGAGATTAATCTTTATGATAAATTAGCTAAATATTTAAAAGAAATTTATATTTTAGATCTTTAAATAACATAATCTAAATTTCGAAAAATTAATTAGTTAGGAGAAACGATAATAATCATGATAGATATTCATAAAATGAAGAGAAACCATACTTCTTAATAACAAATTATGATGTGCTTGAAGATTAATGTAATTTAAAAAGTCTTTGTGATTTTGACTAAAATTCTTAAAGCACATATACATATAATGAATATATTAATTAATATAACCCATTTAAAAACTATGTTTAATATGGTAAATATTAGGGATAAGATATATTTTATAATAAGTTTTTGTGGGGGAGATAATCCTAATTAGTGAGGGTTTAGAGTTTATTTATTATTCATATAGTTAAATGTAATATTTTATTCATATTAGTATAAAAGGAAGAAACCTCCTTAAATATAACATAAATTAATATTTAAACAAATATATATTTGTTAATGATATTGAATTGCTTAAATAAAATGCTGTGTAAATAAATTGAACTAATAATTTACAAAATAAAACAAAAATTAATGAAGATAACTAAAAATTTATAAACATTATTTTTTTGTTTTACTCCTTATCTTTTATAAATTATAATCAAATTTTTGCAGATTATTAATTAACATACACTGAAGAAAGAGTGAAAATATTGTTTGTTTGCAAATTGCAAATATGAACAAATTTAAGATAAGATGTATTAATGAATAACAATAAAGATTAATAAAAATATTTTGGCCTTATCTTGTTATTTTAAGTGTTGGTTTTTCTATTAGCTTGTTAGCGTAACTCCATTTTTATTAGCAAAATGTGTAAAGATTAAAGATTATTACTACACCATTTAATAAAAATAATTTATATTTTCAAAATTAAAAAGAGAGGATCAGCTTAAAGAATATGTATTGCAAAGGTATCAGAATTATCTAGATGTTGTTACTTACTCAGAAAAGTTCATTTTAACTTTATCGTTTTAAGCTACCTCAAAAATAAACCAATAAATGGGGTTATTAAATAGAGATTTAACTACTAATATTTCTTATGAAAGTGTAGGTAAGTGAGTTTAATAGTTTTCAAATTAAATAAATATGTAGAAGTTTTATTTGTTTTTGAAATTAAAATTCTTAACTGCTTATAAATATTTAAATTATACTATTTCCAATTGATATTTGTTTAAATAATAAGTATCTTGGGAAGATCAAACACCTGAACGCTATTCTCCAAATCAATCTTTACCTAACATTTTACTTTTAAGTGATTTTAGACTTATAGATTATTGTTAAATTAAAGAAAAGTGCGGCCAAGATTAACAATGCTTAAATAGTTTTGATAATTTTCTTCTTTAATACGATAAAAATAGAAATTCTGTATAATATTGTAAATTAAATAATTTCGATATTAGTTAAATTTTTTTTGACAAAAAGATAAAACTTAATGGACTACTTGGTCATACTAAAACCAAAACGTATGGGAAAACCTAGAACTAGAATAGAAGCATTTTATCATAAAATCTAGTCTCTAATTACTTTTTGCCTCTTCTTATGTAGAAAATCAATACAACAATTATGTTTAAGCTAATGCTATTTATGGAGCTAGAAACAAGGACGGCTTATTAATTGGATAATATATTTCGTAATTTACTTTAATTTTCCAAAATAATTTTTCCATTTTAAAATAAGTTCAAAGATACTATCTAACAAATACGTCAATAATACAAGTTATGGAGGACCTTTCTATTGTATGAAAATTAATGGTTAGTATCCTGAATTCAAGTATACTAGTATCGATTAATTTGATGGGTTTTAATATAAGAATTAGGCAGGATAGGTTTGTGGAAATGAATCAAATCCATGCTCATGTAGCTATTTCAATGTCAAAAGGATGTACCCTTTAGACTGGAGATGCAGACCTTGGTATTAATCAGCTAACAATACATATTATATGTAATTTCAAAATTTTTTACATAAATTACAAACTCTTTTGAAATAAATACAAGTTCTTATTCCTAACCATACACTGATATTTTACTTGGGTTAGTTAGCATTACTTGTACTTTTAAGGTAGTTATACCTAGATAATAAATTCATAGTATAGAAGATGAGCTTAATTTTTAATCAGATACTATTTTGGCGATAGATATCAATTTAGGAGAGCTCTAGAAAAGATTTATGAAGAATGACACTTAGACAGAATATTCCTATTTATTATCTACAAATACTGATTCAACTGTATCTGATTTTAGTCCGTTCGTTATAGCTCATCCTTTAATGAATAAATGTAATTACTAATGATAAATAAAATAAATACCATGAAGCCTTATTAATTTACCCCCACAAACTCCCCCTAACTCCATTTATATGAAACCTAAAATTACAAGCAAATATCAAAATTTGAATACAAGCTTGACATTTATTAAAAAGGAATTATAGTGGCAATTAACTTTGCTAAAAGTAAATATTGTAATAAATTTAACAATTAATTTGGAATTTTTTGATTATTATTCAAATTTAAATATTGATAATTGAAAACGAAATATTTTTAAGAAATGCACATATTTTAGTTAAAATACTGATTAATTTTAATAATTTAGAAAAATATATAAAAACAAATTATGTTTTTATTTAAAATTTCTTCTTCATTTTAATAATTTAAATATTTTTAAATTACTAATTTGTAAATATTATGAAAAACTATAAATAAAATTAAAATTTTTGATATTAACAATGAAATCAATATTTATTAAATGGTAAGAATAATATTTAAATCTTTGATATCAATATTAATATTAAAACGAGTTATAAAATACTGATTTTTATTAGTAATATATGGATGAATATTTTTTGATTTTTATTTTAATAAATGATATAAAAAGTTACTGAATAATCTATTTACGATGTAGAATTCTAATAAAATGATCTAAGTGAGCTAGAAGAATACAAAAACTAAACTAAATTTTTGGTAGAACTTTAAAAAAATTAAAATGGATGTGGATAAATATTTAAAAACAATGATTCAAAAACGCTAGTTATAAAAAAAAATAATACATAATATATAACAATGTTTTCAACAATATAGATATGTTTTGGAAATATTTATGAATAAAAAACAACTGCAATAGCTTATTATGCTATTGCTATATCTTTTAACAAAAGAGATTAAGATATAGAAAGTGTTGAATAGACTATGAAGTAAATGTTAAATATCACAATACAACTATCAGTTGGGCTTTTCTTCACAATACTCTTGTTGTTTTATTTCTTACTTAAAAATTTTTTATTTATTAACTTTGAAAATCCAATCTAAATTTTGTCTAACTTTGTGAATAAAGCTGATAGTTATAGGTAAAATATATTATAATACTTATTTATTTCTAAAGAATTTTAACAAAAACATAATTTAATTTCCTATTTATAAAATAGAAAAAATTTATTAATAGTAAAGCTAATTTAATCAATTTTTCAATAACTTTAGCATAACCTTAATACCTCTTACTTCTTATAAACCAAAAATAAAAATTTACTACTATTCTAAGTTTTCAAAACCACAATAATATGTTATCGATATTTTAACTTAAAAAAATTATTAAATGAGGTATTAAGGTATAAATAATATAATTATTTGCTAATAAAATTAATGTTAAAATAATTTAATCTCTTTAAAAAAAATAAATAAATAATAATTTTTTAATAATTTCATAAATAGTATTTACCATTTCAACTAAAAAATTCAAAACGGAGAGCTAAAAACCTAATATGAGCTTAAAAATTTTATTTATGCAATTAATTAAGTAGTTCTTAATGTTATATAAGTAATACAACAAAAGCTAGAAAACAATGACAGTACTTATTCTGATATAATTTTAGCATATGAAGATTAACTTAAAGTTTATACAATATTCTCACACAAATATGGAATTGGAATGCTGTAAATTTTTATATTAAGAAATTTTATTAATTGACCTTATTTAAAAAAAGCCTAAATAATATGGCTGTTATGTATCTCCTTTTAAAGAATTACGAGTAAGCCCTTTATTTCATGAATGAGTCAGAAAAAATAAGTTGTTCAATCTTTGAATAATTTACTTAATCAATAACTAAAACATTAGATGTAGATCAAATAAAAATAATTTCCTCTGTTTGCGAATAGGGTTAAAATATACCACTTTTAGAGATTTATGCCTGTAGGAAATTCTAGTTAGCAAATATCACATACAATTTTTGCAAATTTATAAGCAAAAAAAAAAACCAAATTAAAACTAAGAATTAATTACTTACTTTAACTTAAAATAAAGAATAAATTTCTTTCTTAAATATTACTGAAGAAATAAAAAATTATGAGAATGATTCTCATATTACTTTTGTTAATTTAAATGAGACTTAAAACAATATGAAATATTCATTTAATTAAACATTTTATTCATAAAAATTTCAATAAATTTAAAATAAATTAAGCCCAAAAAAAAATAAGAAAGGGGGAGATGAGAAGTAAGTAATTGATATAAAAATGTATTTAAGATAAGCTCAAGATTTATTAAGTGATTCTCATTAAATATTTTTGCTCATTTCTGATTCTCACAAAATAAATATTTAAGAGAAGCAAAAGTACTCATTCTATTCAATAATAGCAAATATTTTGCTTATAAAATGCATACTATTAAAATAAGGGAGAAAGACAATCATTAATTAATTATTTATACATATTAGATAGGAGCTATTAAAGCCTTAGCATGTATTTAATGAATAAAATGCAATACTTAAAGATATTCTTATTTAGCACTACTTTTATTATAAGGCTCTTTTTAATTATTAACAGAAAAAATATGATAGAGCTCTTCTATTAATTTTAAAGAGCTTAAATAAATAATTAAGAAATAAAATATTTTAATATAAACACAATTAAGAACTTAAAGTTTATGATGGATATATAGCAAAAAAAGCATTAAAATTATTGAAAAAATTAATAGAATAATTGAAAATTATTATGGATCCCATTCAATATAATTTACTATGTTAAGATGAATTGAATTTAAACAAAATAGACAAGCAATAATGTAAAAAAATACTTTTTTAATAAAATTATTAATTTATTTTAAAATTATTAGATGAATTTAACTTTTTCGAGATGTTTTTTGATACAAACTAGAACTTAAAATGAAAGATGAATAAATTAAAATTACATTTAAAATGTATAAAAATAGCTTTCAATGAATAAAATTTACTTTTATAAAATATTGAGAATAATTAATTATTCTTGGTTTTCAAAATGTCCACTTTATATAACTTAAGAAAATGAACTGTTTTCATTAATAAATGAGCTTGAAACTAAAAACAGACTCAATTAAAAAATAACTAGAAAGTGTTAATTAAGAAGAAAATATAAATCATTTAAAAAATTGAAAAAAAATTACATAATAAAATAGTATTGAGTTAAATAGTTAAATAATAAGTTTAATATTATAAATAATTCACAATATTATAATTATAAATTTATATTGTTTGTAATCTTAATTTTTTAAGACTTGTTACTTTTTGAATTTCTTTTTATAAAATTTATAGAAAATCATAAAATCTTTAGAGATTTATCAGATTTTATAATGAAATCAAAAATGTTTATTTCATTAAATTTGTTTTTAATTCTTTTAATTTACACAATCAAATTTTACATTTGACTCAAAAAAATATCAGATTTCTAAAAATAAAAAATTTAAAGCCAGAATAAAAGAGCTGAATTAAGGAAAATTTAATTTACAACTAACTTTTCTTGGTCGTTAAAGAAGAAATAAATTTTTTTAATTTTATCTTTCTAAATTACTTTTATAATAAAGTTTTAGATTACTTTGATCTATCTTTTTTAATTTGTATTTTTTTGAATTAAGCTTTTATCTTTGATGAAATTGTCATTAATAAAAATTGAATTTTTATTGTTTTTATTTTGAATCTATCCATTTAAAACAATCATACTTTATGGCTTTTTTGTAAGAGCTTACTTAAATCAAAATTAATGGATTAAATAGTTTTAAAAATCAACACCATTTTAATGGATTTATAAATTTAAGTATACTTGGTAATAGAGTATTGTTAAAAGTTCTACATTTATGATTGTATTTTCAACTTATTAGTAATAAATATGTAAATGATGAAAAGTACAATTACAATTTTTGATAGAAATGTATTATTAATTTTAATATGTTTAATACTCAAGTATTTTTAAATTAGTTACTCTTGTTAAAAAACTTAAAATAAATATAAAAATAAATCATTATTTATTTTTGAATTTCTAAATTTTTGATGTAATTTTCTTTCATCATACTACATATATTTTTATATTAAGGTTACAAGGCAGAATTTATATTTATATTTTTCTAACAATAATTAAAAATAAACTAATAAATTTTTAATAAATCAATACTCTAGATTGATGAAAGACAATAACCAAGTTTAAAAACGCTACTTCTTAGAATCATCAAAGAGATTAATTTCTTTATTTTGGCCATTCGCATTATGCCTTATTTTTGGAATATTATTGCATGTAATTATTACTATTTACTACTGCTAGGTCTTTGCGTAAGTTTTTTTTTTTAGTGAATTTAACATTATTATTAACCATTTTTAAGAGTGAATAATTTAAAGTCATACGCCTCGTCTGTTTATACAAACTATCTACAGTTTACTGCACTATCAGAAAGCATCATCTTAACGTATTCTTTTTAAAGGACGACGTCTATTTAATAATAAATAGGAGTAATGCAAAAAAATGTGATGTCACTATTTTCATTTCAAGATTTAGGTAATTCTTTTTTATAGTAGAGATTAATCTTAATCATAAATAAGCTAACAAATTTAAACGAAATTTATATTTTTTAGATTCTTAAATAATTTATTCTAAATTTGAAAAAACTTAAATAGTTTCATGGGATGATAATAACCATGATAGATATTCATAAAATGGAGAAAAACCATACTTCTTAATTACAAATGATGATGTCCTTGACGATTACTGTAATCTAAAAAGTCTATGCGGAATCGACTAAAATTGTTAAAGCACATATGATGACTATATTAATTAATATAACCCATTTAGAAACTATGTTTAATATGGTAAATAAATAAATAAATATACTTTTTTAAAATCATTTTATAAATATATTATTACTAATAAAATAGAAAAGTCACAGTTCTCTACTTTTAGTTCCTCTAACTATTACTTATGGAAAAGTCTTTCATTGGATTAAAAAGAATATTTGATAAAGATCAATTTAATTAAAGTTTTTGCTCATTCTTTTGTGTTCACTACTTAAGGAGATTATATTTAAAGCACAAGTATTTATATAGTTGACGAAAAAAATGGGTTTCTTTTTGACTACTTTTTTATGTAATAATTATTGAAATTTAAAAGAAATTCTATCTGTAAACCAAATAAAAATATAATTATCAATTCTACAATTTACCACAAAATATTATCTTACTTCTTATTCAAACTTTTTATTTTACAATAATTACAACAAATTAATTTTAAGAATTTTCAAGCTGATTTCTATCTATTTTTAAAATTAAATTAGGAGAAAACTTATAGCTACATAAGCTTTAAATTCCACATATTATGGAGGTCCATTTACATGCGATAAAATTAATGGGGAATATCCAAAATATGCTTTTACTTCTCCAGATTAATTCGATGGATTTTAATATAAAGACTAAAGTCTAAAAACTTGTGGTAACTCAGAAAATAAGTGTTCTTGCTAATATTTTAATTAAAAGAGGCTTTTTCCAACTGAGTGGAGATGCAGACCTTGGTATATTTAAGCAAATTAAACATTTTCAGTGTAAATTTTTAGAATTAATTTTTTTAATTAAAGAAAATTACACTTTAAAATAGCTCATATACTGTTCCTTATGTAGATATTTCATTTGGTTTCGTTGCAAGCACTTGTGTTTATAAAATTGTTTTACCAGGGCCTGAAAGAAATTTAAAAAGCATTTAGGATGATTAAAATTACTAAGCTGATGCAATTTCTGCTTTTGACATAGATTTAGCAAATCTTTAAGAAAGGTTTATGTATAATTCTACAATAGAGTATTCATATTTAGTTACATCCGCAATAACAGACTAGCAGTAACCTAATGATAAATATGTGATAGCTCATCCTTAAATGGACAGATGTAATTTTATAAAAAATAATTTTATTGAATAATTTCTTCTATTTTTGTTTGTATCTTGAAAAAATAAACACACATATATAGATTAATAATAGACCATTTTAGAAGTAGAATTTTAGTATTCAACTAACAAAGAATCAGAGTAGCAGTATTACCTTGAATAAACTGAATTTATGAAAGAGCCAATCAATTATGAAAATAAATGTTCCTATTAATTCTTAAACAGTTCAAATCTTAGAATTATCTATAAAAACAATACAGGCTTTATTACTCTTTTTGCTCCAATTAAAGTATGCATTGGAAATTTATTTGAATAAAAATAATATGTAGTTGCCTTTTATGCAAAAGCGTTTTCCTTGTAGTAGTTACAATATGATGTAAATTAAATTGTTGAGAGTACTTAATTGCTTATAAAAGTTTGTGAAATCTTATTTGTTTTGATATTTTTATTTCTAATGTTTTTAAAATGTACCTTGCTACGTTACTTTTTGCAAGTAAATTTTGAAATACCTATTGAGATTCTAACCAATTTTATTAATAATGCTTCAAGCTAAGAGTAAATTGATTTTATGACTTCACATATTTATTCAATTAACTTGTTTTAGTATTTATAAATTTAGTTAGTTGCTAGAGAAAAAATAACTTTGTACATAGTTAGAGTTGAAAAATTTAATTCTAGCCATTTGTGAAGTTGTTCTTAAGATTCATGAAAAAGTCTATAAGTAAATGAATTCTGAAAATTCAGATTACGATATAAATCAAGTAAAAATAAAACTCGAAGATTCTCTAAAAACATTCAAAATATTTTCTCATAAAATTGGAATTGGAATGTGGTAAATAAATAAATTTAAAGTATTCTTCTTTTATTTTAAATGAGTTTTCAAATATGTTATTTTTTATTCAAAAGTAATTTAGCTTACATTTATTTATTTTAAAGAAATTTTAATTTATTAATTAATTAGTTAAAATAATTTAGCTGTTATTTACTTTTAGTAATAAATGTATCAAAAAGCTTTGCATTATATGAATAAGTCTGTTTAAACTGCGGATAGAATATTTTAAGAAATGGTTAATGAATTTTAGTAGATAGATTAATTAAGTAATTATTAAATTATGCAAAGTATCAGCTATAATAAGAAATCAAGGTCATTTTTAGAAATATATGCCTGTAGAAAGTATTAGCTTGCAAATTTTATTTATTTTTACTATAAATAGAATCTAAATAAAAAATCCTCAAATAAAATCAATTTAGAAAATTAAATGAATTAAAATTTTTTTGATTTAGGTTGCTCTGAAGCAAGTTTAATAAGCTTAGATAAGAAAATAATAATTTAAAGCTTAAACAGCAGCATTGAGTAGAGCTTTTAAATATAAAACAAATTACGCTAAAATAGACTACCTGTTTAAAATATTTTTTTTTCTTAAAGATTCAAATTAAAGATAGAAAAAGATATTAGTAACAATATTTACATGAATATGAATAAAAATGATTTTAATGAATGCTTAAATACCTAGTGCACTGATTTAATTTATGAATCTTTTGAGATTTTTTAAATTATTGAGCAATTTGATGAGTTTTAAAAAACTAAAAAAGTTTGTTTTTAATTTTATAAATGCTTACTCTTAATTTTGCTTATAAAAATTATACTTAAGTAAAATAAGAAATAGCAGGTATTAGATAGTTTTTTTAATATTTTGTAAAACTTAATAAGTGAAATATTGAAACATTACTATCTAAATTAATAGGATTAGTTATTATTAAATGTCATCTACTAAAAATTTTTCTTAGCAAAGGCACTTTATATGTTTTAGATAAATAATATTGTAAAAGCTTTAAAATTTACTATAAAAAGCTTGTTTTATAAAGCTGATAAGCTGTAGCTATTATATTTTTAATATCAAAATTTGAGCTTTTACTATGATGCTAATGATGCTAAGAAGGCTTTAAAATTATTTAGGAAAATAATAAAACTTTTAAATATCGATTTAAATGTAGACCAATAAATTTTAATAAATTAAGATATCCTAAAACTTGAAGAAGCTTGCAGTATGTAACATGCAAGTAAAATATTATTAATTTATTTATCTAATTAGCTTTATATTTATATATTTATTATATTATACATATAAAATTTAAAAAATAGGTGAACTACATTTTTTCGAAGTATTCTTTAAAGAAAAGTAAAAAGATAAGGTAAATTCAGTAAAAAATCTCAATTCGATTACATTTATATGATAAATTAATATAATATTTTTACCTAACCTAACATAGTATATATTATAATAAATACTAACAATATTCTACTAACAAATCATTAAGAAATAATAAAAAATATAAATGAAATCATTTATTTTGTAATAAAGACAAACTTTTAGCTAAAATTGGTTTTTAGCTTTTTATATTTATTTCCATAATGTATTTTTTGGAATTAATTAATATTTATAGATTGAAAAGGCATTTATTATTTATTTATTTACATACTTATTCATTTCAGTACATCAAAGAATTGTTATTATTTTAATTTTGAGCAATTTCTTGCTGCAAAGATTATCTAGAAAATTGCAATATTTTCTCATTCTAATTTTTTATAAAAATATTCAAATTTTAACTTGGTTTTACAAAATTTAAATTTATTGTTTAAATAATTATTTAATTACATTGGCTGCTATTGAAGATTTCATTTCATTTATGTCTTTATCGAGTTCATTGAGCTGACTGTTTAATTATTCTAATGCTAAATAGGAAGAGGAGCCTTTTATTAAATATAAAACTTCAATTTAAATTATGTGTTTAAAAATAAATTACTTACTTATGTTGAGATTTTCAAGATCAAAATTAAAATTGTTTTTGTTTAAATTAGAAACTAAGGATTCAACTCCAGTTAAGGCTAGTTATTGTTTTCCTTGCAAATTATCTTAACTCATTTTATTCTAAGACGGGGGTTGCCTCACCATGTTATCCTGTTTGATAAATAATAAAAAATTGAAAACTCTTTCTTTAATTTTTAAAAATTTACTTGTTTGAGCATTTGATAAAATTTGTCTTTGGTGTAAGTCATTAAATTGTCAGATTTGCCAACTATTTTAGGATATTTAATTATTTTATGTATAAAATCCATTTTAATTTACTCAAATCATTTGGTATATTGTAAGAGAGCACGAAAACTTTGTCTCTTGGAGTCAGTTTTGTCTTTTTAATACAATAAAATGTAAATAGTTGGTTATGTTTATTATGCATACATCGCTGTCTGGGTTAGTATAGGTATATGGCTGCTTGTTATCAAGAGCTCCTGATAATCTGTATAGTCCTAGAGCAATTAAGTCTCTTTATTCACTTAAGTAATGAAAGAGCTGACCAAAAGTTTTATTCTAATAGAAAAATAAATAAATTCTATTAAATTAAAATTTCATAATGCATATGTTGTATTTACATAGTAGTCTTCAGGTACAGGAATCTACCATAAATTACTTTGTTTGATTTTATCTATTTCATTATTTAGACTTTGCTCTTATGAGTGGTTACCACCTGTAAGGATTTGCTGAAAGATAGTAAGGATGTGAGGATTATAGAAAGTTTAGCATGTAAGTGCATCTACCATAGTTGAAATGTATACTTCTCCAGCAGCATAAAGAGGTGTTAATTCACTCTTGAAACTTTCGTCATGACTGACTTCTTAAGGAATTAAAAATTCAATGTTTGAAGGATAAACCAACTCTATCATAATTTGAATTTTTGGATTTAACTTTTAAATTGCTTTATAAATAAATATAGATTCAGAATCAAGCATCTAATCCAAGGCCTCGTTATTATTAGATTCATTAGTCATTTCCTATCCTAAAATTACTGCCTTATCTGCATAAGCTACATTAGCATTAATCAAATCTTACTTTACGTATGGAGAGCCCTTTTCATTTTTATTATTTTAAGTTAAATTTATAAATATGGATAAACTAAAAATATAAGTGAACATAATAAATTCTTTATACTTACAAAATTTATTACTATGACTTAAGAGCAAAAATAAATTAATTAATTTATATACCTAAATGTAAGTGATGAAAGGAAAGCGAGATATAGAATCCCACATTTGAGTAGGCTTTTGATCACTAAGAATGACTATATGCTGGTATTCTTTTAAGTATTTAGCCCTTAGAGGTAATATAAAATAATAAATAGATGGATGAAACCCACAGAGAAGGATATGGTTTTTCACATCAGTGGAATTTTCGGTTGCTTACATTAAACTAATAGATTCGTCTAAGACTACATAATCATTAGCTATTGAGTCAATATCGTTTATCATACTCTTATAAAACTTTAAAGGCTGCTAATAATCGCTTTCGAAAGCTTGAGTTTCATTTTTTTCCTTAAAATATTAAATTAATACTAGATAGTTGACTTAAAATATAAATTACCTTTTTTTAATGGAGTAACTTCTTTTGGTTAAATTCAATTAAATCTTAGGCTGACATTTAATAGCTTGCAACTTTATCTGCAACATTTTTATCCTCACAAATAATATAAACATGAACATTGTTTTCTGGAGTATTTCTCACTATGTATGACCCAGGATTCAGTCTTATGACTGTTTAGCCCTCGATGTCTATTTCCATTCCAAGTAAAATTGCTTGAAATTTTTCATAAACTTTAGCTGCTATTGTTGAAAATGTTTAACCACTAAATGTTACAGAAAGTGTAGTGCGATACATTTCATGTCCTAAACCATTTTTATATTCTCTTATCCACTTTGTTGGTTCGTTGTCAGTCACTTCTGCACTAGTACTTTAAATTAAATTCCCTATCAAAGAAATAATCCCTGGACAGAAACATGATTTAGCAAGCTAAAATAAACAAATAAAAGAAGTATTTAAATACTTATTTATGTAAAAATAAATCCATCTTACTAAATTCATTTTTATTTCTTCAACAACTATCAACTAATCAGTCGATTTTTAGCTTAAGGCTGAAAGGTAGTGAAATTTGCTCTCTGGCTTGATTAATTACATGCAAAGATTTAAATTATTTCTTGTTAAATGGTATACTATCTTTTTGATGCACAAACCTGTCATGATATTTTTGTGATCAGAACTAGTCGAATCACCTGAATACTATTTAAAAATTTTTTTAGATATAAATATGTATATTTATTAAAATAGAAATAATACCTTGTTTATCATGATAACACATGTCTTGGCTTTAGTTGCAGCAGCTCTTTTTAAGTCTCTTTCTGTTTTTGGATTACCTTAGAGGTAAGTTAAATTGTGTTCATATTATTAATTATTCAAAAATAGCTCCATTTCAGATGAAGGAATATTGGACTAAAGTATGATAGCATTTTTATCTTAATTGCCATGATCTTCATGAAATAACTCATTACAGAAAAACCTCAATGCTGACACATCTACATGTCCACATATAATAATATGTGGAATATCAGAATTAGGTTTGTAAATCGTTCTTGCATATACAGATTATAAGCCTTGATGAAAATGTAAATGTAAGAGTTTATTTATATAATCATTAAAAATAATTTTAGTTACTGATTAATCTTATAAGCTCATTCGTTTGCTAAGGGACAATAACAATAACTATGATAATCAAAACAATAACAGTTGCTCTACCCATTTCGCTATATGGAACAACATCACCATAACCTACGGTAGAAATACTTACAACTACAAAATATATCATTTCTTAGAAAGTCGCAGGATTTGTTGTAGATATAGTGCATTATTCTATAAAAATTAATTAAAATAAGTCAACAAAATTTAAATAATTTATTTAAATGATATTCTGATTTAATTCATGTTTTCTTTGGGAATAATAATATTTAGGTAGTATTTGAAAAAGCTCAAAGATCTACCAAAATAATGAATAGCAGAAGAAGAAAAAGTATTTAATCAATTACTTTGTTCATTAGTTAAAGCATCTATCATTTCTTACCTTTTAGGGGCTTCAAAAGAAAGTAAAGTACCTGCAGTTATTATTACCAATGATAGAATGGTTAAGAATATGATATAAATTTGCCTCTAAACACCTTTAAATTCTGAATCACCAGCTTTATAATATTTTTATATGTATCGTACTACTCTTAAAAAACGAAATATCCTAGTAATATTGAGATAAATTTGAAATCCTTATTAATATTAAACTGAAGAGAAGAGCATAGTTATAGGAATAATACAAAAGATGTCTACAATACTCCATATTTCCATTAAAAAATGCAATCTGTGCTAAGAAACATAAAGTTTCAAACATAATTCAAATGAGTACAAAACAATTACAATTATGTCTATTTCTTTTAAAAATGATATATTCACATAAGTACTAACAATATAAAGAGTAGATGAGAAAAAGCTAAGAATGCAGCTGACTGTTTCTATTTATTTTCCATACTTTGAATTTAATAAGCTTTCGATATGAAGCCTCAAATTAAATATCTTAATAATGTCGAATTCCTCCATAAATAGTTTATCTGATTAATTAAATAAGAATAAGACTAAAAATCACTATATAATTTGTTACCATTATCCTTGAGCTTTAATCCTTATTTATGTCCGAGAGCCTTTAACGTCATCGACTTTTTAAACTTGCTCTATTAACTACTAATTTTATCACTAGGATGTATTTTTTTCATTTTACAATGTTAAAGATCTGAATATAAATTAATATTTTAGATTTGAATGAAAATTGCAAATAACTTATTTATTTTTTTTAATTAATAATTAGTATCAATCAAATTCTGTTTTTTAAAAATTTAGAAAATCTACTTTATAATAAAAAAATTAATTTTAAAATATTATTTGAAACTACTTTTCAAATTTTAATAAATTTATATTATAAAAATAATTCTTTAATTTTATAGAAAAAACAGCACTATTTCTAAATAAATAAATAATTCAATCATTTATGACTTTAATCTAATATGTAAATTTATTTTTAATTAACTTAAATTTTAAAATATTAATAAAAAATTGTAAATATCAAACTGATTTTCTATTTTTATGGAAGGAAATATCTTTGTTTGGATATGATTGATTTACCGTATTTTTAATTTACTCTAAAATTTCTTTCTTATATTATTTATAGTATTCATTTACAGTCTAATAAAATATTTAATGAACTAATATTTTTTTCATGAATGTGGTAAATAAAATTTTGGAAAATTGATAAAGAGTTTAACACTGGTCAGCTTTTTCAATAGAACAAGCAAAACTAGAAAATAGCTAAATATGTAATAAAGAGAGGTAATAGTAAATCTAATAATAATCTATGTACTTAAAATCTTAAGAGTAATAAAAAATAAATTGCACTTTTAACTTTATAAGCTTTTATTCATCAGTCAAACAAATCCATTTTTTTTTTTTTGCATTTTAAAAATCTTAAAAAAGCTTTTCATAAGTTTAAAATACTAGAAACAAGTTACTAATTTTTACTTTGTAGCAAGCAGTCTTTAATGCTTGGCAATTATCTCTATAGATATATTTTTTCATCCTTATCTAAGTAAATTAATTTTTCATCAAACAAATAAACAAATGTTAAAAAATCAGATTAATTTTTGATAAAATAAAAAATTAATATTTTAATTAAGTAGAAGTAAGTTCTATTGCATATATAATAAGATATGGTAAAATTAATACCATTTGATAAATGTAAAATACATTTGAAAGAAAGAACTAAGATTTTAATAAAGATATTCTTACCATTTTTACTCACTCTAGTTGCAACAATCGCTGCATATATTTGTTTAATGATTTTCAATTACATCAACCCTATGTAATAAATATGCAACCAAATATTAAAGGTTATTTTATTTTCTGTGTTACAAGCACTTTTTAATAAATAGGAATAATGACTTAGAATCATATATCAAGGATCAATATATGGGATATTTACTTTTTTAAAATAAGGCTGAAAAACTTTTTATAACGCTGCAGTTTTAAAGATTTGTTTTATAGACTTAGGCTATAGCTAAGTTCAGTAAGCACATAATGTTCAGCATTTCATATCAAGATTTAGGTTTTTATATTATTAATTTAGCCATTAAAAATGGAATCCTGAGATTTTACTAAATTAAAAGTTGTTTTTGCATTTAAATTTTACTTTTGCTATACAGGAAACCAACCAATATTAATTAATGCTCTTAAATAATTTAATTCTTATTATAATAGTTCAATGGGAAGGCTATGATATGATCAAATATAACGATGGAAGATCTAAATTCTTGGTAACGCCTGAGTACTAGCTATAAGATTACTGCGATGTATAAAGTAAATGTGGTTAAAATTAAACCTGCCTCAATCTATTTAATAATAATATAGCTGCTTAATATGGAACTTCTCAGATTGAATATAGTAAAACATTTTTGTAAATACTAAAAAATATATATATACTTACATATTTAAATAAATAACTTTAGATGTACTTTAGATAAAGTCATGGTCTAATGCCTACTAAGACAAATGGGAACTTCTTAATAATAACACAAAATAATATATCATACAAACTATATTTTCAAGTTATGTATATCAAACTTTTGCTGTCAACTTAGCTGCTTCAGGAAATAAAGTATTTTCAGCTTATCAGATGAGGTAATCAGATGGCACCGGATTAATTTTTTATCTGAAGTAACTTAATTTTCAATATCTACACAATTACATTTTTTGTTTTAAAAATCGCTAGCAATAGATTAATTAATTCTGCTATAAGTAAATAAAAATATGGTGGTCCATTTAATTGCACTAAAATAAACGGGGCTTATAATCAATATAAGTTCACTGATGTTAGTCAATTTGATGGGTTTTAATATATAGATTAATCACTAAACCCTTGTCTTAAGGATAATAACTAAACAAACTAATGTTCATGTCCTTATTTTAATACAAAAAGATTAATTCCTACTGAATGGAGATGTAGACCTTGGTATTTAGGTGGAAGTTCTTCAAGTTATATGTAAAAAAAATTTTATTTTTTTCAAAAATACATTTTTTACTAGTAACTCATTTTTTAATTACATAAGCTAACTGACTCAATTAATAAATAAATAAAAAAATAACTAAATTAAATGTAAGATTAAAGATTTTTTTAAACTGTAGTTTAATTAATTTATTTAATTTTAAGTTAGTTGAGACTTTTTTCCACTTATCTATTTTAAAAATAAATGTGATTCATTAATTTTTATATAAATATCTAAAATTTAGAGTATTTAATGAACCACAACTAAACCTAAAGTTGAATTAGCAAACATCTATTATAACTTTTAAGATTGTTGGAAATACAAATGAATAAGATCCTATAAAAAATGAAGCTAATATGTAACCGGATGCGATTTTAGGAGTTGAAATAGATGTAAACAACATCTAAATTGATAAATCTGGTACTTTTGATGAAGAATATCTCTACTTGGTAGCTCCCAAGAGATTTAATTATGACCAAGGTAAAGGGTATTACCAATACACTGCGATTTTACATCCAGATCTAAAATTAAGTATAAATTAATTTGTAGAGAGTTTTATAAGTTTATTAATATTAAAAAAAAATTAATTAGATTAAAAATCGAACATCACTACTTTAGAATTTAATAATTCTATAAATAGAGATGAAGAAATTAGCTAATATTTAAATAAAACATCTTTTTTAGTCTAAGATCAGCTTATTTATGAAGGCTGTAGAAGTGTAGTAAATTTATCAGAACAAATACAAATCAATTATATGAAAAATTAAAGCGAACTTGCTAGTATCTTTACACCAATAAAAGTTTGTTATGGAAATATGTATAATTAATAGTAATAGATCATAGGATATTTATCTAAGAGTCTCAAATTAGATATCATTTCAAAGTAAGTTGAAGAATAAGTAAAAGAGATAAGGTTAATGCTTATAAGATTCGTAGTTATAATATTCTCAGTTTTTAATTTTCTTGTAATTATAATGTTCCTTATTTTTAGATTAACGATTATAAGTAATTTTGAAGTGCCAGTAAAAATTCTTTCTTAGTTCATAAACGAAGCTGACTCTTAATGGTAGATAATTAATTATTATCAGATTAATAATTTTAGTTGAATTAAATTAATTTCATTATATTTATTATTATTTAAATAAAAAAAAGTATTTACATTTTTAATTAAATGGTTAAAAATGGAAAATTAAAGACTTAGTACGAACTTAAAAACTTAATTGACGCCATTAGCAACGCAGTTATAGGAATTTAATTTAAAATAGAAAATTATTTTAAATTTGAAGAATCTGAAACTTAATTTTCTGAACTTTTGAGTAATTTATAACAAGGTATTGAAACTTTTTAAGCTCTTCAAAATAAATAAGGAGTAGGAATGTGGTAATAAACTTTTTCATTTATTTTTTACTCTATTAAGAGTCTATTATTTTTTAAAATGTTTAAACTTATTATTTACCTTACTTAATTTTTTAAAGAAAGAAATATCCTAAATTATTTGAGGGGTAATAAAATTTTGAAAAAAAATAATAAAGCCCCAGCTTCTTAATATTCAATTTACAATTTCTGATATTATGAAGTAAATAAATAGTTTAAACTTGTTTAACAAATTATTTTTAATAGCTCTATTTTTAAAAATTTTTTTAACTTTTTAAATAAGCTTAAATAATATTTCGGGAGTGCATTTATTGTAAAAATAGTATTAATAGGCTCTTTTTAATATGCATAAAGCCCATTAAATAATAGATTAAGAATTTCAATAGAAAATGATTGATATACAAAAGTAGGAAAACTTAATTAAGACTGAAGCTATTCGGAGCTTATGTTAAGATAAAAATCATAGAAATTTTATGAAAATATTGGCTTGTAGAAAGTATTAACTAGCTAAAATTATTTATAAATACTTACAAAAACAAAGTAGTTAAGATAATTTACAATTCTTTTAAGAATATTATGTTTAAAAAAATTAAATTCAAAGTTTTGATCTTGTCACATGTCATACTCCAAAAACTAGAAAATAATCATTATCATTTAATAAATCAACTATTAATAAAAATCAGGAAAAGTTACCTGAGTATTAAGAGTAAAGTTATGTATATAATTTGAACGAAAAAGAGATTTTCTTTTCTTTTCGATATGCTTAAAAGTTTGAAAATGATAATTAGAAAAAAACTAAAACTAAAACTTAAAATTAAAATTTTGTTTAGAGCATCTATAAATCGAATTAAGCATACATTATTTAAAGCTTAGAATTATTAAACGATTCTTATCTAATTTTTGCAAATTTAGATACAAAACTAAAAAAGGATGGATACATCCTGGCAACAACATTAGAGCTATCTATATTACCTCTTATTTTGGTAATTAAATTTTATGAAATTCTAGGTAATAGAGAATATTTACAGCAACAATATATTTAATAATTGAAAACTGTATTTAAATAAATATAAAAAGAATTTCTTAAAGGAGTAGCTTCAAAATTCTACCCTATTGTTTCATAAATGTATTATTTATTAAGGGCTAGGTATTTTTTAAAAAGAGAATTATTTTACAAAGCAACTTTAAACTTACTCAAAAGTCTAAACTTTGATTTAAAATTTGATTATAAATATAAAAGTAATCTCTAATACAATCCTGTTTATTCTTAAAAATCAATAAAATATCTTATTGATATAATTTAAAGAGAGTAGATTAAAATGAGCCATAATTAATTAAAATGTTTGGAACAAGATTTTGAAGAGCTAATATCTCAATCATCATTCAATTATAAAGGTAATATTTTTTCGTAATACTTATTATTTATCATTAAATAATTTTATAAATGTTTGCCTTTTGAATTTATATTTAAAATTTTTTTTAATTTAGGTGAGCTTCATTTTTTTGAGCTGTTCTTTATTAAAAACAAATTACAAAGTAAGAATTTTGATAAAATTATAAAGAAATAATCTTAGAGCAATTCCATGAAATATAAATGAGTACAAATATATGTACATATAAACTTTACTCATCTGTTAACAGCTTACCCATTGATACAGTAAATTTAAAAAGTATTCATGAGTAGTTAATCAAACTATTCTATGATACATACATCCATAAAATTACATTTAAATTCGATTTATAAAGTAATAATAAATTTAAAATAAATACTAATTGATATTAATATCATATATATCATCTACTCTATTATTTAGTTTTTAATAAATGTATTAATTGAAAAATAAATAATTTTTTATAATCTAAACTAACAGTTTAATTATATATATTTTTATATTTGTCTTGATATTTTAGATAATGAATATTAATAATAGCTTTTAACTTGGTCATTTTCTTTGATAGTAATTAATACAAAAGTAAAACAGATGTTTAAATTTTTTTTATTTAAGTAAAATTAATTATTAAAAAGAAGGAAAATACAATTTTTGATTAAAGCAAAAAAAAAATTGAGATTACAGTTTTCACTTATTGGTTTCGATATAAATTAAATTTCAAAATTAATAGTTACTTTAATTAATTAAAACAAAAGTAACTAAGAAAATTTCCCTAATTTTATGAAATATCATTCTCATTAATTGTTATCTTATCTCTACTGGACTAATTTTTAATCTGTGAATATAGAAACAAAAATTTTTAAAAATACCTTGAATGATCATAAAATAAAAATATCAATTTAACTTTAAATTTTGTATTAGTGTAAAAAGATTTAAATGATGTCAAAAATAATTAAAATTAGAGTCAGTCATTTTCCATTTAAATTTAAAGCTTTTTACGAGATTTTGATGCTTACTAAAAGTGAATTAACTTTTGAAAATCATAAACATAAGTATAAAGTTGAAAAGCATAGTATGAGAATAAATAAAAGGAAAAAATATAGTATCGTAACCATTAAGTATAATCTTATTATTTACTTATTTAATTAATAGTCATAAATACATATTTTAAATTCAGAAAATAATTAGATCAAAGCAAAATCTAATTTTAAATTAAAAATTGAGAATTAATTATAGATAGTAAAGGAATATGAAAAAATGTAGACTCGATTGCTTAGATAAGTAAAACCTCATCGATAAAGAGAAATAGTTTAGACTTTTGATGATTTTTTGTCCTTTTGGTTTCACTCTAATATTGTCTATCCTTTTATATATTCTTTTGATGGGGTTTAATACAATTTTCCCTATGTAATTACTATTTATATATAGCCATTCTTCTTTCTAAACAAATTTATTAACATAAAATGCTAGGATAAACGATCTTGAAAGCTATGTTTTAAATAAAGAAATTCAGCTTCTAAAGATGCAATTATATATGGAAAAGGTGAAGTAACAAATGTCTTTCTCTAGAATATAAAGTTTCACATAAGTTTTGGCAGGTTTTACTTAAAATGTTATATTACAATCTAGCTTTGAATAAGTAGGTAGGATTAATAATTCAATAACTAACTATTGATAAGTCACAATTTTTTAATTGAAATGAAAGTTTCATGGCAAGATTTAAGCACAGAAAATTTTATAACAAAGCCAGATAGTTTTAATAAGACTAATTTTCTTGTTTCAGGTGAGTATATGCTAGATAATTTTTGCAGCTTAAGAGAACAACTATGCTAAAATGACTCATATTGCTAATCATAATATGATTACTATTTCAATTAATATGAATAAATTTTAGGCAATATTACCTATAGTAAACAGTTCAAATACTAAAAAATACTGATCCTTTTTTTATTTTCAAAAGATTAATCATAGTATGTAGGGTGGAACTAGGATAACTCGACAAGTTGGGAAGATTTATCAAAGGATTAAAAAAAATTTATTATATTAAGTTCTTTTCTTAGGTCAATCGTTTATTCTATCACTCAAAATAGAATTTAAGAAGATTTACAAATAACTGAAGTTTATTATGCAAGAAATTAGGACTCTTTAGCACTTTTTTATGGGTTCGGGTAATACATTTTTCTCTTTTTTAGTAAAAAATTTAGAAGTATTTTATAGTAATAGGCTACTAAGTATGTCTTCAATTAATAATTAGTAATTTGGAGGTCCTTTTTCTTGCTAAAAAATAAATGGTGAATACTAAAGGTATAAATATAAAACTATTGATTAGTTTAATGGATTCTAATACTATGATTTCAATAACTAATACTGTGGTAATTAAACTCAAAATCAACATTGCTTCTGCAAATATAATAATTACAAAAGAATTTATCCAGTTGATTGGAGATGTAGACCTTGGTTTATTAGCAGTAACTCTTCATATACAGCGTAAAATAAGATTATTATTTATTTTTGTTTTTTGCAAACCACAAAAATCTAAAAATTATCAAAGCAAATAAATTAAAGAAAAATTAAAATAATCTTTAGTTAATCAGAAGTAATCAAATAAACAAATGTTTTTTCAATTTTATTTTTATCAATTTACAAATATTTTAAATTATTCTTAAATGTAATTCTTCTGTATAAAATTGTAAATACAGATATACCTCGAAATAAACAGAAATTTTTTTGAAAATTATTTAATTGAAGTAAATAAACTAAATTCCCCTTATACTTACTTTAAAAATGGGTTATTTACTTTTTATTTAAAAAATATTTATATATAATTATTTTAAAATCTTTTATGTAAATATTTTTTATTAAATAAGAGTTTGATCTGTAAATTTTATCAAAAAATGTTTAAAAGATAATTTAATTAATAAATTTTTATTACAAAATGATTAATAAATTCTTTAAATATTTTTTATAATATCAGTTCCTTTGCAGATCCTTTTATCAATTTGAGGAATAATTAATTAATGAACACTTGTTCATATAAAATAATTGATTAGGCTTAATATCCCAATATCAGTAATGAAAGTTAATAAGAAATAGATGCTCATTCAATTGTTACAGTATAATTTGACTTTACTAGATTAAAGCTAAATGATAATCTTACTGATAAAGATGGAAATATTTATGGCTATTAATATATTATAGCTCCTAAGTAATTTAATAATGATGGTCTTTCAGGTTATTACTAATATACTGCTATGTCTCATCCATATTTAGATTTAAGTAAAAATTAACAGTAAATTTACATAAATGTATTTTAATACATTTTATTTATTAATTTAGCGAAGAAAACTTCAATTATAGAGCTAGAGTATGAAAATTCAATAAACAAATAAGAAGAAATAGCTAATTTTATTTAAAATACTCCTTTTTTGCTGAATACAAATCTTAAAAAAAAAAGCTGTGAAGGAATATTTAATGTTTAAAATGATCAAGATATAATAAGTATGAAAAAAAATGGAACTTAATATGAGTATATATTTACAGAAATTGAAATATGTTCAGGTAATTTAATTGAATAAAATTCTTTGATAGTTGGTTATTTATCTAGAGCTGTAGAAACTAACTATGCCAAAAGATATAGTAAAAATATAAAGAATTAAATGTTTAAGATACTATACGTTTACTTAATAATCTAAATTTGTTTATATATTCTAATATTTGTGATTCTTTACATCTGCACAAATAAAATGCTAATTGCTAACTTCGAAAAACCTATTGAGATTTTAAATTAGTTTCTTAATGAAGCTGATCCATAAAGGTGCTTAAATATATAAAAATAATTTAAATTCTTTACTAAAATAAAAGATTTATTTGTTTAAGTTTATTTATTTTTTTTATAAAAATAAAAAGTATTTAGATATTCAATGACCTTATTTAAAAAAATCTTCTTAAGACTTAGCTGGAGCTAAAAAATTTAATTAAAGCTATAGATAATGCAGTCATTAGTATATAAAAAAAGGTTGCAAGCTATTTAAATGCAGATTCTTCCAACTTATTAGATAAACAAAAGGCTTTAGATACATTAAAATAAGGCATTCGTGATTACTAAATATTTTAGCACTAAGAAGGAATTGGAATGTGGTAAAAAATATTTATTGTTTATATTAAAATTTAATAATATTAATTTAAAAAAAATAAGCTGCAATAATATAGCTAGCATATTGATGATTGAATAAAAATATTAAGAATCATTATTCTACATGTAAAAGGCTTATATTTTATAAGAGCACATTTTTCAAAAGAAAATACCATAAAATAATATGAATTTTAAAGATATAGTTCTAAAAATATGTAAAACAGTTCATGAAAAAAATTTTATGCATATATTTGCATGCAGAAAACTTTAATTAGCAAATATTATAAATTTGATATGTGAGAGTGAGAATTTAGATACTTTCAATTACTTTAATGACCATTTTGTTTTAGAAAAAGTGAGAAAGAACTCAAGTGTCAACCAATTTAGGAGAAGTGTATAAAATATTATGATAGAAATATTATTATATTTAATATTTATAAATAATAAAAAAAATAGCATTAGAAAATAACTTATTTTGAATCTCCTTTGTCTGAAAAATCTTAAAAAAATATTCTAGTTGATTTAGAAGAAAGTGAGTAGAAAATTTAAAAATCAATAGATGATTGTCTTTGTTGTAAGAGTACTATTAACAGAGAGATGTTCTTTTCGGAAAAATTTTATATCAAACAACTAATGAGCAATAATCAGATAGAGGAAGACCAAGAAGATTAGATGAAACAACTAGAAAGGTTACTGAAAGATAAAAAGTCATTGTTGACTTAAGCTAAAGATCTGCTTTATGAATCCTATGTCATTTTTAAGTGTCTGCACAAGGAGATTAAAAAAGATAAGTAATAAAAATAAAGAGAAATAAATAAAATTTATTTGAAAAGTCTCTTGTCTCTTATTTTATTGATAAAATGTCATATATTATTTGATATCAATAGTCTAATCATAAATGAACTCTTTTAGCTGCTGAAAAGAAAGTTATAAAAGGCCATTAAAAGCCAAAAATATAAAAATTAAACTTTGTTCTTTATACTTTAATAAAAATATTATAATTTAAGAGGAATGTACTTTAGCTAAAATAATTAGACATATAAGGCTTTAGCTTCATATATTAAAGCACTAAACTATCGATGGAATTTCAATATGCATTGTTTACCATACGATTCTTAAGAAGCCTATTAATCGCTGATTGGGATTCAAAATTTAATTTAAAAGAACAAAATAAATCTTTCAGCTCAATAATCACAAAAATTGTAAAGTGACATCAAAAGATTATAACAAATTGCATTTTAAAATGATAGAGGTATATTTTTCAATTAAATTTACTTAGTAATATTTTTTAATTAAAATAGAATAACTCTACTTTTTAGAAATTTTATTTGTAGACGAACAATTGCTAAAAAAAAGATATAGTATTTTTAACCAAAAAATAAGCAAAGTGGTGGATAAAGATCTTTTTTTATGAAAATCAAATAAATAAATAAATAATTAATTAATTTTTCCAAAATAAATATACAGATAGTTTTGATATTTTATTAAAATTTCTGTTCAATATAAAAAATAAAATAGAAATGTAAAAATCAAATTATAATATAGAATATCAAAATATCATTTTATACAAATTTATAAAGTTAATTGTATTTATTTATATAATATGTTATTTTATTTTAAATTTCTCAATGTTAATTATTTTTTTTAGTAATAATTTAAAATTAATTTCTAAAATGGCCTTAATTAAAAGTTGCCTTTATTTATTTAATTAATGAGGAATTACAGTATATATTCTTATAATATTTTATTAAAATAAGAGTATGTTCATTAAGAGTTTTAAGGGTTTTAGGAGATGATTAATGGTAAGAATAGGAAAAATTTAAATCACTTTTTGGAATACAATAATGTTTAGTTTATTTAATAAACAAAAAAGTTTTCTATAAAATAGAATATTTTAAATTTAATTATTTTCCCTATTTATTTTTTTTGTCTGAAATTAATTATTTAGATATTTTAATAATCTTCTTTGAATTCTATAAAAATATTTCTTCAAATTTCAACAATAATGAAAAAATAAATAAATATAAAAACAAATAATTTATTTATTTATTAGTAGTATTGCTTTTAATATTATATTTAATCATAAAGGAGTAACAACTTAATCATAAAAGAATTTGCCTTAAAGTTAAGGATTAACTTAAAAAGGTAGTTCTACTAAATAAACAGGGCAAATAGCACCTTCTTAAATTGAACGAGTTGCGTTTTATCCTGCCATATCTGTTCTCACCCATCCTGGGCAGCAAGTATAAATCTAAAGCTTCTTCTAAATTACACTATCAAATCTTGACAAAACTGAAGCATAAAGATTTATGCATAATTTAGACATTCCATAAGCTGATTTAGCCCATCCTTTCTAAGCATAAGTATCGTCTTTAACATCATCATAAAACTATTTAGCCACAGCAAAGAGCTAATCTTTAGTAAGGTGAGGGTTTTAAAGCTATTAAAGAACAGCTTGGTTGTTTTTCACATTATGATACTTACCAGCTGAAGATCCAACGAATATCACTTTACCATTTTCTTTAATATATGGTAGCATTTTTTCAGTGAGATCAATTGTTCCATAAAAGTTTGTTCTAAAAGTTTATTCAACAACATCAGCTCCAAATGCATCACCTTTGAATGCCATACCAGAGTTATTCAACAATATGTCGACGTATCCATAATGTTAATGAATTTATTAGACAAACTTATTGATAGAATCAGTAGAATCAATATCAAGCTCATAAGAATCTATCTTGGCATGAGGATGAATTTAAAGAAGCTTTGAGCGACTTTCGTTTGCTCTTTCGAGAGATCTACATGCCATAATGATATGGTATGGCTTAGCTGCTAGGTTTTCTATGATTCCGTATCCAACACCTTTATTGCTGCCTGTAACAATAATACGAATGAGATCCTTGTTCATTTTTTTATATTATTTTTAGTAGATTTAAATTTAATTGTTTTTTTTAATTAAGATTGTTTGATAAATCAGATTAGAGAAAAGATACATATATATAGGTGTGTGTGTGTATTTATATAATCAAAATAAAAACTATCAATTTGTAAAAAGAATATTTCTAGAAGGAATATTATATTAATCATAAATAATATTGATATGTAACAATCAAAAATAGAAAATTTAAAGAAATTAAGACCAAACTAGTTACTTAAAAAGTAGAATTTGTCTTCTAAAATCATATTAGAAAAATATGAATTCAAATAAATAATTTGCCAAAAATAAAAGAATATCTAAAAATGTAGCAAATATTTGTTTTGATAAAATACCTAAAATACCTACTTGATTAAAATTAATGTATGGCTAATAAAAATGAAAAACTAATTTCTAAATTATATAAATCTTAGAATATTATTATACTGATTTATTCGCAATAACTAAAATTCATAGCCTAATTTACTTAAATTTTTCTAATTTTTAGTTAAAATACATTTATTTTGATATAAAAAACTATCTATGTTAAATAAACTATAATATTCATAAGAAAATAAAATAATTATTTATATAAAATGATAAAAAAAAAAGATTAAGACTTTCTTGATCATAAAATATAAGAAAAATAAATATATTAATATTAATAAGTTTATCAAATTAAATAAAAAAATATTTCAATAATTATACAAAGATATAATAAAATTATTTAATAAATTTTTATACACATTAAATATTGTTTCTTAATTAATAAATACCATAATCTTTCGAATTTAAGCCGAGTTCAACTTAAAATATTATTAAAATGAAATTTTATTTAGAAAAAAAAAAATTTTCATTAGTAATATAAAAATTATTTGAAATATCACAAATCATGATATTATGATCGGTGATATTTCAAATGCAGGAACAGCTATATATGCCTAGTGATTTAAGATATTAAAATATTATGAAAATGAAATATTATACATGCTAAAATAAGAAAATGAGGGTAATATCTTTAAATTAAATCTAAATTAGTTAATGTAGAATGAAATTTTATTTTTATATGGATATTACATAATTAACCCTTTTATCAGAAAATTCTTAGTTTAAAATTATTAAAAATGATTATGGAAATAAATTAGCTATAATTTTTATTTTAAATATTTATATTTTTTAAACAATTGAATAGATTAATTTTATTTATCGTAATTTTTATAAATACTTAAAAAATAACAAAAATATTAAGAATTTTCTAATTTACAATTTAAAAAGTAGAGCTTTTATACTTAATTATTAAACTAATTTGCAACAAAGAATATATTTATTTTTAGTATTTGTATTCAACAATATAAAAAATAAATTAGATACAAATTATTTAGTTTCTTTTAAATTTTATTATACTTTGAATATAATCAAAGAGGTGAAACTACTGAGTCATAAAAAAACTTTCCTTAGAATGATGGGTTAACTTAAAATGGAAGTTCTACTAGATAAACAGGGCAAACAACTCCTTCTTCAATTGATCTATGTGCATTGTTTCCTCCTAAATCTGTTCTCACCCAACCTGGGCAACATGAATATACCTATATCTTCTTTTAAATTACGCTTTCATGTCTAGAAAGTACTTATGGGTAATGATTGATGCATAATTTTGAAATTCCATAAGCAGATTTAGCCCAACCTTTAGATTCATAGGTATTATCTTTAACATCATCGTAGAATTACTTAGCTACTTCAAAAAGTTAATCCTTTGTTAGGTTAGGATTTTATAATTGCCCTTGAACTTTTTGGTTTCCTTTTACAAGGTAATATTTACCTAAAGAAGAACCTACAAAAATGACTTTTCCATTCTCTTTGATATAGGGTAACATTTTTTCAGTGAGATCTATTGTTCCATAAAAGTTAGTTCTAAATGTTTATTCTACTACATGAGCGTCGAATTCATCTCCTTTAAAAGCCATTCCGGAGTTATTTAGCAAAATATCAACTTAACCATATTAGTTATGAATGTTCTACACAAACTTATCAATAGAAGCAGTCGAATCTACATCCAATTCGAAAGTGTCGATTTTAGAATTAGGATTAGATGAAAGAATTTATTGGCGAGCTTCGTTTGCTCTATCAACAGATCTGCAAGCCATGATAATATGATAAGGTTTAGTAGATAAATTCTATACAATCCCTAAACCTATTCCTTTATTGCTACCAGTGATGATGATACGAATAAGTTCTTTGCTCATTTGTAATTTCTTTCTGATCTTTCTTTATTAATTTTTTTAAACTGTAATTATTTATTAGATAATTTAAAATCTTACTGTCAAATATAAATGCAAATTTTAGAAAATCTAAAGAAACAATTCTTATATGCCTGGTAATATAAAATGTAACTAAATTGTTTATATTTTATGTTTACTTTAAATCTTAAAATTGGAATCTATTTTTCAAAGAATATATCATCAATATTAAAAAATATATATTAAAATAGATAACCAAAGCAATTTAAATCAAAAATAAATAAAAAAAATCTTTGTGATCTATATAATAAATATATTTTGTTAAAGTTTATGAGAAGATATTAAAATTAATTTGATTGATTTGCACAATTTAATTTGCAATTATTTTAAAAGGCAATAAAAAAGTATAAAAGTAAAAAAAATTCTTCTTTTAAAGTTCTTAAAAATAAATAATTTACAAACCTTAAATATACTTTTAACAAGTATTTTTATTATAAAAACAACATATAAAACATGCTTAAAAGTAATTTAAATAGTTTTTTATATTGAATTATTTATTGTGCAAAAAAAGACTTTTCAAAATAGACATTATAATTAATATAAGTATTATTTTCAAAGAATTACCCCTAAGCTTCCTAATATGATAAGAGCTGAGCCAATAATACTCGTTATTTCAATATGAGAATTGAAAATATAAATGTCAACTAAGAATGTGATGAATGTATTGACATAACTAATAGGAGCTATTATAGATGTTTCTTCTAGGCCAAATGATCTTGAAAAAAGGAGTTAAGCAATCCATCCTATAAAAGATAGAAATAACCCAAGGGCTAAAAATCGTACATTTAATATATCAAATGATGCTTATTGGTAAATTAATAGCAGTGAAGCAGTTGAAAATATAGTTATGATATAACTGTATTGCTATTAAACAGCATTGTGACACTTAAAGATTGTAGTTAGCTTTTTTAAAATAATAGTCATATATGCGACACTAACACTCCCTAATAAAGCTAGTAAAGAACCTAAAAGCTAGTTAATATTTTCATTTTTTGATTCTTAAGAACTCACATCACCAAATAAAAATGATGGTCTACTCATAAATATAACACCCGAAAACCCTAATCCAAAGCAAACTAATGCTTTTTTTTAAAATTTCTCTCCTAATAAAAATATTGCCATTACATTTGTCCAGATTGGAGAAAGATTATTAACTACAACGCAATCTGAAAGATTCATGTATTCGAAGCTTGCAAACATAAGTATCATAGCTGAAGCTCCTAGAGTTCCTCTTAATATCAATAACTTTAAGGCTTATCCATTCGGAACATAAATATCAAGATCCTTTCCTTTGCAAAAAGATGTATTAAAGATAAAGCTATAAAGCATTCTAAAATATAATATTTATATTGTTGTATATTCAGTGCGAAGAAATCCTATTATTGTATACATAATCGAAAATAAAATTTAAGCTACAAGCATGTAAGTTATAGCTGTTTTTTTAGGACTTTCTTTTTCAAAAGTAAAAAGTTAGTCTCCTATTCTTCCAATCAAGTCTATATTTAAAACTCCCATATTTTAATTATCTAAAGAATTCTTGTTTAATCAAACTTTGTATATTCAAATTGTAAATTAAAGATTTGATGCTAAAATTAATGGATAGGAAATCAAAAGTTACTTTTAATAGCTAAATTAGAAATAAATTGCATATGAGCAATTACAATTAAATCTATTGTTTTTAGACAACTTATGTTAGAAATCTTTTATAATCCAAAAAGAATACTAGTTATTATTTTTAATCTTATCAAAGATTATCTTTTATTCAATTTTAAAGATGGTACTAAGATTTTAATTAGTTGAGGATTAAGTTCACATTCTTTCTATTAACATTTTTTGTAAAAAAAATAATTAAAAAAATATTTAAACTTTAATTTTTTAATTATTGATTAATTTTTAATATTTTTAATTTATTTTTTTTATTTATATTTTGGCAATATGAAAAAATTGTATTAAATTTTATAAAGATGCTAACAATTTTTTAAAAATTAAGTTGAACTAAGTTAAAAAATAGATTTATTATCAGTTATTTATAATAAAACAAAATTAGAAAAAATTCTTGATAGCTAACTTTTCAAAAAATGATTTTTTGTTTTATGAAAAATAGTTTTATTTCGTTTTTATATTTTTTTTCATTTTCTGATTTGAAAATACAAAAATTAAAAATTGATTTTACTTTTTTAAAGCAATTTTTATGACAATTAATTAATTAATTATTTTGATAGGACTTTAAAATAAATATAATTTTCTTTATTAAAATGCTTGTTTTATCTTAAAAGATATTAAATTTTTTTATTTCTTACAAAAAATAAATTTTTTTCTAGAAAACAAAGAAAACAGGCAGACTAAAAAAAATTGAAAATGATTTTTTTAAAAATAAGAAACCTGATAGCTAAGTAAACTTAAACTTTTTTTCAATTTAAGCTCATTATCCTTCTCCTTAGGTAAAACAGATATTTGAAGAATAATGATTGATATTATAAATTATATTTTTGATATTGAAATTGTAGAGCAAAAGCAAAATGAATTTAAAAAAAATAAATAATTTAACATTAAATAACAGATTAAAATGTAAAAAGTAATAAATTCGATAATAAAAATAATATAAAAGCTAGTTTTTCATGGTTCAGAAAAATGATATTAAGAAATTGTTACTTTATTTACCTTTATATAAATTAATTAAATTTAAATTTATCCTTCTTTACTTACATTTTAATGTATAGTAAAATTAAACTTAAAATTTTAGTAAACTGAATTAAAATTGAATATTTTCTATTTATAAAAAATGAGTAAAAATATAATATTATATTTATTTAAATACCGTAAAAATAAATACTGAAAGAGTAATTAATTATAAATAAAATATTTTCCAAATTTTATATTTTACAACTAATATATAAAAGTTATTTTATATTTATATTTTGTATTTGAAAATTTACATTAAGCATCTATTAAAAAAATTAATTTATAAATTTGTCTTTTTCTTTTAAGTATTTTTAATTTAAATTTATATAATTACACAACCAAAAATCTTATCTATTTTCTTATTTTAATAAATAGAAATTTTATTTATAATACAATTCTTCTAAATTCTATTTTTTAGATATATTTTTATAATCAAACATTTTAATAAAAATACCTAAGAAATCTAATTCTTACTTTCTTACTTACAAATTTTAAATTTGAGCAAATAAAATTTATTTTTGCATTTTATTTTATTGAAAAAAAAATAGACACAAATATTTTAGTTACATTTTTATATTTAGCTTTTTTACGATATTGTTGGTCATATTGTTAAAAGATATCAAATCATATTTTAATTAAGTTTTCATTCATTGATTTATTCACTATTCTAAAAAATAATTAAGATATATCAAAAGCTCAAATTGATTGGATTTAAGATATTATTAATTTTATAAAACAAAAATTAATTACACTTGAAATTAAAAAGTAAATGAAAGGATTCGTTATTGCTTTATTAATTTGTTCATTAGTTATTTGTGACTAAAATGCAATATTTTTGAATGAAACTTATTACCCAGGCTTTATTAGTGTTAACGAGAAAAGCGATTTATTTTATATCTTATTAGAGTCTCGCTCTAACCCCTCAACTGATCCTTTAGTCTTGTGGCTTAATGGTGGTCCAGGTTGTTCTTCTCTTCTTGGGCTATTTGAAGAAAATGGACCATTTAAAATAAATGAAGATGCAACTTTGAGATCTAACCCCTTCTCTTGGAACTCTAATGCTAATTTAATCTACGTTGACTAACCAGTAGGTACAGGCTACAGTCATGCTGGTCATGGAGACCTTGCTAAGACAGAAGAACAAGTTAGCAAAGATTTTTACTCATTCTTAACTTAATTCTTTGACAAATATCCTCAATATTTAGGAAGAGATTTTTACATCACTGGTGAATCTTATGCAGGATAATACATCCCTGCTATTTCTTAAAAGATTTTAAAAGAAAAAAATCCTAATATAAATTTAAAGGGAATTGCTATTGGTAATGGATGGGTAATTTAATTTAAATTATTCATATTTTGATTTATCTAATCTTTTTTTTACTTCTACTTCTTTTTGTTAAGAAACTAATTTATTCATTCATAGTATTTTTATTTTGAAAAAGATGACTTTTATAATAAAATTTAATTACAAAAATATTTTATTTTTAAAATTAGGTGGATCCTTATTATTAATAACCTGCTTATGCTGAATATGCATATGTTAATCATTTGATAAATTAAACATAATACAAAAAATTATCAGCTTAATTTTCTATTTGTTAAGTATTTATTAATTACGAAGCTCCATATCGCTTGTAAGAGTATTTTTGTGGACCACCTTATTAATAAATTGTTGGAAATAATACATTTAATATTTATAATATTAAATCTCCTTGTATTGGAAATGGTTGCTATGATGATTAAGATGATAGAATTTATAAATTTTTGAATAGGACAGATGTTTAGTATTTACTTGGAACTCAAGGAAGAATCTGGAGTGCTTGTGAAGATAATGTCTCAAACGCTTTATAAAAACTTAGCTATCGCTCATCAACATAAGATCTTAAAGTAATATTAAACTCAGGTCTTAAAGTTTTAATCTATAATGGCTCACTAGATTATGAATGCAACTATTTGTAAAAATTTTAATTTAATTATAATAATAAATATTAAATGATAATTTTCATAATCAAATACTAAACTATTAAAAATATTCATTGATCATTTTTATAATTTAAAAGAGGAAATGAAAAGTGGTTGGACAATCTTGAATGGAACAAATAAATTGAATATTTGAAGTAGAGCTATTCTTATGTTTTTAAAGGCCACAAGATTATTGGAAAACAAAAAAGTGCTGGAAACTTAAAATTCTAAATCATATTTGATGCTGGTCACATGGTTCCAATGGATCAACCAGAAATAGCTTTAGAAATGATCAATTCTTTTATATAATAATGATAAATACTAAATTTATATTGAATTTTATTTATTTTGTATTTAAATTATAAAATAAAATAAATTTTTGGAAAAAATAATAATTTTTATTGTTTATTGAATAAAAAATTAATAAAATTAAAACTTTATTGTTTGTTTGTTTATTTATTATTTTTAAATTTAGCAAACTTTAATGTATTAAAATAAGAATTATCTATGAATCCATTTTAGCAATACTTAAGGGTACTTGATATTTCAATTAATATTATGAATTTAAGTAAAGTACTTTTGTTTTCATAATGAAAAAAACGTAATTAAATAAATTTAATTAATTTGTCTTATAAAAATATATTTTTGACTTTTGATATGATTATTTGAGATAAATACATATTTCTATTTAGCTTTTGAAGTTTAAGTAGTGTGTATTTTTATAAAGTACGAAATATTTTTCTTTTATTACAAATATTTTTCTATTATTTTCAAATTTAAGACATTTTAGGAAAATTAAACTGATTTATTTTATGATAAATAATTCAATTATATAAAATCAAATCATAGAACTAAAAATTATGCTTAAAATTTGATGAAAGAATAAATTTTAGTCTTATTAGCAATCACTCTAGTCAATTCTTTTATTAATATTTTTAAATATTTACAAGCTCTTTTATAATAGAATTTTATTTAATTATTACTTAAATATTAAATGTTTTCTTTGAAATATCCTTAAGATTTTTAAATAATAATATTAATTTGAAAAATAAACAGTAAGGAGTTGTCAAAGTTAGAAGACATTTAAGAAAAATTTTTTCATAAAAATAAGTTATTTTTTAAAGTATTTAGCTATAAAATAAATTTATATGATTTAAAAATAAAGGAATAAATACTATTTTAAAAATGAATAACACAAAGTTTATTTATTTTAAGTTAATCTAAAGTATTAAATTTATATAATTATTTATTATCGATATTTAAAATTATTTATAATAATATTGGTGGTTTTTTTTTTTGTAAGATTTATTAATTTAGCTTAAAGGTTTTATAAATCTATGAATTACAAATTTTATTCTTTTATCAAAAATATATTAATTATGGTGGTAATTTTTAGGAAAGCTAAAATTAATAACAAAACAAATATAAAAGAAGTAAGCATTTTTCAAAATATTTTAAAAATAAAGAATAGCTTTATTCATAAAATAAATTTATATTAACTTAAAAATGATCATACTTAAGTTTTTTTTTTGTTTTTCATCAAAAAAAAAAATAATAAAATTTTACAATAAATCAAGCAAACCTATTTATCAGAAATATTCTTCAAATGTTCTATTAAATTTCTAATTTTAATTTAAATTTACAAAATATGTAACCACTTCAAAATTTCTAAAATAGATGATGAATAAATTGTTAAAGTCAAATAATATTTAATCTTTTTAATTCATTAAAAAAAATGTTATTATTTATTCTATTTATAAACTAATGAATTTAATTTAAAAATTTTTTTACTTCTAAATCAATTACAAATTTTATTCTTTTATGAAAAATTTATTCATTACTAACTCAAGAATGAAAACAAAAATACCTTACAATAATGATTATCATAAAGCTACTAGGTTTTCCAATAAATAAATTTTGCAAGTAAATAAAATATAAATTGATTATTAATTACTTACTACTTCAGATAAATGCATAAATAAAATTTGTATAAAATATTGTCATACAGTTAATATTGAAAGAGGTATTTAAGAAATAGTATTAGTTTCTAACTCTAATATAAATATAGTATGTAAAATATTGGCTAAATCAAATTTGAATAGAAACAATTAAGTTTAAAATTTGTTTTTCTATCAGAAAATATTCTAAAGATTCTATTAAATTTCTAAATTAAATTTAGAAGAGTAAACTTAGATATTTTTTTTTCCCTAACTTATTTAACAAATTTTCAAAATAAAAAATGTTTACTAATAAGTTAAGATATAATTAGATAATTTAAAATAATATTTTATGATATTTAAATATTAAATCAATAGTTTAGTTTTTTTTTTTTGCTTATTCATTTATCCTAAAAGCTAATTTGCTAATATTTATTTTTTTTATTGATTAATTTGTTTTTTTAGTAAGATAGTTCTTTTAAGATTTATTTCTAATGATTTTATTTATTACATTTCAAATTCTTTTATGAAGAATAAATTCTTTCATTTCATAATTTATTATCTTTAAATTCAAGAACTGAATCACTGTCTTTTTTTATTAGAAATTATATTAGAAAAAATTAATATTTTTAATAAAAAGAAAATGAAAGGATTAATTATCGCTTTGCTAATTATCACATTAGTAGTTTCTGACTAAAATCCAATATTTTTGAATGAAACTTACTACACAGGCTTTATAAATGTTACTGAAAAGAGTGATTTATTTTATATCTTTTTTGAATCTCGCTCTCAACCATCAACTGATCCTTTAGTACTATGGCTTAACGGAGGCCCTGGATGCTCATCTTTTCTCGGTTTATTTGAAGAAAACGGTCCTTTCAAAATTAACAATGACACAACTTTGAATATTAATCCTTTCTCTTGGAATTCAAAAGCTAATTTACTCTTTGTTGATTAACCTGTTGGTACAGGTTTTAGTCATGCAGGTCCTGGAGATCTTGTTAAGGGTGAAGAACAAGTTCAATAAGACTTTTATACTTTTTTGATCTAATTCTTTGACAAATATCCTCAGTTTATTGGAAGAGATTTTTACATCACTGGTGAATCTTATGCAGGTCAATACATTCCAGCTATTTCTAGGAAAATTTTAATAGAAAATAATCCTAAAATCAACTTTAAGGGTATTGCTATTGGTAACGGATGGGTAAATTTAGCTAACTATCAAAATATATAAATATTTTTTTTTATTTTTATTCATTTATTGCAATTAAATATTAATATTTCTTAATTTAAACTAGGTTGATCCATATTATTAAGAACCTGCTTATGGAGAATATGCTTACGAAAATGGTTTGATTAATAAATCTGAATACAAAACTATATCATATTCGTTTTCAATTTGCTAAGTACTTATAAAGATTGGATCTCCAATTTTCTTGAAGTCACATTTTTGTGATTAGCCTTATGAAAGAATTGTTGGAAATAACACATTTAATGTTTATAATATTAAATAACCTTGCATCGGAAATGGTTGCTATGAGGATTAAGATTAAAAAATACAAAATTTTTTGAGTAGGACAGATGTTTAATCTTTACTTGGAACTTAAAATAGAGTTTGGAATGCTTGTGTAGATGATGTTTATATTGCCTTGTAAAAGCGTGCATATCGCTCATCTACATAAGATCTTAAAGTCATATTAAACTCAGGACTCAAAGTTTTAATCTATAATGGCTCTCTGGATTATTAATGCAATTATATGTAAAAAATTAATTCTAAATTAAATATATCAAAATAATTTTATTTTATAAAAAGTGGTAATGAATAGTGGCTTGAAAATCTTTCATGGAATTACTCAGCTTAATATTAGAAGTAGTAATATTCTTCCCTTTAAAAAGGAGATCAAATAATAGGTAAATACAAAAATGCTGCAAATTTACAATTCTAAATCATATATGAAGCTGGTCACATGGTTCCTATGGATTAACCAGAAATAGCATTAGATATGATTAATTCATTTATATAAAATTGAAATATAAAATATAATAAAAAAATATCATCTATTAATTTTTGTTTTTTATGTAATTTTAAATTAATTTCATTTTAAAAATATAAAATAGTAAATATTTAATTTATTTTTATTATTTTTTATTTATTAGTAAACTTAAAATTTTCAATAATTTTAGCAAAAAATATTTATTAAATTTCTAAAATTTTATTTTTAATTCTATTTTATTTAACGAACATAATTAAAGTTAAAAAAAAATGTTATTTTTTAAATGTGTTTCTAACTTTAAAAGAACTTTAATAAAAATATTTAATCTTTAAGAAGTGAGGAGGCTTATGCAACCTACGCAGCATTAAAAAAATACTAAACTATATGCATTTAATTGTGTTAAAATAATTATAATTTTTGAGAATAATTTAAGTATGTCTTCTATGTAAAGTACAAATATATTCTAACTACTCATTAATTCATATATTAAGGGGAAAAAAATTTTTTTGTGGGAATTATTAAAATAATTTCTCAATAAAATTATAGGGGAGGGGCTTAATATTAAAGCATGAGGATTTACGGTGCATTAATTTTAAAATTATTAATTATTTATAAATATTCATTTAATTCCCCTAAATTAGAATGAAGCATATATATTTCCCCTTTATTAAATCTCACCTAAATTTATATTAAAAATATTTTTTTTTTCAAACCGAAGTACACTAAATAAATTGATTATTTTAATTACAAATTTCCTTTAAATAAATGCAATTATTGATATATTTTATATTAATTTATATACATTTATAGTCAAATATTTATTTTACACATACTACTTTGATTGTTAGTAAGATTTGAATAAAGATTAATAATAAAAAGTATATTTAGATATGTTAAATTCTTGTTGTACATGTTTTTTTTTTGCTCTCTCTGGTAAATTAAGAAAAATTAATTATATATCCTTTAATGTTAAATAAAGTTTCTTTTTATAATTAAATTAATTCTTAATAGATTAAGCCAAAAAGAAAATGCTTTAATTCAATTTTTTTCTTGAACTAATTAATATGATGATATTGATACTGTGCAGCATTAAAAATTTAATTTTTCTTTTGCTACTTAAATATTCTTGTATTTCTTTTAAAAGTAACAAATCTGAATACTTTATGATTTTACTGAATAATTATTTTATTTTTTTTAAGAAAACAGTTTTTTTTATAAAAAAAATTTGAAATAAACTTAATTAAAAACAAGAATGAATATATTTTTTTATTTTTAAATATAGTGGCATCTTCACATTTTTGGTATGAATTTATGTTTGATATCTTAATTTATATATAAATAAGAATTTTTAAAACTGAAGATATTACTCTCTACAGAAAGACAAATGAGAGGGAGATATAACAAAAGCGCCAATATATTAAGTTTTAAATATTTTTACTTTGTTTAAAATTATTTTTAATGAAATATTCAAGCAATAAATATTATTTTTATACTTTACTTATTTCTATCTAGTTTCTTTTGAGAATTCTTTTATGAAAATTCATAATTCTTTTATTAATTAAACAAGAAGCTTTAAACAATAAAAAAAAAAGCACATTATCAATTATATAAGTAAATATCTATTCAAAATTTGTATAAAAAGGTAAATGAAAGGATTAATTGTAGCTTTGTTAGTTATCTCCTTAGTCGCTTGCGATTAAAATCCAATATTTTTGAATGAAACCTATTACTCTGGTTATATCGATGTCACTAAAAAGAGTAATTTGTTTTACATTCTGTTTGAGTCACGTTCTGACCCTTCTACTGATCCTTTAGTCTTGTGGCTTAATGGTGGCCCTGGATGCTCTTCTCTTCTTGGTTTATTTGAAGAAAACGGCCCATACAAAATCAACAACGACTCTACCTTGAGATCCAACCCCTTCTCTTGGAACTCTAACGCTAATTTACTCTATGTTGATTAACCCGTTGGTACTGGTTTCAGTAATGCTAGTCTTGGAGATCTTGCTAAAACTGAAGAAGCAGTGAGAAACGATTTTTACTCATTCTTAACCTAATTCTTTGACAAATATCCTCAATATGCTGGAAGAAAATTCTACATTAGTGGTGAATCTTATGCAGGATAATACATCCCTGCTATATCCAGCAAAATTTTAGAAGAAAATAATCCTAAAATTAACTTATAGGGTATCGCTATTGGTAATGGATGGGTATGATTTACTTAATATACTTTTAAAATATACAAACAGACAAACAAAATTTGCACTTTTCTTTAATAATTAATCTATTTTTTTAAATTTATTAAAACATGATTATAATTTAATTTTTAAAGTGCATTTTAGTTATATCTGATTTGGATTTATAATTCTAATTAATATTTCATATTAAAATAGGTTGACCCTTAATATCAATAACCTGCTTATGCTGATTATGCCTTTGCAAAGAACTTAATCACTGAAAAGAAATACAAGAGTGTTCTTTCATAATTCAATACTTGTGCTTCTCTCATAAAAAATAATGCTCCCTTCGTTTTAACAAGTCTTTCTTGCAATCCTCCCTACCTAGAAATAGTTGGAAATCCACCTAAATTCAACGTTTACGATGTCCGTATTCCCTGTTAAGGAAGTGGATGCTATTAAGCAGAAGACGAAAAGATTGAAAAGTTTACTCAAAGACCTGATGTTTAATAACTTTTAAATTTAAAGGGTAAGAAGTGGGTTCCTTGCTCTAATAAAGTAGGTGAAGCTCTTAATCATTTAGCATAAAGATCATCCACCAAATAACTTATTGAAACAATTTCTAGTAAAATCAAAGTTTTGATCTACAGTGGTGATGAAGATTTCTAATGCAACTACTTGTAATAATTTTATGATTTACAATTATTTATATTTATATTTTTATTTTAATATTAAAGAGGTGCAGAAAAATGGGCTTATAATCTTAAATGGTAAGGTTAGTCTTAATTCTAGTAAACCGAATACAGCAACTGGAGTATCTAAGGTTAGAGCTTAGGTAAAGTTAAGACTGTAGATAACTTCAATTTCTTAATTATTTATGGTGCTGGCCATTAAGTTCCTATGGATCAACCTGAAAGTGCTTTAATTATGATAAATCAATTCATTTAAGGATCTTTCAATTAAAAGCAATCTACTTACTGACATAAAAAAATTATTCAATCAAAATATCATCAAATCACTGCTGATAAATAATGTTTTTAAATTAAAATATATAAATAATAAATTATTTATTATATTTATTTGTATAACAAAAATATCATATAATAAATTAGCTTTTAAATATCTTAATTAAAAACCTTTTATTTTATGTGATTAAATATTTATTTTTACATTTTAAATAATTTAAATTTTCAACATAATTTAAAAGTTAATAATTAATAAAAATTCATTTAATTTAGAATAAAGCATACATTTAATCTTTCCCAAAATCAAACCTCACAAAATTTATATTAAAAATTTTTTTTTTTTTCAAATATCACTTTATAATAAAAATCACCTAAATATAAAGTTAAGCTTATATTATAGTCTCTATGGTACATTAAATAAATAGATTTTTCTAACTACAAATTAAAAAAAGCAATTATTGACATATTTTTAATTTATTTATAGTCATTTATTTTATTTTACACATGCTATTTAATTTTTAGTAGGATTTAAATAAAGATTTATAGTAAAAAGTGTAGTTAGATATGTTTAAATTCAAGTTGTACATGTTATTTTTACCTCTTTAGTTAATTTAGAAAAATTTATTTGATTTTTATATTAATTCTAGTTTAGCCAAAAAGAAAATGTTTTATTAGAATTTTTTACTATTTTAATCTAATTAATATGATGATATTGATAATGTGCAGTTTTAGAAATTTAATTTTTCTTATAGCTTTTTATACTGGTAAGATATTTTTATATTTCTTTGAAAAGTAAAAAATCTGATTATTTCATAATTTTAATTGATAATTATTTTATTTTTTTAAGAAAACTGTTTTTTTTTTTAAATATCAAAAATTTGAAATAATATTAATTAAAAAATGAATGAATATATTTTTTATTCATAGAATATTGAGTAGCATTTTCAAATTTTTATTATGAATTTATGTTTGACATGTTAATATATCTTTAAATAAGAATATTTAAAACAGAAGAATTTACTCTCAACTGAAAGAAAAATGAGAGGGAGAGCTAAAAAATGTGCCAAAATATAGAGTTTTCAATATTTTTATTGTGTTTAAAATTATTTTTAAGGAAATATAAAAATTATAAATATGATTTTTACACTCTACTTCTATCTTGCTTCTTAGGAGAATTATTTTAAAATTCAAAATTCTTTTATTAATTAATCAAGAAGCTTAAAAGAATTGAAAAAAAATACATTTACAATAATATAAGTAAATAATTATTCAATAATTGATATAAAAATCTAAATGAAAGGATTTATTGTAGCTTTGTTAGTTATCTCCCTAGTCACTTGTGATTAAGACCCAATATTTTTGGGTGAAACATATTACTCTGGCTATATCAATGTCACTGAAAACAGTGATATGTTTTATTTTCTGTTAGAGTCACGTTCTGATAATCCTGCAAATCCTTTACTTTTGTGGCTTAATGGTGGCCCTGGATGTTCTTCTCTTCTTGGTTTATTTGAAGATATCGGCCCATTCAAAATCAATGATGACAATACCCTAGATTACAGAGATTCACTTTAGAACATAGACATTAATTTGCTTTTTGTTGACTAACCCGTTGGTACTGGTTTCAGTAATGCAGGTGTTGGAGAACTTGCTAGCACTGAAGAGGCAGTGAAAAATAATTTATACTCATTCTTAACCTAATTCTTTGACAAATATCCTCAATATGCTGGAAGAGAATTCTACATTAGTGGTGAATCTTATGCAGGATAATACATCCCTGCTATATCCAGCAAAATTTTAGAAGAAGACAATCCTAATATAAATTTAAGGGGTATAGCTATTGGTAATGGATGGGTATGATTTACTTAAGATACTTTTAAAATATACAAACAAAAAACAACAAAAAAATTTTTTTATTTTTGTTTAATCATTAATTTACTTTTCTAAATTAAAAAAAGATGAAAAATTAATTTTTAAAGTTCATTTTAGTTATATCTGATTTGAATTTATAATTCTAATTAATATTTCATAATAAAATAGGTTAACCCTTAATATCAAGAACCTGCTTATGCTGATTATGCCTTTGCAAAGGGCTTAATCACTGAAGAGAAATACAATAGTGTTTATTCTTAGTTCAAAACATGCGCTTCTCTCATTGAAAATAATTCTCCCTTCGCTTAAACAAGCCTTTCTTGCAACCCTCCCTATCTAGAAATAGTTGGTAATCCACCTAAATTTAACATTTATGATGTCCGTATTCCCTGTTAAGGAAGTGGATGCTATTAAGCAGAAGACGATAAGATTGAAAAGTTTATTCAAAGACCTGATGTTTAATAACTTTTAAATTTAAAGGATAAGAAGTGGGTTCCTTGCTCTAATTAAGTAAGTGAAGCTCTTAAAAATTTGACATACAGATCTTCTGCCAATGAACTTGTTAAAACTATTTCTAGTAAAATCAAAATCTTGATCTACAATGGTGATTAAAATTTCTAAAACAACTACTTGTAATAATTTTATGATTTACAATTATTTATAATTTATATTTTCAATTTAATATTAAAGAGGTGCAGAAAAATGGGCTGAAAATCTTGAATGGTCAGGTAAAAATTACTTCAATGCAGCCAATTACGACATCTTTAATATGTCAGGTAAGGACATAGGTAAAATTAAGATAGTAGAAAACCTCAATTTCTTAATAGTTTTTGGTGCTGGTCAAAAAGTTTTTAAAGATCAACCTTAAAGTGCTTCAATTATGATGAACTAATTCATTTTTGGTGCTTTTAATTGAAAGCAATCTACTTATTGAGATAGAAAAAATTATTCAATCAACTTATCAGCAAAGCTACTCATAGATAATATTTTATATTAAAATATATAATTTAAATTATAAATTATTTATTATTATTATTATTTGTTAAATAAAAATAGTGTATAATAAATTAGCTTATAAATATCTTTATTAGAAACCTTTTATTTTATTTATGTGATTAAATATTGATTTTAATATTTCATATATAGCTAATCCTGTAATTAAAATATCACGAACTGTGTAGGTACAGATGGTGATATGTCATTTAATTTTTATGATTTTAAGCTAATTTTACACTTTTTCACAATTTATTGAAAAAAGTCCTTAATATATTTCGTCCTTAATATATGAGAAACCACGGTATATAATATTGCAAAAATTGTTTAAACTATTTTTAAAATGAATAAAAATTGAATAATCATATTCCTCATTACTACTAAAAAGAATAAACATCTAATGGTGAATATCCTAAAAAGGAAAACTCATTTAATTCAAAACTTACAAAAATAAGTAATTGAATTCTATTACATTAGTTGCTGATTTTGAATTAACAATAAAACCTATTTAAAAAATTGAAGAACTGACTGAATACAAAAAATACATAATGTGATTATTCAATCTAAAACAAAAAAATTAGCTAAACATAAAACAGCATAACTATTTATCAAAGTTTATGATTTATACAATCAACTTAAAATTATTCATATTAATTTACATATATTAAATAATTAAAAATATTTTTATAATTAAACTATTTTCATCATAAAAAAAAATTAAATGAGCAAATATTTAAACAGCTTTCAAATAAACAATTAAATGATTGATTTTATCTTTAATTTAATATTTTAAAAGATAAATATCATTATTATTCCCTTAATTTAAATGATAATAAATAAAATAATAATCATTATTGAATTAGATTTCTTTTGGTATTTATTATATTAGTTAATATAAAATTTATGAGAATAGATTGATAAATCGAACAATCAAAGCAAAATTAATTTTTAGATTAATTAAGTTAAATTAATATCATATAAAAAAAATAGATTAAGGTAATTTTTTCTAATATCTTTCTTTGTTACTCATATTTTAATTGAAAAAAGAATAACCAACCTGAGTTGACCATTCCTTGAAATTTAAAATTTAGCATGATCTAATCATCTCAATTTATAATTTTTAAATGGTAGGATGTTAGAATAAAAATCTATTGAGGAAAATTATCAAATATTTAAAACTTTTATAGATATTTTAGTGGGAAATTATTTTTAAAGTATAAACTATCCAAAATACTTGTAAAATTATGAATATTTATTTAATATTCTATTATTTTATTTGCAAAACCTAAATTTAAGATATAAAATTTGTAGATCAAATTAATGATAGATTAATTTATTCTTTAATTTCTTGCTTCAGACTAAAAGCCTTTATCTATGGAGAAATAAATTCATTTTATGTTATGAAGTAATAAGGACTTTTCTATATTTTGATTTATCATATTTCAGTAGAATTTGTGAAAGAAATAATTTGGTAAAAGAACAAAAAATGCTTACTCAAAAATTCAAAATTTTAACTTGATTTTAGACTGATTTTGATTTTAATTAAGATTAGAAATAAAAACTAATGGTATATTTTGAATAAGATTTCTTCTGGAAAAAATAAATAATAATTATTTACATTTAAAATAATGAAATTCAGGGAAATTTAATTCAGATTATGAATTCTGAATATAACCCCAAAAGATATTAATTAATATTTATTTCGATTGTTTATTCTTATTGGGAACATTTCTGTGAATTTATCTTATATCATAAACATACAAAATGCTAATACCATTTTCTTTTTCAACATTTTCAAAAACAAATAAATTGTATCTTCCTTTCTAGGATTTATGCTTCATAAAGAATAAAATAAAATAATTATTTATTGCTTTTACATATAATTGATGTTAATGCACTCAAAGCTAATCAAATATAAACGATAGCCAAATTTTAATGACGTAGACAGAATCAATGCAATACTTTCTAAGAAAATTATTTGTATAATTACTTGATTTAGCAAATTTTGTTTGATTTTTTAAAAAAGAAAAGAATTTTGTGTCTTAAGTTTTTACTATAAAAAGATTTCTTTTCACATATTTAATTACATAATTAATAAAAAAAACTTAAATCTAAAAAAAGCTAATTAACAAATATTCAGCAAATTTAATTATCATAAATAACTTATTAAAACTAAATGTTAACTAGAAATTTAGATAAAGCTAGACAAGCTTACTATGAGGGTAATGTTGAAATGTCTAAAAAGGCACACAGAAACGAAACTGTTTAAGGATAAGAAGATGAAAAATTAAAAAGCGACCATAATGAAGATCACAACAACTCTGGTGCCTACATAAAGAGTGCGGTTTATGGTGGTTTAGATGGTACCATAACAACATACTCAGTCGTTATGGGTGTAGCAGGTGCTAATCTTGCAACAATTGTTGTTGTAGCTTTGGGTGTAGCTAACTTGATTGGTGATGGTATTTGCATGGCCTTAGGTGATTATCTTTCAACTAAATCAGAAATTGAATTCTAAAGAAAAGAAAGAGCTAGAGAAGAATGGGAGGTTGAAAATAATCCCGATGAAGAAAAGAATGAAATGGTAGAACTCTATGAATAAAAAGGAATAACAAGAGAAGATGCCAGAAGCGTTGTTGAAATCATTTCTAAAAATAAATAAGCTTGGGTTGATATTATGATGATTGAAGAATTAGGATTATTGCCTGAAGAAGAAGATCCAGTAAAAAATGCAATTGTCACCTTTATTGCTTTTGTCTTGTTCGGCTTAATTCCTTTGATTCCCTTCATTATCATAGAAATTGCTTCTATCAAAGCAAGCAATACATTATTCTATGTTTCAACAGCAATGACTGCTACATTCCTATTCATTTTAGGTTTCACAAAATCTATGTTCACTTATTCTAAGTGGTGGAAAAGTGGTCTTGAAACTCTTTTGATTGGTGTTGTAGCTGCAGGATCTTCCTATCTTATAGGACTTGCATTCCGTCCTTTGACAGATGGAGCCAGCGCTTGATTTGATGAATTATCGCTTCATAAAAATGAATTCCTTAACCTAATTTAAATGTATGTATATAAATATCAACTACTCAATTAAATTTAAAATTTTAATAAAACTATCAAAATAAATAAATGTATGTATGCAATATTTTATATGTTAAATTGTGATTCCTTAATAGTTGCAATAGCAAATTTTTAGAATAATTTAAATACAATCGATATAATTTTGTTTATTTCAATTTATCTACTTATTAGCTAGCTACCAGTCTACTTCTTTCTTTCATATTTATTTTTTATCTCTTTTTAATTCAATTTTGATAATCTTAGGAATGTTTTGGTTCTTTTTCATCAAAAATGCTACAAATAATTGAAATAAATAACAACTATTTGAGTGTTTTTTCAAAGTCTAATTATTCGAGATAAAAGACAGAATATAAAAAATTGGGGGTACTAATTATTGTATTTATATAACTTGAGTTAGATAAAAATGACCGTCATCAATCCCCTTTTTTATAATTTAATCAAAAAAGATCCCCCTATAATGTATAATGGAAATAAAATTAGTAAATAAATTGATAATAAAATAGAATATTTTCAATTCGAAAGTTGCTTCAGCAATAACATGATGCTCTTCACATAAACATGAATTCTTTTTTTATTTTTAATGATGAATAATAGATCAATTAAAAACCCTTTTTATTATTACCTTGGGAAATTTAAAGGATTTATGATAAAGTAGACTTCGAAATTAATCAATTTAAATAGACTTCCATTCTCAAAGTTTTTAATTAGAATATTTCAAAGATTTTAATAAATAAAATTTCATGTCTAAATATAAAAAATTAATTTAAAATTATTAAATATTGCATTTCTTTTGCAAAAATAGCATTTATTATCAGAAAATATTATTCTTTTACTTTTCTATTTGGAATAAATATTTTAAAAACACACTTAAGTTAAAATTCAATTATAAATATTATAAAAAAGATAAGCTAAAGAAGAATAGAAAATTATGGGGGATTTTTGTAAATTAATTGATGAAAATCAACAAATTTAAGAGATTTACATCAAGAGACTTTAAAAAATAGTTAAATAAATTGGTTAAGCTACCTTAACTCTGATAAGTAAAACCCAATCCATTTTCTTAAAAAATTTATAATCAATCTTTCATCTTAAGCATTATAATACATTCTTTATTTTATTCTGATTAATATTTCATAATTGATTGCTTCCTTTGTTGTTAATTTGTGCATATACGACTAGTGCTAAGAAAAGCAAACATCTAAATTATAAATAAATACTGATGACGTATCAAAATTACAGTTTAACTCATCAAATTAATGGATGGTAAATAGAGTTTGAATTTCAATTTATTGCATATTAAATATTTAGAGTCTTAGCTGGCAGAATTTTTGTAAATATTTTAATTATTATTTAATTTATAAATATAAAATAAAAATTTTAATTTTAAATAGATAGACTTTTACTAAAAATAAATTTACGTTTTTCATTAAATTTAAACTCAATGTCTATTAAAAGTTTACAAAAAGTTAGATAAGCTTATTATGAAGGTAACTATGAAGAAGTGAAGAACGTTCATAGAGTTGACTCTATTAATCGTGATAATTTTATATCAAGATAAGATTATTACGAATTTAATTATTTAACAAATCACAAGGAGTAACATAATACATCTGGAGCTTTCATTAAAAGTGCTGTTTATGGTGGTCTTGATGGATTAATAACTACTTATGCTGTAGTCATGGGTGTAGCTGGGGCTGAGCTATAGACAGTAGTTATTCTCGCTTTAGGTGTATCTAGTTTAATTGGAGATGGAATTTGCATGTCTCTAGGTGATTATCTTTCAACAAAATCAGAAATTGAATTTTAAAGAAGAGAAAGACACAGAGAAGAGTGGGAAGTAGATAATCTACCAGAAGAAGAAAAAGCTGAAATGATTGAGTTGTATGAAAACAAAGGGATAAGCAGAGAAGATGCTACTTAAATTGTCGAAATAATGTCCAAATATAAATAAGCATGGGTTGACATCATGATGGTAGAAGAGCTTGGATTGATTCCTTAAGAAGAAAATCCTATAAAAAATGCTATTGTTACACTAACTTCTTTCATTTTATTTGGTTAAATACCTTTAATTCCTTTTGTAATAACTTAAATATTTTCAATTGACGCCAACGAATTATTTTTCTACCTTTCCACAGGATTGACGGCCCTGTTTCTGTTTGTTCTGGGATATATCAAATCCTAATTTACTTTTTCTAAGTGGTGGAAGAGTGGCCTTGAAACCCTTTTTACTGGTATTATGGCTGCGGGATCTGCATATTTAATAGGATTAGCTTTTAGACAATTTACATCTTGAAAATAAATGAATAACTTATTTTGTTTTTTTCTTCTTTATATTATATTTTATGATAATCAAAATGATATTTATTTACTTTCCAATTACAATTTTACTATTTTTATTTAAAATAAAAAATAATTTTATTTTAAAAGCCAACATATTTTCAAAAAATATTTTTCAATTATTTCATTGATGTTATGATTGTGCTAAAAAATAATATGACCACTGAAACAGGATATTAATTTTTTAAAATAAAATTGATTTTATTCTAAATAAACAATTTTTTAAAGTATCAAAATAAAAACAAATGGTTTAATCATTTAATTAAAGAATATTACATGATTCTTTTCTGAAGAATTCTATGTGAATAATTTTTGTTTTAGCTTTACTTCAGATTAATTTAAAATCAAATGAAAGTGAAAAACAAAAAAAATTTTTAAGTATTTACCTAAAAATTATATTTAGTTGAAAAGAAAATATGTACGTACTATGAATAAAAGAATGCATTCATTTTTATCTAATGTTTAAAAAATTTATTATCTATTTAAAAAAAAGAAGACATTATCAATTTACTTTTTCAATAAAATGTAATTTCTCATTAATTAAACCACTACGCGGCGAAAAAATTTTCATTTAAATTTAGTCTAATTTTTCGAAATTTAATAATTTTAATTTAAGTAACTTAATCTGATTGTATAAGAAATTGCAAAACATTTATTTTTTTATTTATTAAGATTTAATCAGATTTAAGTGATATAATGCTAATGTGCAACAAGTAAGAATATAAAACTTCTAATTATATAAATTTATAATAACTAAATCAATTAGATTGGTTAAGTGAAGAACGATCTATGCAATGATACTTAGACAAAAGACTCATACCAAAACTGATAGTTATTGAATCTGAGCTCCATAAAGCAAATTATTGCCTTGGGACATTAAATCCTGTGAAATCTTCTTATGTGTTATGCGAAAACCATTTTTATTTTAGTAATTAATCATATTCATCTGAGTCTATGATTCCATCAACAGCAACTATTTGATTTACTAAATCTTGATTTCCAATATGAGGATTAAATTATGTTCCGTTTAAATATCTGTGAACATTCATAGGGTAGTAAAATTATGAAGTATATGTTTTTAAAGTAATGCTGTAAAAGGGATTCAAATTGCTATTTTAAAAGAATCCAAACTTAGTAACAGTTTTCATTCCTTTTTCAATAGTATCTGTAACATTTTTAGGAGTTTTAGGATCAAAGTATAGTCTCACATTTCCCTTCTTATCTAATTTTGCTGTAGTCCATGTATTGATTAGAGTACTTAGTGATAATACAGTAGTAAATGTAGCGTCCTCATGGTATGATTTGTTAGCATAGATACCAAGGAAGTCCTCCCAATACAAATCACCGTTATATCTTACTTAAGCAGTATTTAAGATGAATTAAGTGCCATTTGTTTTTAGCATTTTACTATAAATCTTTGCAACTTCTTTCGCATTTTCATTGAGTTTGTCGAAGTTAGAATTTAAGAGATATAAATTTTTTGAAGCTTAGAGATAGAATATATACCTTGAAGGGTAGTATGGATTGGATATATCTATATGCTTGTCAATAACACCAGAGTAAGCTTGAGCAGCGAGGAAGCTAGTTGAATTAAGGTATAACATTGTCAGTGTATCATCGAAAACCTAATCTATCATAGTTTAGTTGCCATAAATTATCAGTTAATTTAGTGAAAAAATGATGTTATTCATAACAGTAAGATCTATTAAGTTAACATTAAATGGAATTTAGACAACCCCTTCAACTTAATCTTCAATGTTAAGTAGCCAAGTAGTAAACAACCCAAATTATGTAATGTTCATTTAGGGTAGTTTTTCTAAATATTCATGAAATGCAAAGTAGCTCCTAGGGTCAATCATACTACTAGAAGAGTTAGATTTATCAAGTGGATAATATGAGTACCTTTTTAAGAGATCGAAATACTCTTTGAATTTGTAATTTTTAGACAGCCATTTATCCTTAATAGATTGTTTTATTTTTGGTGAGGTCATCAATTAAATGCCAAGTACTTTTTTAAAATATTTGAATTAACTTAATAGATAAATTAAATTAGTGTAAGTAATACCTTAATTTTAAGAGCCATCATCTGAATCTGTGGGTAGGTGGAGAATCGTAGATAACCTTTGTAACAGATTTATAAAACTTAATCCAATATAATTCAAAAATTTTCTTAGAATATCAGGAAACAATTTTGTGAAGTCAGAAACCTTGAGTAAATTTGTGCCATACTGCGACCATGTGTTTGTTTCTTTTACAAATATTTATTTGTAAAAAGTAGCAGAAGGAATATTTCCTCGGTTTTTGTCTTTAAATTCGAGTAATGTGTCAATAGTTTCTTCAAGTTCATTCTCGTTAAATTCATAGGTACCTAAATTAACACAATCTAGTAAGTTAAGTAAAACACAATTAGTCACAAAGTAATTATTATCGTCAATTCCAATTTGAGTCCTCACTAAATGGTCAATGTAAGAGTTTCTTTTATCCATTATATTTAAAATTACATATGATGCATACAAGCCTTTCTCTTAATTAAACTAGAATGGAAATATTTAAAAAGGTTTAGACTCTTTGTACCTATTTTCACTTAAATAGTTTGATAATAGCTCCATTTGTTCTTTAAAAGGCATTCTTATTTATGAATTATATAACCAAACACATTGTTTGATTATAAAATACATAGTCATGTGAGTTAAAATATATTTCAAAATTTTGATTTTCATACTAACAAATGTTTTTTTTTATATGATATTTTTATTATCTATTTAAATTATTATATAAACAATTAACAATTACCTAATTTAAATTGAATTTTCTACTATTTACCATAAAAAGTTTATAATGAATTTCAGTTGTGATATTTATTTATACATGTATGGTGACGCAACTTGTTTAGAAATAGAGTAAATAAGTATTCAAGATATATAAATTTCAATTTAGTGAGAACCTGAAAGATTCTTTCTTATATGATTATTACATTGTAAGTTAATTAAAAAAATTTTATTTAAAGGAGGAAAGAAAATACACAATTTCACCAAATCAACTAATTTAATATTTGTTATTTCAAAAAATTCATCAAATAAAATAAAAATTTTATTATTTAAAAATCCTACCCAATTAGCTTATATTCTAAATCCAATTTGACATAATAAATTTTAATTATTTACTCTGTGAGGCTTATTTACTAAAGTATTTTTTATAATAAAAATGAACAATATTTTTATTACATATTGAACAATAGTTTAAGGTAAAGTGAGATATATGTTTAATTAATTTGAATCAAATATTTGAAAATATCGTTTTTATATAAGAATAAATTATAAATATTAATAGAGAATAAAATAATTGGTTAGTTTTAAATATTCTATGAATATATTTTAAATAAATATTTTGTAGTTATCACAGTTCATTTCAACTTTACAATCAATTTTAGATTATTTTTACTGATAGTTAATATTTACTTTTTATTATGATTAACGTTGTTGATATTTTATGGTAAAAAATGATCTGTTATGTCTCACCTAATTATTAATTAACAATTAGAAACTAGTGGTTTTATTAATATTCAAATATTACTATTTTTTATTATACTTTTGAAGATTCTCAATAATTAAATTTCAGTGATGTATTTATGTATGGATGTCTTTGATTAATTAAATATCTATTATTATATTTTCTGATATAAATTTTACTTACTTTCAAAACCATAATTGAAAACTAAAAAAGAAAGTATTCATTATAGTAATAAATTTAATTAAAAGTATATCTATTATTTTAATAAAAATTTATTTAATAGTTAAAACTTATTCTACCTTTTGTAAAGTTGTTGTTTTTTTTTTTCAAATTCAATGGGAATATGCCTTCAATCATTAACTTAATATTTAGATAATGGAATACTTTGCAGATATGATACCAAAAAATTATTTTTAATTCATTTTACTGTTACCAACCACACTTTTAGGTTTTTTCTATTCTTATCTTATCTTTTCTGATATAGATTTTACTTACTTTCAAAATCTTAATTGAAATATTAAAAGGAGAATATATTATAGTAATAAATTTGATTCGAAGTATCTATCTCTATATTTTAATAAAAATAAACTTAATAGTTAGTTAGTTAGTTAGTTAGTTAGTTAGTTAGTTAGTTAAAACTTATTCTACTTTTTGTAAAGTTGTTACCGTATTACCTCAGTAAGATACTTTTTTAACGTACGAGGTAAGGAAAAAAACATAAATTCTTACAACCTCTAACCTCGTATGGTAATTTAGCAATTTAGGTACTGCGAATTTTGAGGGAATACGGTATTTTGTTAGCAAAAAATTTAATGAGAATATGCCTCCATTCATTCACATAATAATTTAAATAATGGGATACTTAGCAGATATGATTCCAAATGATTATTTTCACTTTACTTTACTGTAACCACACTTTTAGGTTTTAAATAACGTTTTAACAGCCTTGTCTATCTATTATAATCATATTATTTTTATTTTTGTTTGAAATATTTATTCAATCGAATAATAGAAAATAAACAAAAAAAAACCAGAAGTATTACTTATATTAATGAGAAGGAAGGACCATTTGTTGTGAAAGACGACTCTCTATCTATCTGTTTCGTTTAATTGTGATTAATACAATTTAAAACTTCTACTTGTCAATAATCAAATTTTATGTAATAATTTTAATTAAAGGACCATTATGTTTACCCTTCATATTTATTTTCCTTCCTTTCAAGCTCAACTCTAAGCAGTAAAAAGTGAGAAGTGTATATAAATTAATTAAGTTGAGAGTAAAATAAAGTGAAGTTAAGTCATTCAAAGAATTTTATAAAAAAGAAGCACATTTCAAAATCCTTTAATAATAAAAAATTAAATAGACAAAAAAAAGAATAAAAAAATTTTAAAAATAGAATAGATTAACAATTTATATCTTTTAATTCCTTAAAAATTATTTATTATGCACCAAATCATAACTAATTATAATGCTTCTTTTTTAATTTGTTTGATAATATTATCTTTTTGGTTATTTTTTATATGTTTCACTCACTATATTACTAAATGTAAATGGTCTGTTGATTTATAGTGGAGTAAGTATATCTATTTATAAGTTTTATTTTTTAAAATAGCTTATTCAAATTAATATTAATTAATCTAATTTATTGTAATACCTAGAAACTCAATAGCTTTTTTTTAGTGAAAGAAATAAAATTTTAGATAATTCAAAGTCTTTATTAATTAAATTGTTATCAGAAAAAAGGGGTCTTAATTAAGAATAATTTAGGGTATGTATATTAAGTTATTATATTTGATTAGATTTAACCTGATTAAAAGATGAAAAAAATATACTAAGCGCAACAAATAAAAATATAAAACACATATTATTTAAATTTAAAAACTAAATCAACTAGAGGGATCGAGTTTAGAACGATCAATACAGTGATACTTTGATAAAAGACTCATACCAAAGCTGATAGTTATTGAATCAGAGCTCCATAAAGCAAATTATTGCCTTGGGACATTAAATCCTGTGAAATCTTCTTCAGTGTCATGTGAAAACCATTTTTGCTTTAGCATTTAATCATATTAATCTGGATTTATGATGCCATCAACGCCAACTACATGATTTACGATATCTTGAGTTCCAACATGAGGATTAAATTAAGTTCCGTTTAAATATCTGTGAACATTCATCGGGTAGTAAAATTATGAAGAGTATGTTTTTAAAGTAATGCTATAAAATGGATTCAAATTGCTATTTTAAAAGAATCCATATTTAGTCACTGCTTTCATTCCTTTTTCGATAGTGTCTGTAACATTTTTAGGAGTTTTAGGATCAAAATATAGTTTCAAATTACCTCTCTTATCTAATTTTGCTGTAGTCCATGTATTGATTAAAGTAGTAAGCGATGCTACTGTAGTAAATGCAGTGTCCTCATGATATGATCTGTTAGCATAGTTACCAAGAAAGTCCTCCCAATACAAATCACCATTATGTCTTACTTAGGCAGAATCTAAGATGAACTAAGTGGCATTTGTTTTTAGCATTCTATTATAAATCTTTGCAACTTATTTAGCATTTTGATTGAGCTTGTCAGAGTTAGAATTTAAGAGATATGCATTTTTAGAAGCTAACAAATAGAATGTATACTTTGAAGGGTAGTATGGATTGGTTATATCTATATGCTTGTCAATAATACCAGAGTAAACTTGAGCGTCAAGGAAGTTAGTTGAATTAAGATATAACATTGTTAGCTTATCATCGAAAACCTAATCTACCACAGTTTTGTTGCCATGAATTTGAAGGTAATTTAGGGAATAAATAATGTTATTGATAACAGTAAGATCTAATATGTTTACATTAAATGGAATTTGGACAACTCCTTCAACTTAATCTTCAAGGTTAAGTAGCCAAGTAGTAAACAACCCAAATTATGTAGTGTTCTTTTAGGGTAGCTATTCTAAGTATTCATGAAATGCATAATAGTTTCTAGGGTCAATCATACTACTAGAGGAGTTAGATTTTTCAAGTGGATAATATGAGTATTTTTTTAAGAGATCAAAGTACTCTTTCAATTGGTAGTTACTAACCAACCACTTATCCTTAATAGATTGCCTTATTTTTGGTGAATTTAACAAAGAAATTCCAAGTACTTTTTTAAAATATTTGAATCAACTTAATAAGTAAATTAAATTAGAGTATTACCTAAATTTTAAGCACTATCATCACTGTCTGTAGGAAGGTGGAGAATCTAAGATAGCTTTGGCAACAGATTTATAATAGTTAATCCAATATAATTCAAAAATTTTTTTAGAATTTCAGGAAATGATCTTGTGAAATCAGAAACTTTAAGCAAATTAGTAGGATGTTGTGACCATGTGTTTGTTTCATTTACAAATATTTATTTGTAAAAAGCAATAGAAGGAACATTTTTTAGGTTTTTATCATTAAATTCGAGTAATGTGTCTAGAGTCTCTTCAAGTTCATCCTAATTAATTTCATATGTACCTAAATTAACACAGTCTAGTAAATTAAGCAAAACATTATTAGTAACAAAGTAGTTATTATCATCTATTTCTACTTTTGTCCTTAATAAATGGCCAATGAAAGAGTTCCTTTTGTCCATTACATTTAAAATTACATATGAAGAATACAAACCTTTATCCTAACGAAAGTGAAATGGAAATGTTGAAAAAGGCTGAGACTCTTTGTACCTATTTTCATTTAAAAAACTTGATAATAACTTCATCTATTCTTTAAAAGGCATTTTTATCTATGAATTATATAACCAAACACACTGTCTAATTATAAAATACAAAGCCAGAAAAGTCAAAATATTAAACCAAATATTGCTTTTCATTTTAACCAAATTGTTTTTTTTTTTAATCTTTCTATATTATTTTTATTATTTACTTAAATCATTATTTCCAATTACCAAATTTAAATTTGATATTTCAACTTTTTACATTAAAGAATTACGAATTTCAGATGTATCATTCATATAAGAATGATGCAATTTTATTTATAAATTTAAGTTATTTATAATATTCAACTTAAGTTTCTTTGTAATAATAACTATTTATATTGGTAAGATCTTGAAAAGATATTTTCTTTTATGTTTTTTATTTATATAATCAAATTTAATTAATTTTTCTTAGAAGAGGAGAACTAATATTCAATTTTAAATCAACCAACTCAAAACTTTTTTGCCTCAAAAAGAAAAATTGATTAAATAAATTAAATATTTTATTGTTACACAACCCGCCCCAATTTGTTTATATACTTAACATAATTTTATAACATAAATTTAAAATGTTTCTTGTTAGAGTTTTATTTTAGAAGGAATTTTTGATAGCATAGTGTTCAAAAATTTTCATGTAAAACTAAAAATAGCAATAGGCAGAGGAAGTTAGAAGCGTTTTTTATTAATTAATTAAAATCAAATATTTAAAATTATCATTTTTATAAAAAAACAAATTTAAAATAATAAATACTAAAATAAATTATTTAAATTATGTATGGATATAATTTAATATAAATGATTTCTAGCTTTCAAAAATAATTTCAAATCAAAGAAAATTTAAGTTTATTTTTAAAGTAAAAATCTACTTGTCGTTATGATTTATATAGTTTGTTTTTATGCAAAATAATTAGATGATATTTCATCTCTCACAAACCACTAATTAATAAATTAGAAACTATGGGTTTTATTTAACTAACTTTCAAATATTATGATTTTTATCAGTTAAGATTATCAAAAATTAAGTTCAAGTGGTGTCTGTCTAAAATTGAATTTATCTCTTTTTCTTATGTTAACTTTATTTACTTTTAAAATATTAAATATTAGAGCGAAAGTGATTTATTTGCTGTTACAGTTTTAATTTGAAGCAATTATGTTAATCATAGTTCCCTTTATGCTTCTATAATTATTATTTTGTCAGTTAGAATTGTATTTAATAGTTTAAATTAATCCAACCTTTGAGCTAACTTTCATGATGCTTTATAGTGATTATTAAATTTCGTTATCAATCTGCTAATTTTATGGGATTCATATTAGTAATTATTCATTGTATAGTTGTCATTTTTTGGGTACAATTCAATGAAAATATTCCTTAATTTGATGTATTTATTTAAATAAGCAAATAATATATAGATATAATTATTTATGTATCAGCATTTACTTATTTCAATTTTTTCTTTTAAGTAATTTAAACCAAATGCTATAAAATTCTACTATTATCAAATTGTATTAAATTTATTTTTGTTTGAAATATTTTCTAAATATTTAATCAATGAAGTAATTTTTAACAATTAATTAGTAGGAGTATATATTGTGATAAATAATACTTTAACCATCCACCTCTCTTGATTCGATCAACATTATTTCAAAACAATAACTTATTACTAACTTGTTTATATTTAATTATTTCTCTTTAAAAACCCTAAATTAAGCTTTTTCAATTTTATCTTCTATGAAAGTTCAATTCTAAAATCACACCTTAAAAATCAAGTGTTATGAGAAAATAAATTCAGATAATAGTAAACTTAATAGCCTTAATAACACTATCTATATTTTCAGATTTTGAAAAAGATGAAGTAATTAAAAATTTGTTAGTTTTTTTTATTTGGTATTTCACAAATTTAATCAGATTTAATAAATTTAACAAATAAAAATTGATTTTTAATAAATTCTTATTACTTAAAATTTAAGTATTTTTAATTAAATCTGATAATGTTGTTAAGAAGGTCAGTATTTAACATAATGCTAAATCTTAATTTAAAAAAATTTTAAAAATAAAGTTAATTTTGAAATATTAATAATTGGGCAGTCTTAATAAATGATGTTTTAAAGTGTATAAAAAATAGTCATATTAAAACTTACAAAAAAGATGAAAAATAATTATTTTTAATTATAAAATATAATAGCAAAATTAAAATTTTTTGTAAATTAATAATGTGTTACAAATTTTTAATTCAAAATATTTCTTTTATTGTTTAATTGGTATCTATACCTTTTGTTAATCAAATAAAGTTGGAACTCTAAACATGCTATAATTTTTAAAAGAATTATTTCTTAATAAAAAATTATAATTGTATGCTATAGAATATTATTCTTGATACTCTCTTTATATGTATTGAAACAGAGAATCAACCTACTTTATAGTGATAATATTCAATTTCAAAAGGAAAATAAAACCAATTTTCAATTTTAAGAATTAAATATTTATAATCAATATGAAGGCCATGCCATGACCTAATTAAATTCAAAATACTCTATTGCAAACAAAAGCGTAAAAAGCATTAAATATTAATGTATTTATGTATATTTTTTATATAAATTCTTAATTGGTATTATTGTAATTGTATTTTCTTTGTGTAAAATAATTCATTAAAACAAATAAATAAATAATAAATATAGATTTTGTTTAGTTAAGTGTTAATCATCAAACATGTATAAATGGTAAAATTATGTCTTAAATTTAGCATATACTTAGACATAAATTTTAAATAAAAATGATCTTTATTTAAGTTAATACAATATGTTTATTTTAAATTAAATTTAAGTAATTATTTTTAAAAATTAAAATATTATCCATTTATTTTTGAATGAATAAAAAAATAATATTGTGTTTATTATTTTTAACTAAATGAACATGAAATTTGTTCATTTGATGTGCAATATAAAAAGGCATATTTATTGATACATTTACAGAAAATCATTTAAATATATTATAAAAGCCAGAATTTAACACTTAACTAAGTCTATAATTTTTTATAGACAAGACCTTATTTAATAATTTGAAGATGGGGTAATTTTAATGTATGAGGTTTTAAAGTGTTTAAAAAGCTATTAAAAATTCCTATTAATATTACCAAAAAAAGATGAAATGATTATTTTTAATTATTGTAAGAAAATTAAAAATTTTTGTAAATTAATTATGTCAAAATTTGCATTATTATCAATCAAAAGATTTCTCTTATTGATATCAGAAATAGTATTATTTTATAAAATTTGAAATCTATATGCTGCAATAATTATAAATAAATAAAATTATTTCTTAATCAAATATAAAACTCTTTAAATATGTTTAATACTATATAACAAATAAAAAGTAAATAAGTAATCTTTGATATCTATGAATTATATCTTATTAATTTTACATTTTAACTTAATTTTCTTTTTGATATTTAATGTTTGATAACTTAATTAATTTTTTATCCATTCATTTTTCTTTAAAAATTAAAGTAATTAAACAAATAATATATCAAAAATTTTACTTTACTAATTTTAATTTAATTCTGATGAATTTAATTAGAATCAGTAATATATCAATTTATCTATCTTTCTTTTCTAAAGTTATAAATTAATTATGATTTTTTTTTCTCTACATTTTTATTGATAAATAATTAGATTTTTGTTCTGTAATATTTAAACACAAATAATACTATGAATGATTAAGATAAAAACATTAAAAATATTTAATTATGATTATATAAAAAATAAATATTCAAAAAATTTAATAATCTTAAATAGCCTTGCTCAATCAAGTAAATGCAAATTAAAAATTTTAACCAAAATACAAATACTAATGAAGATAATAATATCTAAAATTCTGAAATAGCACAAATTGTAGAAGTTAGTTAAGGATCAGAAAATGTATAGCCTACAGAAGATAATTATTAGGTGAATAACTAGCCACTTATCATTTAATAAAATGAAATGAATGGAATTTTTCATAATATTTTACCATTAAATAACTAAGAAAATTGGATAAAGATCTAAATGATTGATTAATTAGAATTATTACCTGAAGAAAAAGTATTTATTAAAAGCACTATTGTCATTTTGCTTGGTTTTGCTTTTCTTGTTTTAATTTATTTACTCTGTGCCATCTTTATAGGTACAGCTTAGAATTAAACTAGTGATAGTTTAATTTATACCTTAACAGGAGTATTTTCTGCTTTATTCCTTCTATTGGGTTACTCAAAATAAATATTTAACAGTAGTATATGTATTTGGTACAAAAGTATTCTTGAGACTCTTTTTATAGGTATAGAACCACAAAATCTACCTAATTTATGGTGATTATCTTCCATTTCAGGGCAGATTAAGATAAGGCCTTTTTATTTAATGAAATAAACATATATGATATTATGTGAATGTCATAACTGGATTAAATTGAAAAAATATCAATGCTCTATTTCAAATAAAATATAATGCATACAAACATTAAAAATACAAGCACTTATGTAAAATTTCTTTATATAAATTAGTAATCAACTTTTTTATAATTGTATTGTAAAATGTGTTTACCTTCAATAATCAAACAAACAAAATTATAAATGTAAATTTTGATTAGATAAGCGTTAAATATATTTAAAAGGCTAAATTACGGCTGAAATTCACCATTTACTTAAAAATGCAAATGCAAATGCAAAAATAAATTAATAAAGATAATCATTGATTCTATAAGTTAATATATTTTGTTTATGTTTACATTTCAATAAATTGCATTTAAACAATAATTCTATTTGAGGGTATTAAAAAAATACTATCAATTTTTGTTTTGAATATATAAAAAAATATTGTAAATAATATATTTGAAACAAACAAAAATGAAGTAAAATATTCTACATTTGATGTATAATCTAAAGAAATATTTATAATAACAATTAAAATCAAATTGGTGTGGTTAAATTTGAACGATCAATAGAATTATATTTTGACAAAAGGCTCATGCCATAGCTGATAGTTAAGGCTTCTGAATTCCAAAAAGCAAATTATTATCTAGGAACATTAAATCCTGTGAATTTTTCTTGAGTTTCATGCTAGTACCATTTCTATTTGAGCATTTATTCATATTCTTCTTTGTCTATAATTCCATCAACACCAGCTACGTTTTATACTATGTCTTAAGTATCAAAATGAGGATCAAATTATGTTCCATTTAAATATTTGTGAACATTCATTGGATAGTAGAATTGAGATGTATATGTTTTTAAAGTCACACTATAAAAAGCATTAATATTGCTTTTTGAAAAGAATCCATACTTAGAAACAGTTTTCATTCCTAAATCGATTGTATCTATAACATTTTAAGGGGTCTGAGGATCAAATTATAGTCTTAAATTTCCATTTTAGTCTTATTAAGTAGCAGTCCATATATTGACTAAAGTAGAAAGTGCGCTAATAGTTGTAAATGTATTATCCTCATCATATGTTTTGTTAGCGTAATTACCTAGGAAATCTTACCAATATAACTCTCTCTCTGAGTTAAATTTTGCTGAATTCAAAATGAATTAAGTTGCATTTGTTTTTAGAACCTTGTTGTAAGTCTAGGCAACCTCTTTAGCAATTCCATTTAGCTTTTCTAAGTTAGAATTTAGGAGTTATGCGTTTTTCGAAGCAAGCATATAAAAAACATATTATGAAGGGTAGTATGGATTTGAGATGTCTATATGAGTATTGAGCACTCCAGATTCAATCTGACTAGCAAGGAAGTTAGTAGAATTAAGGTATAACATTTACAGTTTATCATCGAAAATCTATTCAATTTCAGTTTGGTTATAATTAATAAAAATGTTATTTAGAGAGTAGATTATGTTGTTAATAACAGTTAGATCTAAAATGTTAACATTAAATGGCATTTGAACAATACCCTCAACTTATTCTTCTAGATTAATTAACCAAGTATTAAACAGACCAAATTATGTAGTGTTTCTTTACTTCAACTATTCAAAATAAGAGTGGAATGCAAAGTAATTTCTAGGATCAATCTAACTATTTGAGGAGTTGGATTTGTCAAATGGCTAATAAGAATACTTCTTAAGAATTTCAAAATATTCTTTAACTTTGTAATTTTTGCTTGACCATTTATCTTTAATGGATTATCTTACATTTGGTGAGTTCATCAAAGACATACCAAGAACTTTTTATATTAATGGAAGTAATTAATTAAAAGTTAAAAAAATGTTTGATTATATATATTACTTAAATTAATTGCACTGTCATCACTATCAGATGGAAGGAGAAGAATTTTAGATAATTTAGGCAAGAAATTTATAACAGTTAGTCCTATGTAGTTCAAAAAATCATTTACGAATTAAGGGAATAGTTTAGTCAAATCAGACACCTAGATCAAATTAGTAGGAAGTTATGACCATCTGCCATTCTTTTATGCTTACTAGTAAAATCCTATTTGAGGTAAACCTTCTTCAGCATTTTTATCTTTAAATTCAAGTAAGGCATCAATACTTTCTTCAAGTTCATCTTAGTTGAATTCATAAGTACCTAGGTTATTGCATTCTATCAAATTGAGCAAAACAAGACTAGTCACAAAGAAGCTATTATCATCAATTTTTACTTTAGTTCTTAAAAGATGGTTTATGTAAGAGTTATTTTCGTCCATTACATTTAATTGCACATATGAAGAATAAAGACCTTTATCTTAGCGATACTGAAATGGGAAGAACTTAAAAGGCTATGATTCTTTATACCTATATTCATGTAATTATTTAGATAATAGCTACATTTACTACTCAAATGAGACATTTACGTTTGCATTGTATAGCATAGTAAATTATCCACTTGTAAAGTATATAACAGCAACTACCAGTATTATAGATGAAATGAATTTTTTCATTTTAACGCTATTATTTTATTAAAACTTTTATTTATTTTTATTTAAATTTTTATAAATTTAGTTAGGATTTATTTGTCGATTTTTAAAACCAAAAGATTTTAAATTAATATTTTGTGTCAAATGTATTTTACAGAATAAATAAATATTCAGACTTATTTATTTTGACAAATATTAAAAAATACAAAATTTTCATATGATAATTTATATTTTTGTTATTTTTTCTAAAAAGTGATTAATTTTTTTTAGTGCCTGTAAATCAATCAGTAAATTAGCTTTAAAATGTGTTTTCTTTTCATTTTAAAATTATAATTATTTTCCATAAATACTTTTGTATTATACCACAAAATTTAAATACGGTAGCACCTGTCAATTTGGGCACCCTTAAAAACTCAGCACTTGCTAAAACGGGCAAAAGTTTTAATGCATAAAAATGGTAAAAAATTCATCGGCAGGCAGAGAGTACAAGATAGGAAGTCTATAAGTAAATATAATTTTAGGAATAAATATATAAATAAATTGAAATTTATCAGATTTTTTCAGAAGTGTTTATTAATAATTGTAACATAAAAATAGGTTGTAAGTAAGTCATCAGCGTAAACGCAATTATTATAATATTCTATTTTGATAAATGTATTAATCCACTAATTGAAAAAACATAAGACTCATTTAATTTTATTGAATTTAACGCATTTAAAAGAATTTATAAATTTTTTTAATTATTTTAAGAAAATAAAGGCTTCTTTATCATAAAATAGATTAGAATAAAAATTTAGTTTTCTTTAAAATCTTATCTTATTTTGTTAATTGAATCATAAGATTCTCTACAGATAGCATTTAGGGTCTCTAAAAAATATTTCAAATGAAGATTAATGCTAAAAATAATATTTTAAGGTTCAATTTATTTGCATTTTGTAAGTTCACCGACCGAGGAGGATAATAATTCATTTAATTATTATTTTTTAACCCTTTTCATAATTCTTCAATTTAAAAAGAAACAACTAGATTCATGACATTTTATAAAAATAAAAATTGTAACTATTAAGAAAAATAATTTGTTTGTTTATTTTTTGAAAAGATAATAAATTTTATGATTATCTTAGTTGGTGTTGTGTGAAGGTGATTATCTTTATAAACCTTTACTTTACACAATAATATATTTTTATTTTTCTTCTAAATAGGATTTAATCACAAAAGCAATCAAAATCATAATAAAAACAAATCTTCTTTAAATCAAATTTATTCAATAGTTAAAATTGATCTTTTTTTATCTAAAATATTTTTTATTACTTATTTATAAAAATTTTGCCTAATGTAATCTCGATTTTAAAACATTGATAAATGTGTAAATACCTAAGATTCTTTATGTTTAATGCTAATTAAGACTTAACTTTTTAATTATAATTTGTTGTTTTTGAGTGGCAAATATTCAATCTATCCCTAAATATAAAAAGACACATTTAGTAGAACGAATTTTAATTAACTATTTCTTCTATATTTAATGATTCAAACCAAAGCTAAAAAAGTAAAAAAATATTAATTTTAATCAAATTCAATTTCGATATATAAAATTTTTTTTATTTTTCATTTAATATTTCCAAAATAAAACTCACTTAGTAAGTAATAAACATTTATTTTTATTAATTATACTACTATAAAATGCATTTTATTTTACTTTTACTCATAAAAAGTATGAGCTTAATAGCTGATTAATTAAATAACCTTATGTTTTTAAATTCAAAGTGTTTACTCAAACAAAAATTTTATAAATCAATCTTTTTATATCACCATTAAGTAGAAAGTAATAGTTTTCTTGTGTTATTTTTACAAAAGATAATAATTTGCTTTTATTTATAAAAAGCATGAATTATAGTTCATTTTCTAAATATATATCAAATTAGTGTGTACTGTAACATTTTACAAATCAACCTTTTTATCTCAGTATCATGTGGAAAATAATAGCTTTCTGTGTAATTAAAACAAAAAATACTAATTTGGTTTTTAAGAAAAGCATAAATAACAATAATTGAAATAAGGTATATTTATGTTAACGAAAAAAAATTAACTTTTTTATTAGAAGTTTGTGTTTGATTTTATCTAGCAATTTATTTATTTTTTGTGGAGAAAAACCACTTTTTGATAATGTTTGCTAAAAAAAAAAGTAAAGTAAGATTGAAATTAAATCTAATTAAATGCTAATTAATTAATAATCTTTATCACTGTTTAAGAAAAATAAGTTAGAATCAATCAAACCTTTGATTTTATTTAGTAATTAAATTAACTTTGCTAGTTTTTTGTGGAAAAAAGTCACTCTCTGCTACTCTTGTCTAAAAAATTATATAGCTGTGATTGAAATTAGATTTAATTAATTAAATTATGTTAGAAATTAACTTTTGTGAATCTTTGGAGGGGAAACAAAACTTTTTGACAGTGATTTCTCAAAAAAAAAAAAAAAACAAACAAATAAGATTGAGATTACATTTAATTAGATGGAAATTAATTATAAATTAGAATCTTTTTTGATTAAAAATTTAGAGCAGTAAGTAAATGCTTTTCTTTGTTTTAATTTGTTAATTTTATGTCAAAACATATAAAATTTATTTTTTTGAAATTAGAATTTTTTTATTAAATAAATATATTAAAACATTTTAGTAGTTTTATATTATCATATTATCATTTTTGTTAATCTATTTTTAAGATAAATTATTATCCCTAACTCAACATAAATTATTATTATTTAACTAAAAGTTTCATCAACTTTTTTGTGTGGGGAATTATAATTCCCTTACAAATAAATAAATATATAATCATCAATTTCATTGAAATTACAATTATTTATAAAATTATAATTTTATACAGGCAATAAGCATAATTAGAAAATTAAAGAGTAAACCTAATTAATAGCAGTCATCATAATTATATCAATAAAATTCTATATTATAACTTATATTTATTTATTAGTGATCTTAAGTAAAATTAAACTTTGAATTTAAAATTATTTATTTTTAAAGAAATAAACTGATTTGAATAAGCTTGTAGATTATTTTTATAACAATTATTTATTTATTTTAATTAGATTTTACTTTAAAAATTCAAAATTTTGCAATTGGGTTTTTGTTATAATAAATTTCAAAATTAAATTAATAAGTGCTTGTTTACATTTTGAAAAAAATTGTTTGTTTTTTGTAGAAAATTTCAACTCTAAAATGATTAGATTGCAATATTATTTTTAATTACAATTTGCCAGATGGGAAAGATAAAATGTTATGATTTTATGAGATCGAGATTTTAAAAAATAATTAAATTAATTAATATTAAAAAAGAACTTGCAAATATTTTAGGAAAATAAATAAATAACAATTATGGTTTAACTAAATAAAAAAATATTTTATATTTGATATTAATAATAAGCAGCATAAAATTAATATTAGCAACAATTTTAATCAGCTTTAATTAGATTTTGATTAAAAAAAGAAATATATCAAGATTTGCTAATCATTTTAGAAATCTTTTTTATGCGTTAATAGATCCTCGAAACTATAAAAGAAGCAAACAGTAAAAATGTAATAACTAAATTAAAAAATATTTTAGTCAAATACATTAATACCAAATTCACAGAGGGAGAATATTTAGGGCAGACACTCTTTAAGTTTTTAAATGGAAATAAAATTAAGTTTTTTATTGATAAAAAATGAGGCAATTAAAGGAGATTTATTTAATAGGTTTTAATATATATTGTTTAAAATTTGCTCTTAAAAATTACTTCATAAATAGATTTTAATAAAATAATTTTCATGCCTTTTTACTAAAAAATAGATAAAGATCAGTAAAATACATGAAATAGATTAACATTACTAAAGATTTAAAACTAGTTGACAGAATAACTGTTTTTATTAAAGGCTTCAAGATTAATGAGAGATTCTATTCATTGAAGTTAATTCAAAATACTTCTTTTTTATATTTCATAATATTTATGAATTTCTAATAATGTAATTTTTTTGAAGTAAAAAATAATTTTTCTATAAAAAAAAGATTATTTATTTAGTTGCAATTTAAGCATTGGTATTTCTTAAAATTTTTTTGAACCAGAAGCCAATAAGATTAGATAGCAAACATATTATTAATGTAAATACACTATTAATGAAATACAATAAAATTTTTAAATAATTAATTAGCTATAAAAAAAAATTATTTCCAAAAACAGTCAGTTTTACATATTACAATCCTAAGAATTATAAATAAAATAATACCTCAAAAAATTTTAATAAGATATTAAAAAACATACAAAATAAATAAATAAATAATTTATTGATTCAAGAATGAGTTTTTCTAATAAGAAAAGTTTAATCATGTATTTTTATTGTTAATTCTATTATTTAATATTCTAATATATCAATTTTTATTTATTAATTGATAATAAATTCTAAATTTCATTATATAAAAATATCAATAACTAACTAACTAACTTTTAACTGTTTTTTAAATAGACTTTATTTAATCATATTTGTTTTTTAGTTTCATTTATTTATCGAAGAAAATTATGAAGAAAAATATTTATTATTATAAAAAATATTTTAACTTATGTAATGGTTAATAACCTAATTAAAAGTTTTAGATAAATTATGAAAAATAAAAAATTATCAATAATATATTTTTACATTATAAGAAAATTCAAAAATAATAAAAACATGATTGAACACAATTAAGAGACATACTTAGTTAAATAATATTTCTAAACAATAAATTATGAAATTAAATTGTAAATATGACTGTGTATAAAATGATAAAACTACTGAAAAAAGAATGAATTTTTGATATTTACCAAAAAGTAAGATATTTTTAGTTGCTGTAACAATAAGTAAGCAAGTACTTAATAAATTAAAAATAATTAGTTAAAGTAATATTTTAAATAATATTAAAATAATCCTTAATAATTAATTATACTCTTATTTTCACTAAATTAATTGTTCTAACTTAATTTGTTATTTGATTTATCATTCAGCATTCATTTTTGGGTGAAAAACTGCTAATCAAAGTATTTGCTATCTCAAACAGAGAAATAATAATGTAAAAATTAATGTAATCGAAATTACACAAATATTTCTTTTTTTTATTATAATACAAATTTTTTTTAATTGAAGGAAAAGCTAGATAAACTTTTATAATTTAAAAGGATAAAATTAACTTTTAATTCTTATTTATAACATAAATTATTTATTTTATATTATTTTTTATAAAAAAATGAGGAAAAAAAGCATGAATTACATTTCATAAATGTATTACTTAAATAAAATTTTACAATAAAGATTTAGCAAACAATTTATGACATTGATAAATGGAATTAAGTATTATTGATAAAGCTCTATAAAAATAAATGACTCTTAAATGTAGGTAAAAAATAAAAACAGAAGTGAATGCAATCAATCAATATAAATAATTAACTAATTCACGACATAAAGATTATACTTTTTATTGAGCAAACTTAAGCATTTTTAGAAATAAGTAACAATTATTTTCATTTAAAGTTTAGTAAAGTAATAATTTTTTGATAATTATATAATTTAGGATGGATGAATGATACTTGCTTTATTTAATTAATAAGTTTCTTATTTTTTAAATTAGAAATGGTAAATACCAACATACATACATTCATAATGGCATATTTAAGTTTTGTAGAAATATTTTGAATTCAATTTATAATTAATTATATATTTTTATTTATATATTTATATTTATTTGTTTGTTTGTCAATTTTTACATAAAATTTATTTATCATTTTTGGTTTTATATGGAAAATATTAATTAAGTCTTCAATTATCAGCAAATTGTTGAAAACAAGAGGTTTATTTATATAGAATTATTTATTTATTTATTATTCTGCAATTTTATTCACTACAGATAATTAATTCAATTATAAGATCCTCTATATCATCTTAGAAGAATGTAATTAGTTTTTTTTATATCACATCATCTTCTTTTAAAGTAAAAATCCTAAATTAGATCTTGGAACAGAAGTAGATCTGTTTCCTTAACTTGAGTTAGAGGCAGCTGGATTATAAGCCACTTAGGTTATGCTTGTATTATTACTATTTTGATTGGTATTTGAGTTGTTGCCTGTGGGTTAAGGTTGCTAAACCCTTTGGCTGCCTAACAAACTATTCAGTATACTGGTAGCTGCATTATGTTTACCAACAGTCATTTTTGGGATATTCATTTGGAACGATCCACTTCTTGAGTTTTAATTAGTAATATTGTTATTATTTTAGTTCTAATTTTATGACAATGTGCCATTATAAGAAGTGTTCACTCTCATAGATGAATAATTGGCAGATTTGTCACAAGATATATCATTTATTTAACTAATATTGTTATTACCGTTTGTTCTCTCTTTTAGACTAGCATATCCAGAAGTTTTTATATTTTATTCTATGCCAATTGTATTCAATCTTTCGCTTGCCAAATTGTTACTGTTATTATTATTACTATTGTTTGGACCACTAACTGAGTCAAATCTGGGACGATAGAACCCAAATGAATTTTGTAGAGAGTTAGAAGCATTATTTTATTAATGGTTGTTATTAGATAAATACTAGCTAATATCTCCAATGTTAGAAGAAGAGCGCTAGTGTTAATGTTAATGTTAGTTTTAAGTTTGCTATTATTGTTATTGTTATTATTATTACTATTATTAAATAGTTTGGTATTGTTAAGGAATAGGAATATTATTGTGGTTTGCAGCTACAGGTGTGCACAAGAATGATCCATTTTTATTAGGATTTGTCATTATTTATCCATTACTCATATTTAGTTATCCAATGGAAGTATTTGCTGCATCTTAAATGTTTTCTTTGTCTTTTAGTGAATTTCTATAACGGAACCTTTGTTGATTAAAGTGGTTAGTATTGTATCCATTAATATTCATTTTTGTAGATTAAGGAAGAGGAGGGTGAGGGTGAAGAGGTGCGCCGCTTTAAGTTTTAATTTTAGCAGGTTGAGGCTTCTTTAAATATGTTTCAATTTCTGAGTTAATTATCTAAGATTACTATGAAGAAACTTACTAATTGCTAGGTATAGATTATGAAGAAGTGTAATTGGTGTCTTTATATTGAGAGGGAATTTAATAATTTTTTTGCTATGAGCTAGAAGACTAGTTAAATGACGAGGAAAGCTACTGCTATATCGATGGTTGTTATTACTATAATTATTGTGTCTTATTATTATATGAAGAAGTTGTTTATTGTACTTATTTAGGTATCAAATATGAAGTTTCAGTTGTGTTAACAATTGAACTGTGAGAGCGAAGGTGAATTGGATTTGCTTGGTTTTATTATAATGGTAAATTTTAATTGAAGCCTTGTTATTTACTTTGCTATTATTATAAGCTCTTTTCTTCCCTACGAATTCTTTCAAATACTTCAGCAAGAGCTATCTTACATGAATTATCATTATCTTTAGCATTTGCGCTAAAGGAAGTATGCTAAGAAGGGCCACTCTGCTTCTAAGCAAAATGGTTTCCGTGCTACTAATTGCTAGGTTAAGGGACAAATGAAACTTTAAAAATATTGTCAAAGTTTTCAAACACATAATCTGCTTCTGACATGTAGTTGTTATGCAATTGCTTTGCAATATTAACTCTAGCAGATAAATTAGTGCTGTCTTCCTATCCTGCGCTTCCAGAGGAAATTTTAGACTTTGCTTTGCTTGATTTATCGCTGGAGTGTGGATTAGATTTTTTAGATTCTGTATTTTCTGGAGAAGATACTGTTACAAATGGCGATACTTTACATCCTTCCCTATTTGTGCTCTGGCTATTCTTTTACTGTATTTTTTAAAAGAAGATTTGATTTTAATTTATTTATTTATTTTATGAAATTTAGGTTTATGAGTCATCAAATAAAAACACTCTATTTCCAGTTTGTTTTATGCAAAAAGCTGAAAGTCATATTGATAAGTTTTTTTATGGAGAAATTTAAGTGGTTTTATCATGATTTGAGACCTGCTTAAACAAAAAAAAAGTTTTACTAAAGAATCGGCTGTAGTCAGAGTCACAAACGAGTCTGTTAGAGGATGGAGGATGTCAGTAATATCAGGACGTCCGCCCTAACCAGTGCTATTTTTTGATTTTTTAATGATTTCATTAGCTCTTTTCATGATCTATTCCAAGCTCTAATTTCCACTGCTTGTAAAAGATCTCACTACTTTAGATTTGACAGGAAGTATTGTACTTGGAGTACCTCCATGCATTAGGTTATTGCTGTTTATACTAGCATTCAAATTGCCAGCTGATTTTTCTTGTTAAAGCATTTCTTTTTATAATAATGTATGTTATGTGCTAATTCAATAAAGGTTTTTTAGATATCAATCTAAGATATTGAGCTTCTAATTAGAATGATTTCTCTTAAAATAGTTTAAAATGAGTTTTTTTTTCCTTTAATGCTATTATGCTGCCAATTTAATTTATATTTTAGCTAATAATAATGTTAATGCAGCTATTCTTTCTTTTTGAATTTCTTGTATGTATTGAATGACTTAAATATATAAATGTTTGATAATTTGTTTCTTAATATATTCTGTTTTAAGTATAAGGAATTTTTATTTTATTCAAATTTTTGTTAATTTTTTCTTCAACCCCAAATATAATACAATAAATACACTCATTCATTATCTAATTAAATCATTTGATTTTTGATTGATTTTAATAAAATGCATTCAATTATTCTTAATAATAAATGTTAAATTGTATACATAGATAGATAGATATCAAGGATTTGTTTGCCCTAAATTTATTTGATTGATTTTACCTGCAAATCATTAAATATTACACATTTTGGAAACGAACTAATTATCTTTCCATTTTAATTTGAATTTAATTATCATTCAAATATTTTTACCGTTCTAATGTGCGCAAACTCACATATTTTAATTTGATTTAGAATCATCACAATTTTTTAAATGATATTCAAATTCAAAAAAGTTAACCTCTCTATCTATCAATTTATTTGTCTCTCAACTATATATCTATCTATCAACCCTTTTTGTTTTATTGATTATTACTTCAAATAATATTAACTTATAATTAAATCCAAACAGCCAAAAATACAATTTATAAAATATATTATTTAAAGGTTTCAAAAAAAAATATTTTTATAGAGAAAATGACAACTTTTTAATGGTTTTATTATTAAAATTTTTATGATAATTTATTAAATTAACAAAAATAATAAATACTTGAATTATAAAATTTTACCATAAATATTTTATATTAATTGAAATCAACCATGCATCTCTACTTTTATTAACCATACATCAATTTTATAGTCATATTTTTTTTAAATATTATCTGAAGATCATTCAATTCTTTTTCCTCTGTTTTGAGAAATAAAATTTAATTAATTAATTTAGAACCTAAATTTTAAACAATTTATTGTATTCAAATATTCAAACAACTTTAATTGTTATTTGAATTTAGTATTTTTGTCAGGAAATTCAAAATATTAGCTTAAGATATTTAATTTTATTTCTTCAGCTATTTTTAGCTTGACATCAATTAATTATTTTTTAACTTTCATAATCATAATCTAAAACTTTTACAAATAAGACTTATACATTTTTAATTTACTTTAGTAGGTTTTTAATTATTATATATTTTTATGCTAGTATTTCTTAGCAAGTCTACTTTTCATCAAAATTATTTTTGATTGATTTATATAAAAAATATTTTATATTTTAAGAAATAATTTATCTTAATTTTGAAAATAATTGTATCAAAATTAATTTATGAATATTACAAGTTGATTTTTAACTTTAAAAAATAATGAATGATGTAAATAAATAACACTAATAAAAATCATAAGATTTAATTTTATATTATTCTTTTATTAATTTACTTGCTTTTAAAAAATAAAATTATTTTTAATATTTCTTTATACGTTTATCCTAACTAATTCATTTTATTAAAAAATTTTATAAAATTGATACTTACAATAAAAATGTTTATATATTGATTTTATTGGTTTAAACTTGAGGAATTTACTAATGCTTACCTCATTTAATTAATAAATAAATAAATTCATACTTATAATTCTAAAATATATTTAATAGGATTCTTATTTATATGTTAAATAAACTTGCTAAAAATAACTGATTTTCATACCTAATTTAATAATTTTTTACCAATTAATATAAATTATGAATTAGTAAGTATTTAATGCATTAAGTTTGGTAAAACTATAGCTATATGAAACTAATTTTTTAAGATATTTAATTTATAAATTTAATTTATGCTAAAATTGTTAAAAAACTTGATTAAATTTTCAGAAATAATTATTACCTAAAAGTATATCTAAATAATAAAAAAATATTACTTTCTTTCTAAAAATTGCTTATTCCTGATTGATAAAATAACTCAAATATATTCTAAATATATAGTTTAATTTATTGAATTTTTTAATTTTCAGATAATACCTAAGAGATAAATATTTTTAATAAATAAGAATATAGTAATTATCATGTTTTAGTTTTTAAAAATGAATTTTTATTTTCAAATAATGAATAATTAATTAATTTCGAATATTATGTTTGTTTTTCAAAAAGTATTAAAAATTATTTTTCAGGAATAAAATATCTTTATTTTGAATGACTAAAATAACAAAAAAAATGTATGTATCAATTAAATAGATATCATCTATGTAGCACATATTAGTTACTATCATAATCTTAAATAATTTTTTACAAAGCTTAGTTTTAGAAATCAATTTAAAGGTTAATAAAAAGCTCTAAAAATTATTAAATTTAATTTGGCTAAATTAAAATACTTTTAAAAAAAATATTATGTAAAATTTTTATATTTTAAATGTTTTTATTGAATTAAAATAGAAAATTTAATTTAAAATAGAAGAATTTTATTTGAAACAGATGTATGTTTGTAAATATTCACTTGATAATCCAAAATGTTTATGATTTATCTTACTGAATTAATTTTCGTACAGAGGGTTAATTTGTTAATATAAATTGATTGTTGAACTTGCTATTTCAATAGAAATGACTAAACAAATCAAACTTAACAGAATAATTTAGTATTATAAAAATTTTAAATGAATAAAATATATCCATTTTAATCACAATCTTATAGGAAATATTGAACTCATATAGTATTAATATATTAATAGGTTTAAAAAAAAATATAAATATAGAAAAAACACAACAATAAAGAGATAAAAATAAATAAAAAAAATTAATAAATAATTAGAGGGACTATTAAATCCTAAAAATCTGTGTTTTTAAAGGTCTTAGTGAATTAATGAAGTAGCTTGTGCATAGATTAGTTAAAAATCTTTTGAAAATATTTATATAAATTTTTTAAAAACATTCCTTCAATAAATGAATTAGTGAATTTCAGGATGCTGAAAAGAGAAATTTTACATGATTATTTTTTTATTTATGATGTTAATCCTTCCCTCTTTTCAAAAATAGACTGAGAGACAAATTATCATATTTTGCTTTATAGGATAATTCTATTTAACAGGCATATAATTATAAATAGGGATTTATTAACTCATAAATAAATATGCATAAATACAATACGCACATATGATTATTTATTGGTGAGGACCTAAAACTAAAAAGTTAATCAAAAATAAGTTAAGAAATTGAAGGGTTATAGTAAAATATTGAAAAAAAAATAAATTAATTAATTAAATATTTAGTCAAGAATTTGATACTTAATAAGAGCAAATGTTTTTAAAAGAAATTTTCAGTTTCAAAAGAACGCCTAGTGATGACTAAGAGAAATAAAAAAGAATTTCCTAGTCTAGCAATTATTCAGAGAATGGTAGATATATGGGTAGCGTAGATTCATCAGCACCATCTTCACATGCATCGACTCCGATGTCTAACAATTTTAATAAGCAATCCATAAATTTAATACTTGGATAAGAAGATCTTGATAGTAGTCTCAAAATCTACACTAAAAAGGAATGGATTTAAGTAACTAAAACTAAAAATAAAGAGAGTACTTCTTATAGTGAAATAAAAGCCAATTTAAGAAGAGGTATTCCTAAATCATTAAGACCAAGAATATGGTTTTGGCTAGCTAATGTGAAGAAAAATTAATAGTAATATGAAAGAGGGATTTATCAGAGGTTATCAAGCTATATAAATCCCGACTGGGATAACGAAATTAGGAAGGATGTAAATCGTACTGTAGTTGAATAGGAATTTTTCTAAGGAGAAGATTCTCTTGGATAAAAGTAGCTTTATAAAGTATTAAATGCTTTTAGTAACATAGATGTAAATGGAACTGGTTATGCATAAGGCATGAATGTTATTGCAGCGACAATTCTTTTGACTTTACATGATAAGAAAAATTTTGTAAACCCCAAAAAATCATTTGGCAAAGAATAAGTCACCAATGAAGATATTGAAGAATGGGCATTTTGGATACTTTTCTATATAATGCAAGAGCAAAACCATCATAAAATTTATTAAAAAACGATGGTAATGCGCAAATAGTTGCTTGAATCCCTTGAGAATAAAATAAAATTAGAGTGCCCCAGAGTTCTGGAGGCTTTAAATCATCATAGCATTGATTTTGGATTAGCTTTTGACTAAGATTTTTTTTCTATAATGTCATATAAATGTCCTTTGCCTCTTTCTTAATTTGCTATGGACATGTTCTTGTTTGATGGGCACAGAGCTCTTATCGATATAATCTCTAGAATTATGCTTATAAATGAAGAAGAGTTCCTCGAATGTAGAGAATTAGATGATATGCTTATGTTTTTGAAGTAAAAAAAGAATGAGGATTCATGGAAGAAAAGTCGTAAATCCACATTCATTTTGGTCCCTTTTGAATATTTGTAGTACGAAAATGGAAGACAGGAATGAAAATTAATTTATGAAATAACACAAAAAAGACTAACGAAAAAATATTCACTCACTACTCAGTGATTTTAAATAGATTAAATTTGACGTATTTCTTTATTTGTGAGAAATCATTCAAATTCTAATAAAAAACTCAATTCATTCGCTATATTTAAAATATAATTAAAATTCCCTTAAAAATAATCAAATCTATTATTTGACTTCCTCCTCATCTAATTAATTATCTATATTAATTAATTAGCTTAGCCTACCTAAATAAATAAACAAATAAGCTATAATGAAATTATTCTCTCAACTAAAAAACTCTATTTATTAAAATCGCAATCAATCACCATTAATTACCAATAATTCTTTTCTTTTTCATCTTTTCTAATGTAATTTTCCTAGCTAAGCTTTAATAATAATTATTAATGTTGTTAATCTATTTTAAGATATCATCACACTATTAACATATTTTCATAATTTTACTAGCATTAATTCCAAAAACGTATATCACAACTAATTAATTATTCTAAAAATTAATCAATTATTAATTTCACAAAATCGGTTTTTGCTCTTTTGAGAATTTATTTTAAATAGCATGAAAAATGAATGCTATTTGACTTAACGATTATATTTTATTGTAATAAATTTATATATCTATTTATATTCTTATATTAAATAGCATTCATTCTTTTCACTCTTTTTATAATATTTCTACTTGTATTTTAAATTTAATTCAATTTTTATTTTTGAAATTCTTTCTTAAAATACATTAAAATACAAAACTGTTATTTCAAAGCAAAATAGGATAAAAGTAAATTATTTTAATTAAGAAAATAGCATTCTAAAATATTTACATATTTTAATTGATTTTACAAAAATACTTTTTATAACTATTAATACTTTTACAAGTTTTGTTGCTATTTATTGTTTCTCTGATCAAGTTAATTTTATTTAAACAAACATATTTATTTTTAAATTTATCTTTTGTAAATTAAAATTATTTCTTTTTTAAAAAAATAATTTTTTTTTTTTCAACTTTATAAAATTATTTAAAAATTATGATTTAATCAAAGAATAATTTGTAATGTTTCACCTTAATCAATTATTGAAAGATATTTTAGAAAAACTGCATAGAAAATTTAAGAGACATCAAAATTATTAAGTTGATTAGAGGGTAAACAGACAGATAAATAGATAGACAGACAATGTGATGGAAATAGCAAGCAGGAAATATTTGTTAGCAAAAAAAAATATATAGATAGTTTCAGAGTGATATTAAGTGTATTAAAATTACTTGAATATATATATCATTATAAATAAATTTGATGAAATATATTGAATTAGATATAAATAAATTTCATTTTGAATTCTAGGCGCAAAAAGAAAAAAATTGAATAATTACAAACTTTAAATTTTAAAGAAATAAATAACAAAGAAAGAAGGAAGCAATTATATTAGGAAGATATTAATTAAGAAGCATATAGAAATAGGAAGGGTAAAATGAATTAGGATCAGAAAACTAAAGTGTATGAGATTCTCAAATCTGTGAATCTTACTATCAATTCGATTAAGGATTCCAGTACAATTTTGTTGCAATATTGCAGTGAGGATTATAGAGAGGATTTCACAAAATTATGGGATTAAGTGTTTTTGGAAAAGAGAGGAGTTGAGAAGGATAGGATAGGGCTTTTCTTCATTTTACATGAACTTCTTTATCGCTCTGAAAATGAAAAGTTCAAGGAAGGATTCTACAACGTTATATTGCAAAATGTTTTGGGTATTAAAGACACTGAGCATAGCAAGTTGAAGAATGAGATATTAAAGCTGACTAAATTGTGGATTGATCACAAGATTTTTGATAAGTAGAAAATCTTTCGTCTCACTATGAATTTAGGTATTGAAGATCAGTCTGTTGATGAAATGCTGAAGGCTCAGCTACCTGAAAACTTGCCTAATCCTCCTAATGAATTAGTTAATTTTGCATAAAACATCAGAGACTTAAAGAAATTCAAAGAAAAGGTTAAAGAAAATAATTAAAAATTGTAACAAACTTATGACATAGTTTAATAGTAAGCAATGGGAGGCTCAACTGAAAATGTCTCTGCTTAGTCTATTAATGATGATATTAACAACAATGTAGAATAGTTAAAGAGACACTTGGAATTAGAAAATAAATACCGCACCTAAGTATTGAAGTATTACAAAGATATCTTAAACTTCTTAGACAAAGAGCACAAAAAAAATGTGGTTGAATTAAAGTTATTTATGCAAAAAATAGCAAAACTAGAATAAATTCGTGATAATATTGAACTTCCATGACTTAAAAACGAGAGTATAAACCTACTTACCTATCTATCTATCTGTCAATGAAAAATAGAAAGACAAAATAAATATAAACATTTCTTTCATAAAATAACTAATTAAGTATACAAATACTGCAAATATTTGAAAAAAAAACTAAATTATTACAAATAAACTACTAAATTTGGGTATTATATGTCTGTAAATAAATTAAACATGTAATTAATTAATTAAATATATATTAATCAATCATATCAATTAGATCTAAATTTTAACCTAATCATAAATAGCCAATAAAAACATACAAATTACATTATAACTATTGAATAACCACTTTTCTAAAAAAATGCAACAAATAAATAAGCTTTTTTTCATAGATCAATATTTTTTTCTTCAGTAATAATGATTTATTTATTTATTTATTTTCCCATAAATTTGCCATATTATTATAGTTTTAAAATTAATGCATTTAAAAAGAGCAAATAATTAATTGCATACTTTCGTACATTTTCTTATATCTTCATTTTAAAACTCTAATAAAAATCAACCAAAATAAAAACGTTTATAAATGATTATTTTTACAACTAACACTTACTTATTAATCCTTGATTGAAAAGTTAGCAGTAAAGAAAGCTATATTTGAATATTCTATTTTGCCAAACAAATCATTTTAATTCAAACAATCAAGAGAAATCTATAAAAATGAATAAAAAAACAAAATTAATTCTTAAAATTAATGAATGAATTATTAGTAAATAAAAATATTAAAATCATTTTATTAAGATTTTAAATGATTAATTAACCCTCAATATCAAAAATTAAAAAACTTAAACTTCATACAATGTGTTATTTTTATGTTTTTCAGATATTTTAATCAAAGATCAAGAAAAATAATTTTAAAATTTACAAACTTTTCACTTTAAAATTTTATTTTTTTTAATAAAATACTTTCAAAAAAATAATTTTAGTTTTTTTCAGAAAAATTCAGGCTAGTTTAGCACATGAACTCTTTTTATTTTAATAGCTCAAAATTCTTATTAAACATGTAAAGTTTTTTTTAATTGCTTTATCATTATTTTTTTATTCTTATATTTTCTTCTAGAAGAATAAAAAAAATAGGTAAATTCTAAAATTCTTTTTCAAAAATTGTCTAGCTTTTAATTTTTTCAGGTTGTAACATATTTGATATGCATAATACTTTTTTTTAGAGGAAAAATTGATTAAAGTTATTTTGGAAATCTTCACTTTTTATTACCAAAAAAACATGAAAATAAATTAATTAAAATGAGAGTAATCTTGATTAGTTGATTTTGTATTTTGTATTTTCGATAAAAATTAATTTTGGGTAAATAAATAAAAATTATCTTTATTCATCATCTGCATACATAGTACGTTCTTTTTAAAAACTGTTCCTATGAATTTCAATTCTCCTTTCTCTCCTATATAAAAAAATGAATTAGTATACAGAGAGAAGTCTTATTTATTTCATATTTTTAGTATATGGAAGAATTAAAATAAATAATACTAACATAAATAATGAGACAAATATAAAAAATTAACTAGATGATTAAATAATGAGAATTATTTTTTGAATGTAAATAATAACTTTTCAGAGTCAAAAAACTAGAAGATGAGAAAAAAATTATAGTTAATCAAATAAACAAACAGTTGATGATTTGATAAATAATTATTAACCAACATATCACTAATCTATACTCTATAATAATTATAAAATTTTTATCAAAGCAAATTTTTATATTGAAGGAATACACTTTTAAAAATGTTTAGTAAGTAAAAATGAAGTAAACTAAAATATTTTATAGCCTTCTTGTTATTTTTCTTTATGTATGGAATAAATATATTTTGCAAGTTCATAAAGAATTATAAATATAGCAAAAAAAGTAATTAAATTGATTAAATTAAATAATTCAATATTTGAAGATTACTAATTACATCTCGTTCCTTTAATTTCCCCCCTCTTCTTTTTTCCACTATTTATGTTTAATGTTTCCTCTTTGATTGATTTATAATTTTGCAAATTTTTCTTTCTACTTTATATTTGCTTTTTCTTCAGAGACTCAGGTTGAGAAACAGACACTATGTATGCTTTAATTCAGTTTTTACATCTCCAAAATTTGTTAGTAAGTTGATTAGTAAAATTTAATTTGAAAATGAGTTGAATAAAAATTCGTTAATTTAATAATTAGAAAGAATAAAACTATATTATTTGAATAATTAAATAAATAAATCTCTGTTTTTTTTAAAAGTATATTTGTTCATTAATTTAATAAGTATCTATTTTATTAAAACAGTGAAAGGATAGATAGATAGAGACAGAGAGGAAAAAAAAAATTTAATTGAACTGAGTTATAATTAAAATAAAAAAATTGCACATTATTTAAAAGCAAACAAACAAACAAATAATCTATTAAATCAAGCATTCCCCACTTTTTTTAAAAATTAGCTAGAAATCAAAATCATAAATCAAAATGATCAGCATAATAAGTATTAAGGCACTATTTCATAACATCTTAATCAAATTTTTTTGAATGCTTAGTTCATGTATTGCTATATTTTTCTCAACAGCTTCACTTGAAAGAAGTATTATTTCCTTAAAACTTGTTTAAGCCTCTTCTGAATTTTCAAAAAATATTTCTAAATTGAGTTTGTAAAAAAAAATAATAGAAATTCGTTACTTTTTACTGGTAAAAATTAAAAATATGACATGACTGTTTATGACTGTTTAGGTCTATTTTTAAGTCAGCTTTTTCATTTAAGAGTAACAAAATCTTTGCAGATACCTCTCAAAGAGACTACTAATATTACTTTAATGAAGTTACTTTGCAGCATAAAATTGAAAAATTACTATTCTATCATCAACTCTTTGTGGGATTTTATGTACTTGGTGTCTAAAATAAAATTTGGAGAGGAAGAATTTCAGTTTAAATCATTATATACATATAGTGAGTAATTTGTAAAAAAGAATAGAGGAGAACAATCAAACTAAATTAAAAATTAAATATTAATATTGTGAGGAAATCGAATAAATTTTGATTAAATGTGATATGAAACAAGCAAAATAAATAAATAAACAAACAAACAAGCAATCAATAAAACAAAACAAAACAAACAAACGAGAAAGAGTGAGAGAAATAGATAGGTGATTTGTTTACCCATCAAATAATGATTTGCATTAATTAATTTTAAATATATTACTTTTTACATGAAATGGGAAGAGCATAACAGGAATGTATAGTAAGGTTTAGATGAATTTTTTGATACTTGAGTTTTAAAAGTAATAATAAATTAAAATATAAAAAAATACCCAAACAAAAAAAAAAAGGCAATAAATCAAATTACAATATTGATAACAATAATAATAAACAAAACAACAAACTGCAATATTTTATTTCTTGCGATTCTTTCTTAACATTATTCACAAAATAATTTCCTCTTGAATCAAATATAATCTGTAGATTAAGTTATTTCTTCCATTTTTCTTTATTCTTGCAAGAAAAAATATTTGATAAACCTGCAAAAAACACATATTTTTAGCAATGTAAGTTCAAAATTCTAAATAAAAAATTGGACTCTTTCTTAAGAAGAATTTCCACAGTTTGAATCAATTAATTTAAAACCCTACTGAATTTTAATGGCTTGGATTGCCCTTTAACGAAAGTTAGACAGAAAAGAGTGAGAGAACTCCAAAATTTGAAGCTTCATTTAATGACAATTTGAACATAGAATACAATTTCGATAACAAGGAGTATGTTTGGTATAAAAATATAAATATTCCTAAAATCAAAGTCAGCTAAGTTAGTTTTTATCCTATTGACTAGCTCAGAGCTGAAATCATGGTATTTGGTGGAATTCTTTCAGGAGACTTCTCAAACGTAGATATAAAGGGAAAAAACTCTTTCAATTTTCATTTGAGAGAGTGCACAGTAAAAGGAATCAGAGTTGGTGAAACTAGTCATACTTTAAAGGTAATAAAAATGATATATGAGAATAAAGAATTGAATAAATACAAAAATTTAATGAAAAAATTTTAATTTTGTTCACAGTTTTAAAGATTTCAGTCTATAAATTAGTAAATAATTACAAAAATTTACTATAATTAATAGAAAGATAGATTGAATGATATTTTATTTTTATCAGTCCTCCTATCCTTCTTAACAATTTTTAAAAATTATTGCTTTTAAATAATCACAATTAGCAAAAAAAATAACTAACTAGTAAATTACTTTTCTATTCATTCATTTATCTATCTATCTAATTTTGCGAATATTTTGATTAAAGATAGAAGAAAATCAAAATTAAAATTTATTTTTGAAGTCTTTAAAAAAAATTCCTTGCTGATGAGATATTAAGCTGATCATGCACTTACTTAATAGAAATGCAAAAAATTTGAGTACTTGCTTGTTTATTAATTTATTTTTCTCACTCTATCTCTTTTTATTTTCTCTTCACAAATTTAAATAGATTAATAAACAGTGAAGTGATCTTATTAATTTTGCTTTCTTTTGATTATTACGTTAACATAACATTACTAAATGCAATGGCTGATAAATAAATTAAAAGACTGTATTTGCACATATCCACCTACTTCCCACTTTTATTATGGATGCATTTTTCCTTAAATGTCTTTGAATTTTTTCGCAAATTTTAAAAAAATCAATCAAAAATAAAAAAAAAAATTAAGCAGAATTAGGAAGAGGAAGAATTTAACTAATTAATTAATTTTGTAATAAATATAGGGAAAATAACTTCACTTAGTAGTTTGTATATCAAGTTAATCGAATCCATCTAACATCCACTATGTTCTTGTGTCATCTGGAATCCTCATTTTTGGAAGAAAAAAGAAATTTAGCTAACGTGTAAAAATATTATTTTATTTTACTTTCTTATATTTATTCATTTAAAAAATATCATTAAAATTGTGCCTCAAAACCGTGTGAATAAATTTATTCATCATTTCATTTTTACCTTTTACATTTTACAACTTTGAATGTTTTCAATGTAATTATTGAACCATTTTACTTAATTCGCGCTTTGATAATTTCAGTAAAACAATGAAATATTTAATTTTCATTTCAGTTGCGATAAGTTACAAATAAACCTTCATCAAACCTATGCTAAAATATTTTTTCATCTGAATTTAGATTGATAATGCACTGCTTATTGAACCATTTATTCCATATTACTTGAAGGAACAGAGAGACCTTTGCGATGAAACAGAAGGTCTTGTCAACTACCTTACTTCTAAGAAAATAAGACACAAAGTATATTTAGTTTGCTTTTTAGCTTATATATTTATTTCTAAATTTTAACTAAATTTCCATTTATATCTCCAACCTTTCGTCTTTCTATTGTGCTTTTCTTTTAACTACTACTTGTAATTTAAATAATTAATCTTAATGTAATATAACAAAAAGATTTTACACCCGCTATATCTATTTTTGTAGTTTCCAAGAGTTTTCGAGCTATTTTACAACAAATCCATCCTAAAATAATGTGTAAGTTACTTTACTATGTGAATAATCAATCCTATATTTTATTTTTATTTAAACTAATAGAATAAAATAACTTACTGCATATAAAATTTGCTCATGAAAACCCAACTGAAGAAAAATAAAGAAGACTTTTTGATTGCGAGAATTGTCATCACAGATGAAAGAAACTAAAAAGAATATACGCAAAAGGTAAATAAATAATTAAACAATTTATTATATTATTAAATGTATTCTTTTTCTTATATTTTTAATATTAACTAATTAGATTCAAAAATCTCTAAATTAATTACACTTGAGAATCGTCACAAGTAAAGAAAAAATACCTCAAAACTTCGAAAAACTCTAATATGAAGTAATTAAATAGCACATTTATTTTTATTTTTTACCTGTAAAAAAATTTGGCTTTGATTTCAACATATTTAAAAACTTTTAAAACTGAACTCGAATTTTAAAATATTTTTTGATTTATGAATTTTTAGGAGGAATTGATCGAAGAATATTTTTAAAACTACAAGGACATATCTAATATAAAAATGAAATATATGAAAAAATTAATGCAGCATCCTTAAAAGCTTGTAAACATATTTTAAGAAGGCTACGATGAAAACTTAACTGAGTCTACAAGCTCATAACAATCTAACAAATCTATGATAAAAGAACCATTCAACACAAATATATTAAGCTTAAATATTTAAGATAGCTACAATCAAAACAATCTCATGAGAATATAGGCATTGAAAAACTGAAATCTAATTGTTTGATACTCTATTTATTTATTTAAACTCAATACTATATACTATAACCACGAACGATTAATCGATTCAAATTATTATAAAAACTACAAAAATAATAAGATAAATCAGACCATATTCAATAAAATTGATCTTAAAATATTCAAAAGTAGTATAAAAATAACAAATCAATATCAATTATGATGATAGTTAAAATATTTAGCCATATAAACTAAAATAATATTTATTAAAATTAATAAACTTCCTAATCTTATAATTAACTTAATACTTTATATTATTTATTCGTTATTTATTCCAGAAATATTTTTCTGAATACCTAACTAGCTAGATAGCATATTATTAGCACAATTTCTCTTATCTCTTTTACTTTTATATATAGTTATTACCTATTTCATATTCAAATCTTAGTATCTTATTTCATAAAATCTATGACAAATTAAATATTTCCTTTTTATATTTAATCACTTTTTTTTCAATTATAATTATTTTTTACAAATTTAAATTTATTTGATAATCCATCCCCACTTTCATTTATTTTCAGAAGAGTGAACGTGTAAATTATTATTTTAAGTGCTTAATAATTACAAATATTAAATAAATAATCGAATTAATATTAATTTATTCGTTATTCACTCACCTTTGGAAATTAAAGGTTATTTTCGCTCTTAATACTTTAAACATAATTTAAATATTTAACATTAAAATTTATAAAATAATAATTTATTTTAAAGAATAAAAAATAAATAGATAAATAAATACTTTAAATAAGCAAATACCATAAAAAGTATTTTTAAAATGTAATTTTATGCTTGAATAGTAATGGATGTATCTTTGTTATTTATGCTTTAAAAACGTATCACTAAAATAAATACATGTCATCTATTTTAATATTAATATAAATGCGCTGACTGACTGTCAATCACTTTCTTTTTTAGCTAACAAAATAAATGATATTTTTTTGGTAAACCTAAATTTTAATAATATTAGATATAAAGTCAAAATAATAAGCAAACAATTCTTAACTCACTCTTCTTGCTGGTTTTCAAATGAATTAATGGGTGAGTGAATTAATACATATATATTCATTTATTGATTGATTGTATTTCAAGAAATAAATTTTGTACTTTAATCATTAAAAAATTAAGCTTTTATTATATCGAAAAGTAAGAAAGAATTAAGTATTTTTAATAAATCGCTAAACAAATAATAAATAGGGTTTTATTTACAATTTTTAAAGTCTAAATACAATTTATTAGAATCTCTCTAGCTTTATTTATTAAATAAATTATGGATAGGTTTAACTCGGCGGATATTCTACAGTTTTCTTCTAAATCTATCAAATTGCAGATAGTAGAAGATAATCCATAACAAAATGGTTCATCCGCTTTTAAGTAATAATCTGTATCAAATAAAATAGGCATAGGATCTTTAAATTTAATAAACAGCTAGGTATAGAACCCAATTATATATAAAATAAGAGGAAATCGTCCTAAAAACTATCGTTTGGTGAATCCTTGTCACATCATTGAAGTTGGTAGTCAGATAAAAATTGATTTTAAATTAGTTAGCATTAACTTGTTTACGCCAAAAGATCTATTTGAAGTAAGATATATCGAATTTACTCCTTAGCTCAAGTAGATTTATCAATTAGAGTAGTGTTAATCTATTTATGATTTCTGGCATTATATAGATCAAAATACCTTTTAGTTTAACATTAAAAAAAATCATTTTACAATTGAAATACAAGATAATCAGGGGATGGATCACATGCTAACCACAGCTTAAAAAATAGATTCTTTAACAGGAAATATAAATAAATAGAATAACCAATAATAAATTAACTTTTCTCCTCTAAATTAACGCTCTACTTCTCCAAAATTATCAGCATCATAGTCTCCTATGACTGCAAAATCTGCTTAATTGACATCATTATCTTCTAAACGTTCGAGTCAAGTAAATGGAATAGGTTCCAAATTTAGTGATTAAAATTTATTTTACTCTCAAGTTAATAAGCAAAAGTATACAAGTTCTATAAATGGATTTGCAAATGAAAATATGAACAGTATTTAGGGTTCGGGTTCTCCTACTTAAGATGATTACAAATAGCTATATGAAAAACTAGTTATGAAAGTAGATGAGTAAGACAAGCAATTATTTGTCCTCAATCAAGAAAGAAAAAAGCTGGAACAGGATTGGAAGCTACTAAACAAAAAGCAAGAATAACTAAATAATTCAGAAAATTAAGTAAATAAATCAAAAAGCATAAATGGAATTCAACCAATTTCAGCTATAATTATTGCAATTATTTCACTGCTAATAGGAATTTACTTAGGAAATTGAAAAAAAGTAAAAATATTATTAAGGAGCCCACTAAAAATAACAATAGAAAATGCGTTTTGAAATATTTACAAATGAATAAATAATAAGTATTTATAAGCTTTTAATCTAAAAACAAACAAACCCTTTATTTAAAAAATTTTGACTTTTGAAATATTTAAAATAAAATAAAATTAGTAAGTAAAATATTACTAATGAATCAACCAACCAATTATAAAAACATTTAATTCTTGTAGAGATAAATAAAAGACAATGAAGTTTCAAAATAAGATTTATTATTAATAACTTTAAAATATTCTTTATTTTTAATAATAACTAAATAATAGAATTTATTTTAAAAAACAAACTTCAGTTGTTCTATTATTATTATATCTCTTTTTTATAAATAAATAAATAAAATAAAATAAAATTATAAATAAATAAATAGCTAACCAACAAACATCAAATGAATCTACTAACATAAATTATAATAAATTACATTTTTCTAATTATAGTAAATAAATATTCTTCTGATATTCTTTTTGGAAGTTTATGACAGGTAATTCTGTTTTTGACTGTAAATAAAATAATTTTATTCAATGCTTTGTATTTATACCTATTAATATCTTTATTTGCTTATTACTTGTTTTATATTTTTACTGTTCGTTCTTAAGCTTTGAAATTAATTATTAAAAAAGTACTCCATAATTTTTTTTTCAATTTAAAAATAAATTAAATTCACAAAATAAATAATTTGTTTGCTTTAAAAAATAATGTTTTTTGAAAACCTTCAACAAGTAAAACTTTCAATTAATTTAAATAATTTCATTTATATTATCTTTTATATTTAAAGTTTATAGAATCAGAAGTTTCTAACATCAAAAATATTTAAATAGACTTATAGTAAGAAGTTTATGAATTAATCTTCTAGAAATAAATATTTTTTTAAAAATATTTGTTCAATTATTTTTATTTTTTTTCAATGATTTTAAATTATTTAAACAAAATTAGATCATAATATAAACTTAATTATATATTATTTTAAAATATAATTGAAAGATATAAATGGATTTAAAGTTAAGGAGTTCTATAACTTAGCTAGAAACTGCATCAATGTCTTCAGATTATATAACTCTAAATCAATTTGCAGTGCTTAAAATTAAAATTATCAAAAATTAAATTATTTTTTATTTTATATTTAAGATTTAACTAAATTGGCAAAGAGGGTTTAGATGAAATAGCTAAAGCAATTGTAGGATGCAAATTGCTTAATCAATTTTCAATAAATTTGGAGTTGTTTTTATTTAAATTAAAAAAAAAATTTAATACTTATTAAATATAAAAGATCAAATTAAATTAAATCTGAAGATATTTAAAATTTTAGCTAGTGCTTGCCTCTCTGCTATAATTTGAAAAATTTGTGTCTAGATTTAATGTAATTATTTGAAAATTTTATATTTTAACTGAATAATTCGATCAAATAGATGCAACGAAATTAATAATGAAGGGGCTTTGGAGTTATCTACTTCAATTTCATAATGTAAGAACTTAAAATCTTACACTCTTGAGTTATTGTAAATTAATTAGACAAATTTTAAAATGATCTATAAATATATTTTATTTTTAGCTGTAATAAAATTGATTTTGAAGGATACTTTTCTATGTGCAAAGTTCTATAAAGTTGCAACTAAATTTATTCGATAAGATTGCTTTTGAAGTATTTTTATTCAATTTACAAAAATATGAATAACTTATTTTTTTAAAGTTAAAAAGATAAAAAATTAACTCAAATTGTAAAAAAATCAAAGAGATTGGTGAAATAAATCTAAAATTGAAAGAACAAACTTTTATTTTCAGAACAAAATATATATTGCCTGATTGATATTTTAAAAAATTGTATTAAATTCTTCTTGCAAAATGTTTGAATACATAACTAAATAAAACTAATTAATTAATTCTAAAAACATTCTTTAATTCTGATTCAACCATCATCTTTTTTAAAAAGCTAAATTTTTGTTTTTTAATTAACTAAAAAATTTCCCCCACCGGGACTTGAACCCGGGTCTGAAGGGTGAAAACCTTCTATCCTAACCTGCTAGACTATAGGGGATTACAATTAAACTACACAAACACAAAAATTATTTTTCTTACATTTAAATCAATATTTTTTATATAAATTTTGTATCATTTTGACAAAAAAATCTAAACTAACTAATTAAGATGTTATAAAAATTAGATTAATTTAAACAATATTTAAAATTTTTATATTAAAAAATATATACTCTAAATCCTCATTAATTAAGGGTATCCCCCCCCTCATCTTTGAAGCCTACTCTGACATAAAAAATTAAAGAATTATCACTTGAAATCTTTTTTATTTTTTGTGTCGTAATAAAAGAGGGATTATAGTATTTGAAAGATCTTAGAAGATCGTCTGTAAGAAGTAATTTTTCAAATTCAATTTCAATATCCATTTTTGTGATTTTGTAATTTTTTGGATAAATCATTTTTAAATTAGCCTCTTTAGAAACTTACCAATTTGAATAATGTTTATTTAAGCTTCACTCAAAATAATAATTTGAAATATTTAGAAACTTAAATTAAAAAATTTCATTAAATTACAGGTAATTAATTTAAATAAATTATTTTAAAAATATTACTAAAAATAACTAACATTATAAACTATATTTATTTGGCTACATTTAAATGTAAAAAATATTATTGATAATTCTAATAATAGTCAGGAAATATCTCTCTTTAAAATTTATAAAGATAATGAATTTTAACATTAAATTAAATTTAATTAATTTTAATTTATATAAAAGACATTTTTGATTATAAATATAATAAAAAGCTATTTTATGTATTATAAACTCTACAAGATAAAACTATATGTCTATTTTATTCTTCTAAATTTATAAACTCAAATATTTGTATTTAATTTTTTTACTTCTAAATTTGATATTCTAATTAAATTGTACCAAAAATCCAGTTTTTATTTATTTATTTCATTATTTATTTTTTATTTCAAAACAAAATTATCTTTCTAAGTCATTTAATTTAAAATATAAATACTATTTTACTCTCATAAATAACCATTATATGAAAAAATATAAAAAATATCAATTAAGTTTTATTTTAAATCTAAAAATAAAAAATTAAAAATTACATTATCTTATTTTCTTATGCATCATTTAATTTGAAAGCAAAATATTCAAATATCTATAATAAAAAAATTATAAAAAACATATTATTATCATAATAATTTAAAGTAAAATATTAAATAATATTAATTAATTACAACAAAATATATTATAATTCATAATCATAATCTATTGAAGTTATCTACAATAAATAATTAACTAATAATAAATAAAAAAACAATAATAAGCTTATGAAATTCAAAATATAATTCATAATACTATAAATTATTATGCCTTTAGTTAAACCTTGAGATTAAAATTTATTAAATAACTTTTTACTAAACCAAATAAAATAAAAGATTTTAATGAGGATGAAATATTCAATAAAAATTAACTACTTAATTTATTTAATTAATAAAATAAATGAAAAATAGCTAAATACTATTTTAATAGGACAAATTAAGTTAAAAATAAGATTGTAGTAAATTAATTGAAAAAAGCTATTATTTTTTAATAAAAAATAATTTTTAATTTTTATATTAAGTATTAAAAATAAATATATTTATTAACTCAGTTTCATTTAAAATTTTAAGTAAATGAACAAAAAATGAGGATAGGCATTAAAAAAAAATTAAATCAAGATTTGCTTTTCTTTTGTTTTATGTTTAAAAAGCAACTAAAAAAATTAATGAATGAAAAGCAAAAGAATTTCCATGCAAAAAGAAGAAAGAAAATGAAAATTGGTACGAAAGATTTATGCATTTTAATAATTAGATAAAAAGATGGATATTCGTAATAAAAGATTAGCAAAAAAGAATGGAAAGAAAAAGCTTTCTTTTTTTTTTGCATATATCTTTCTTAATGGAAAGAGTTTGCTTGCTTGCTTGATAATGATTAAAATTATTGTTTGTTTATTTATTTATTTAATAATTTATTGATTAGTTCATTTTTCTTTATTTAATATTTGATAGCAGCAGAGAGTGAGCGAATGATTATTCTCATGATTTGAAGAGTAAAAATAATATTAAATAAAAAAGAATAAGAAGAATTCAAAGAAGTAAAAAGAAAAGGATATAAAGGAATGTTCAGAAATATTTTAAGCCTTGTTACCAAGCCTTCCAAATTGAGCCAAAAAACCTTTTACAACTTCGCTGCTGCTAAGAACGAAGTTTAGGTTTCCAAGAAATAGCAATAAGCTGGTGCCAAGAGAGATTTAACTTAGTATGTTGAAGGTTAAATCGTCAACAGAAACCAACTTACTCTTAAGAAATAAGAAGATATTGAATAGTATGTCCTCAAATTAGTCAGAGGCTATTTCAGAACTACTAATAAATAAGGTTTGAATATCAACTCTGTCTTACAAGACCACGGTTTGGATGAGTTCGACTCTATTGAATTAGCCATGCAAGTTGAAGAAGATCTTGGTTACGTTATTTCTGCTGAAACCATCCCTGTCCTCAACAAAGTCAAGCATTTCGTTAACTATATTAACCATGTTGAACAATTCAAGGCCGAAAACGGAAAGGCTCCTATTGCTTGAGAAATTTATATTTATGTAGACCAATTTAGCAATAGCTAGCAGCAATAGTCAATAAGATAGCATAGCATATGCAGAGGCGAGCAAGCACTACATGTATGCTTAATCAATTTGAAGTATGCTGCAAAAATTAATAAGATAAACTTTAGAATTTGCATTCATATGAGATTCATATTGCATATGTACATGGATTTTCAATAATTCAATAATGGGATTTACATAGCTACTCTTATTAGCTTTTCAATTGAAATATTCTTTTTTTCCTTCATTTATAGCAATAATTTCTAACTTTATTCTACATTTATCTATCTTGTATGCAATGCATTTTTAAAATATCTTAAGAATCTCTCTAATAATCATATAATACAAAAATTCTTCCAATATAATCAATAAAAATATAAGAAATTCTGCACTAAATCTCAAGCATAATGTATAAAAAAAATTTGAGATCTACATTTACAGCTCATTTAAAAATTTTATTTGAAGCTCTACATATAATTTACCATTTCTTAGGTTAAATAACATTATTTTTGACATGAAAATTAGTAGAAAAAGTTCATTCTATTTTCAAATATTTTAGAGTTTTATTTGATAAAGATATATAATTATATATATATTAATTAATATACTCATAAATACAATATCAACTTAACACATCATCTAAAAATAATACATACATAGATAGATACATACATTCGAAATGATATTTAATAAATTTCATTTTCTTTCTTTCTCCTTCTTCTCTAAAAAGGCAATCTAACTTTAAATTTCCTTATAGATAGAATCCATAGTTTAAAGCTGTAGTAGCACAAATCAAATAACTCATTTTGGTTTATTTTAATTAATCAAAATAAAATCATTTCAAATAAATCTTAACATTATCCAATATTTAGAATTTATATCAAAATAAAAACAAAACTACTTTTTATATTGAATCAAGAATATTTTCAACAAAAAAAAACTTATTTTGAAAAAATTAATTTAATTTTTGTTTAAAAATAAATATTTTAGATAAATTAATTACTTGCTTGATAACTTAGCAATATTTTAGTTACATATTCTATAAATTAATATGAATAAGATAATTATTTAAGCAATAGATAAAGACTACTAACAAAAAAAATGATAATAAAATACAAAATTTGTATCCCAAAAGGTAAATTGATAAAATAATTAACCAAATACTTGAGTTATTTATTTAATAAACCCATTTTAAAATAGTCAAATAAATAAATTTATAAAATCAAAGTGAAAATTTTCATTTAATTCTATAATTTTAATATTTTTAAACATTAGAAGAATATTTTTAAATTTTTTATAAAAATTCTATCTATCTATCTTTATTTATGTAAATAAAGTTGTAATTTTAACTAAAAAAAATTTAAATAATTTATAATAATTATAATTTTCAGCATCTTTAAAGTTTTAGTAGAGTTAGTTAAATGAAAATTTCAGATATAGATGAGAGTCGAAAGTTTGTATATCACAAAAAATGAATAAAAATCTAAAATAAAATGCAGAATCATTTCAAAATTTTCATTAATTTTGAAATATCTAAACTTTCGACTTCCATCATAAGATATAGATAGATACATAGAATTTGGCATATTTAAAAATTTCAAAATAAATAAATGATATAGTTGGATACTTTCTAATTAATCTTTGAAAAATCATTAATATTTAAGTCTAAGCTATTTTGGATATTTATTTTGTTGGTTACTGAATTTTTAGTTATCAATTTTATCACTTTAAATGAAACAATTAATTGTAGCATTTTGAACTAAAATAATATCATTTAATTTAATTTTTACATCACAGTAGGATTTTTTCTTAAATTTAATTAAATATTTGTAACAAAATTTAAAATAGCCAATTCAAAAGTTAAAAAAAATGATTTTCAAGTAGCAATTAAAAAAAAACTTTTTATTTAGTTATAAAAATAAATAAAAATGATTTTTTAAAGCTCTATGAATAGAAATAATAAGGATTTAGTATAGAGTTTTAACTGACATTTTAATTAATTGAGCTGCTATGAATTATAAGATTACAATGTAGTATACACAATTCTAATGAATTGTAATTTTTTAAAAATGATTTGGTAAGAAATTGTTAAGAAATAATATTTCATGCATGATCAATAAATTTTGCGAATTACAATTAATTGCATTTGCCTTTAAAAATAAATAAATGATGAAAATAAAAAAATTTTTGCATTGTAAAATATACAATATTTTGTTATAAGTGAAAGAGTAGAAAGTGTAATAAATTAAAATCAATAAAAAATATTGTAGAAGATAACTAAATAAATAAATAATTATTATTATCAACAGTAGTGACAGACAGACAATCAAACGAAAAGAGAGTGAATATTGTCATAAAAATCTTAACAAAAAATAAAAATAGGTGAAAAGAACCAAGCAATTTAATAAAGAAAGAAGATAAAAAAATCCTAAAAACTATGAATAGTATTGGAAAAGCAGCATTAAGCTCTTAAATAGGAAGTTCAGGAAATAAATATGCAGTTAATGCATCTTCTAAATCAGGTATTAAATGGACTGATTTCAACTATCCTCCTTTGATCAAAGTTATTCACTACGATAGAAGTGAATTGTAAGACCCACACAAAAAGATAGCAACCTTACTCTGGCTTGGGCATATTCTTATATTATTAATTTCTATCATCAACTTTATTAACAACTGTGTTCAAGGAGTTGGTTTTAGAATAGGTCTATCAGTCGCTTTTTTTATCTTATTTAATCCTTTTGAGGGAATTTGCTTTTACTAAGGCTTGCTCGCTTTCTTGGATAATGATTCTAAATTTAAGATATACAAAATTTTATCCGTTCTTCTGGGATTATTTTATATCGCCTTTATGATAGGTGACTTCGGTAATTTTAATGGTTTTGTAAGAATTAAAGACGTTGATGCATTTCCAAAAGCTTTATGTGTGATTGAATCTATATTCTTTTTTGTTGTTATAGTAATTCACTTTTACTGCACTTACAAAGCTCATAAATGGGAAGATGGTCCTGCAAAGCTACTCACATAATCAGACTCTGCATCCGTAGCTTCCAAGGACAGATCCCAATCATAGATTTCATAGCCTTGAGAAAAATATTTCATTCATTCATTTAAGCTTAGATAAATTAATTTAATCAATCACAAATAAATAAATAAGTATAAGTTTTAAAATAGAGTGTGAATAAATAACAAACAAACAAACAGAAAGAAAGAAAAAAATTAGAAGTTTTTATTTTATTTACTTGCATTTCATTCTTCAATTATCAATTTGTATGTATATATGTCACCTCAGAAAGTAAGTATTCATAAAACAAATTAAACTATTTATTTTCATGCACAAATAAATAGAATTCTTATTAATTTTTATATTTATTTCATTCTTTTATTTAAATTTATTTTTTATAACAAGCATCCTTTCTTCCACTCATATTTATTTTCTTCATTTTCATATTCTTTTTTAGCAATTTTAAGATTTTTAGAGACGAATTAACAATTTAGTTTTTTAGTAATAGAAAAATAAATTATCAGAAAAATCTATTTTTATCTTTTTTTTTGAATTTTAAAAAAATTTTAGAAAGAAAAGAGAAATAAATAAATTACTAATTAAATAAATATTAGTGAACAAGAGCAATTTAGATCCTTAATTTTTTCAAGAAAAAACTTTATTTTAGTGTATTAATTGCATAAAAATTAATTTTCGTAGTTTTGCTAAAAATTCAAATATTTATTTTAATATAAAAAATACATTCAATTCTCAAAATCTAATATTTATATTTAAATAGTTTAATATCATTCTTAGATCACATAGATCATTCTAAACAAATATAAATAAGTAAAATTCAGTTTAATTAATTATTCATGGATTAGTTTTAGATAAAATCACTTTTAATTTTTAAATAATGATTTTCTTATGAGTTTTATTTGGTTTATTTAACTATTAGTTGTACTAAAAAATTGAAATTTTTTAATTACTAAAATAAATAAATAAATAAATCATCTATAGACAAAAGTGTTTTTAAAAAAGCATATTAACAGAAATAATTTTGTTAAAATATTACTTAATAAAAAACAAGTAATTGATTAATTAAATCTATTATGTATGTATGAATTCATTTATTTTAACTGACCTCATGGGACAACAGCAACACATTCGATTTCAACCTTAGCATTCTTAGGGAGAGTCTTGACAGCAACACATGCTCTAGCTGGTTTGTTATCACCAGTGAAATACTTGCCATAAACTTCATTAACTTTAGCAAAATTATCCATATCCTATTATAAAATTAAAACATTAATAAGATAACAGTATTAAATATATTAGCTTTAACAATTTTAAATATTAAATTTTTTATTTTCTACTAATTTTTTATTATAATTTATTTAGAGACTAAGATATTTATTTATTTATTTCGATTTATTTGATATCAAGCATATCTTTAATATTTATTTATAATCACTAAAAAAACAAAATGTAAACAAATTTGAATAAGTATTTACATCCAAGAAGATGTTGACCTTAACAACGTATTCCAAATCAGTACCAGCTTCGTGTAAAACGGCAGTTAAGTTTTTCAAAACCTTATTTTAATTTAAAGATGCAAATTAATAATAATTTAAAATATCAATTTATTTTTTTTGCTTTTATTTATGTTTTAAATTTACATATTTTGTTTTATTAATTTACCTATTCAGTTTGAGAAACAACGCAGGAGGTCTCATCAAAAGTGTTAGTCTAGAAAATAATTTTTATTTTATGGTTAGTAAAAGTTAGGTTTTTAGTTTATCAAATTTACTTCAGGGTTAATAGCAATTTGACCAGAAGCGTAGAATAATCTAGCTCCGGCAGCAACTATCTTTCCTTAGGTGTAAGGACCAACTGCTTTGGGTGCCTTATCAGTATTAACGGTGGTGATCAACTCATTGGGCTTGAGCTTCTTGTGGACTTGGTCAACAACTTAATCGTGCTTTTAGTCAGCCATTTTAAATGAACTAAATTAGTAATATGTGTTATTTTTTGTTAATAATCTTAAAGAATTTTTAATTAATTATTTATACATCCTAAATAAATAAATAAATAACAATCTATAAACAATATTTTTAAGAATATATTTATTAAAACTTTTAATATTCTTGAAGATATTCTTTCGATCAAATCTTTCGATATCAGAATCATATTCGCGTCATCATTTCTTTCTTTATATCCTTTAATCTTTTATTTTGAGCTGGCTTAACTATTTATAAAAATTCCTAGTATTTTCCATAAAACTTACAAATAAATCTTTCGAAATTCTTTTAGTGTTCATTCATTCATTTTTATTTTATTGAAATTTATATTTTTTACTTTAAAGAAAATTTTTAAAAAATCCAATAAGCACTTATTATGATAAATAAAATAATTTTATAAAATGAATCAATGTAAATTAATAATAAATTCTTAAAAAAGGCTAATTTAAATTTCAAAATAATAATTAAACACTTTTTTTAATTAGAAATTGAGTAAATACATACGATTTTCTAAATATTTTACTTATTAACTTTCAGGTTTACTCATTTAATGTTTTTATTAAGGAGTTCAATTTTGATTTAACCAAAAAAGACATACAATTTTTGTTAAATATTGCAAGATTAACTTAGTAAAAATTATAACATATTTTTATTTAGATTTTAATATTGTTTTATAAAAATAAATTTATCTCAGTTTAATATTTATCATAGCTTTCATATTTAAAATTAATTGCTTTAACATTGATATAATAATAAGAGTGATGATTGATTGATTGAGAGAACTAAAATTATTACAATTTTAAAAGGGTTTGCAAAATAAAATTATGAATACACAATACAGTTAAATTAAATTTTAAATCATTAGAGATTTTCGATAATGATGGAAGAACCACCACCACCACCGTTGCAGATACCAGCAAGACCATATTTACCCTTATTAACCTTCAAGACAGTGAGCAAAGATTGAATAATTCTTGCACCAGAAACACTTTTAAAATAAATGAATTTGATTTTAATTTGTTGTTAAAAATAATTTTTTAAATTACCCAACAGGGTGACCTAAGGCAACAGCACCACCGTGGAGGTTGATCTTAGAAATATCGATATCAAGTAATTTCATGTTAGCGAGGGCAGTAGCAGAGAAGGCTTCATTGAATTCGAAGTATTCGAGTTAAGAAATCTTCATACCAGCTCTGTCAAGGGCCTTTTGACTGGACTTGGCAGGGGCAATACAGAAGTCAATAGGATCAACTTCGGCATCAGCATAAGAAATAATTCTACCGAGAGGAGTTAAGCCTAATTCCTTAACCTTCTATTCACTCATTAAAACTTTTTTATAATGAAAATTCTATTAATTTTTTGCTCTAAAAATGTAATTCTATGCTAATAAATTTCTAAATCTAAATATAGTTAATTTAATTACTGATAGAGCAAGCACCATCATTAATCTTGGAAGCATTAGCAGCAGTGATAGTACCAGTCTTAGAGAAAGCAGGCTTGAGTACGGGGATCTTTTCCTTCTTGAATTTCAAAGGATCTTCGTCTTGAGTAACCTTTATATAAAATTATTTATTAAGTAAAGAACGATTTAGATTATTTTTATATTAGGTTTTACGGTTTCTTTATCGTTGATCTTAACAGGAACGATTTCGTCAGCGAATTTACCAGAGTTCATAGCATTGAGGGTTCTTTCGTAAGAAGTGATGCAGTAATGGTCTTGTAATTCACGAGTTAATTGGAAATCGCTTGCAGTCTTTTCAGCACAGAGACCCATAGCAATTTTGTTGTAGGCATCAACTAAACCGTCGTTGGCCAAACCATCAATTAAAGTTTGGTTACCATAAGAGGCACCCTTTCTGTACTAATATTTTTATTTGTAAATTGCAATTAGTTTTAGTTTATTTTGCTTTCATATTTAATTAGTAATTTTTTTTTTTTAAACTTTGAATTTTATTAAGCTTTTTATGATAAAATTATTTTTATTGTAGCTGGGTGCTACCTAATGCTTTTAACTAGCTAAAATGACTATTTTGAGTTTGCTCAATACTTTAGTGTGAGAGAAAATTCATTTTTTAAAGTTAAAAAACTTACATTTTAAACGTAGAAGGGAGCATTTGACATAGATTCAAAACCACCAGTAACAATACAGTTGGATAAACCGAGTTGAATTTGTTAAGCACCCAAAATGACGGACTTCATACCAGAAGCACAAACCTTTTAGATACTGTAGGAAGGAACTGAAACACTAATACCTATTTAAAAAAAATACATTTTAACAGAAAGTTCTATCTTGTTGGCATAAATTAAACTGAAATTGAAACTTTTCTTTGCAAAAAATAGCTTTTTTATGAGGATTTAGTTCAGTTTTACAGGTTTTCTTATAGAAAACATGTGAAAAAGTTAACAATTTAAAAAATGTCTTTAAATCTTTAATAAGTTTTTGTATTACCAGCAGCGAGGGAAGCTTATCTGGCAGGATTTTAACCAAGACCGGCACCGATAACGTTACCCAAAATAACTTCATCGACGTGCTTGGGGTCGATTTTCTTGGATTCTAAGGCAGCTCTGGTTGCAATAGCAGATAATTCAGGAGCCTTAATGTTAGATAACTTTCCCAAGAAAGAACCAATGGGAGTTCTCTTGGCAGCAACAATGTATGCAGCTTGCATTTTTTATGTTTTTATTTTAATTTGTATTTAGATTTATTTGTTTTTCAATAAATATTGTTTATGAATTAATAGATTTGATTTTTTTTAAATGACCAGAAAGATACATACATAATGTTAAGCACTAAACTTTCTTGAGAAAATTGTAGTAAAGTGATGCAATAATATCAGAAAAAATTTATTAGTCTTTTAATAATTGATTCTAAAATAAGCCAAAATGAAAAAGATTTGATCAGAGGAAGTTGTAAGATATGGAATTCTTATAGAATCCTTTACAATGTCTTTGAATATTTAAGTATCATTATTAAGAAGCTAAATTAATGGAGCTAAAAAATATTTTAGTCTTTGTAGTCAAAGTATATTTCCTGATTTTAGGTGAAAATGTCATTAACTCTTGTCTAGAAAATATTGTTTTTAAATGAAAATACACAATTTCTGATTGATTACTGAATTTATCATTTTCATAGTACTCAACATAATTAAAAAAAAACAAAAAGTATTACATACTTTTAATTACTTTTTTTTTCCCCTTTTAAATTTATTACATGTCTTATTTTACACACAAAACTACTTATTCTGTAACACTCATTAACCTCAATTTTATGCAAATATAATAATTGAAATTTTTTGCAGTTAAAATTTTTCCGGAATAATTTCATCTTTGTTTGCAGTTTGATATAAAAAGCAACTTCATTATTAATTTGCTTGATTGAAAATATATGACTAACTTTAAATTAATACAATTTTTACTAATCAATTTAATTATATTATGATGATATATCCAAAAATTAAATCATTCATTTAATTTTCATATTGTCGTTTTATAATTTATTTTCCTTACATCTTTCTAAAAGAAAATAAATAACCAAATTGTAACCAAACTGCTTCTTTGAATTTAAATTAATAAGAGTTAGTTAAATTTCCAATTCATAAATTGTTGATATTGATTGTGTCGATTTGGCACAATTTAACAAATTCTTTTTAAAATAGAAAAATTAAAATAAATAATTCAGGAACACAATGTAATCATCAAATATAAATTTTTCAAGAAAAGTGATCATAAATAATTGATACGATTGTCCGTCCCTCACTAATCAAATTTATTTTTAAATGAATTTTTATAAGATAGATTATTTATATTTAAATTGAATGAATATTTTATATGAGTTAATGAAATGAAATATTTTAATATTTTATGTCTCAAATTCTTTATTTTTACATCATTAAATTATTAAAGGCAGTAATTTTTGCTGAATTAGGAAAATCTGAGTGTTTTGAGAATTTCAATGAACATGTTGGAATAATATATTTTTTTGATATGAAATTTCTAATATTACTCACTATCTCAAAACTAAGTAAATATTGATCAAAAATAAATTTGTAAGTGTTTAATATTATAATTAAGCAGAGCAATTAATAATTAATTAATTATATCTAATATATGTCTACAACATTCACATAATGGTATATCTCTAATCTCTGAGATTTAAAAATAATTTCCACTTCCTTTTTCTTTAAATTTGTCTCTTAAAATATTTTACAAATAGGAATAAATATGAAATTCAAATTTAAATTTGAGTTATTTCAATTTCTAAAAATATGTAATTGTTAATCAAAAAGAAGTCTGATAGTATTTAATATCAAGTATGAAATCAATAAATATATCTATCTATATTAATTAAACCTAATAACATTTTTTCTTAATATTAAAAGCATTGTTAAAAGTGAGTCAAGAATTTATATTTAACACTTTTATTTAATAGTAAGAATTTTAAAAAATGAGATTTAAACTAAAAAAATCATTTATAAATATCAAAGTTTAGCATCAAATTCTACCTTTAAAATATTTAAAATAGTAATTATATCTCTGATAAAATAAAACAGTGCTCAAACATGCAATTCAAACATTCTAATTTCTATTCAAAGACAAATATTAAGAGAAAATACAAAAAAAGAGATACTAATTATATTTAAGTATAAGATTTATTAATTTATATTTAGATTTTTATATCAGTAAAGTTATTATTTACAGTTGGTTGAACACATTAATAATCAAAGTAAAAAGCTAGCTTGCCAATTAGATTTTAGCCTTAGTTAAATATGAAACAAAAATATTTTGAAATGAATTTAAATATTATTATGAAACATAAATCTTAAAATGATATTTCTATGATCAAAATATTTTTAAAGTCCTAAATATTTTAATAAAAGTATAAAAATGCTAATCCCTTCTAATTAGATAGCCTAATTTTACAAATTAAATATAAAATATTGAACTAAAAATCCTTCTTATTTTTGAGATATTTCAATTCATAAAAAATGATATTTCTATGATCAAAATATTATTAAAATCCTAAATATTTTAATAAAAGTGTAAAAATGTTAATCCCTTCTAATTAGATAGCCTAATTTTACAAATTAAATATAAAATATTGAACTAAAAATCCTTCTTATTTTTGAGATATTACCATTCAAATTTATTTGTATAAATTCAAATAAAATTTTCAGCTAACAAATGTAATCAATTAATTTAACATGCTTCTATTTATTTTTAAAGTGATTTAAAAAAATTAAAAATTTAAAAAATTATTGTTTTCTTTTTTTTATCATTCATAAAATTAAACACATAAACTTGTATAATTAGTTAAAGTTATAATAAAATAAATATTTAATTTTACTATTTTTTTAAATTTATATAATAAGAATCTTAAAATAATTTTTGTATATTCATTTAAAAAGTATCAAACCTTTCAAATGAGTACCTTTTTTATTTTCATTTTAAGTTAGAGATAACAAAATTATTCTATTTAATTAAAGATATTAACAAATTCTACTTTAAATAAATTAAATTTTTATAGATGATTTATAAAAATAATTTTTAATTAGTTAAAATTAATTAAATCATTTTCGAAATAATTATTAATTCGTTGTAATTAATTGAAAATCTTTCTTAAAATAAATATAAAATATTTAAAAATGAATAAAAATATTTTAAAATAGATTATAAATATTTGAAAATTAATAGCAAATATTCTATTAATATTTAAAGATAGAATTTAATAAAATTAATTTTATTTATTATTCGATTAAAATTTTTTTAATTTATTTTAGTAGGAAAATTAATTTTATTTTATAAACGTTTATTTTTTTTGTTTAAAATAGGCTATTAATTTTCCATATAATTTTTATTTTGCTAATAAAAAATAAGTAAAGGATAAATAGCAAGCAAGCTAATGAATCAATTAAAGGCTAAAATATTATTTTTATAGGATAAAAATTAAAATTTGTTGAACTTTTAGTAAATTTGTACTGCATAAATAAAATTTTGTGTTTATAAAATCAAAAATTATTGCAAAATAGGATAAATATTTTGAGACCATGTGTAAAAATTTGAATAAGTGAAGATTATTTTTTTAGATAATCTATTCACAAGTGTTGATAGATCAATGTGAGTGTAATCTGATTTTATATCAAATTTTTAAAGAGATATTTTAAAAAGTGAAAGGCTTCTAAAATTTTGACAAGTGTTAATTGCAATCTGTTTGGCAAAATTTAAAAATAATTTTAAAGCTAAATTTTTGATTTTGAATTAAAATTAAGTAAGAATTTTATTGATTTTTTCAAAATTTTAGAAAAATAATTAGTTTGATTAAATGGTAGTTGAAATAAGAAAAATAAATAACAATTAATGACCAAACTTTTATTTATTTTTAACAATTTAAAAATTAATTTTTTGTAATAAGAAGTATTTTTGTTTATTTATTTTATGAAAAGTATAAAATTAATTTGCATCTTTTTAAAAAATTAGCAATATGTTGATTTACTTATCTTAGTTATAGCTTTGCTAAGAATTTATATTTTGTTTTAAAGATAGTAATACAATTAATTAGGTTGAAAAATATGTGAGGAAGGAGGGAATCATAATTAAAAATAGATAAAATTGACTGACAAAATAATTAAAAGTAAGAAAAATTAATGCACTTTTTAATATATATACTTCTAATTAATTTCCTGAGAAGTACCCTATTAGAAAAACCAAACCAATTCTATGCTTAACTCTTTTGAGTACTAAAAACAAATAATAAATTTTTGCTTTAATCTTATAAAATATGCCATTGTTGACCATATTATTTAGAAATGTATCATCATACAAAAATATTTAGAATGTTTTTAGTATAAAACATTTAAATACAAAATAAAATCATATGAATAGATAGATAGATTGATTGATTGATTGTTATCTAGCTAGTTAGCTATTTGTTAATTTATTTATCTTTTATTTACTTTTGTTACTTTGAAATAAATTTGTTTGTTAGTTATTAGTTAGTTAGCAACTATTTTAGTGATTTTTATCTTTATATTTATCTATCTATCTAAGTTTTTTATTATTTTATTTGTTAATTTGTTAAGTTTTTCTTTATTTATTATGTGCTTTTATAAATATTTGCATTATTTGTTAGAAACTGATAAAGAAAAAAAATTGAAAAAGTAAAGCGGTAAAATAATACTTTGATAATTATTTCAATTAATTGAAAATTTGATTAATAGACAATTACTGATTGATTAAAATAGGTAAGAAATACACAATATATCAATTATGAGACAACCTGAAGAACTTTCAAAGTATACACAAAATCCTCGTTAAAGCATAGCTTAAAAAACCCAAGAATTTGTTAAGGACAACTGGGTTGTTGTAGGCTTGATAGTAGCAATTATTTCAGTTGGCTTGTACGCTGTTGTAAACGATAAAACTTCCAAATCTGACTTCGTTCCTGCTGGTAAATGAATCAACTTATGATAATTTTACCTTCACCTTCACATTTATAATAGCACTTGATCAGATTTATTTTTTTTAAACAAACAATACTGCTTTTTTGCTATTTTTGAATTGTTGGGATATATAATTATTTTATTTAAATATTTCATATTATTCATCTATATTAATTATAATTATATACAATAGCCATAGATAAGAGGTATATGCTTAATGAGACTTCTATTTTCCCTGATTATAGAACTATCGTAACCACTGGCTTAGAAAAGAATTTTGAAGGCGTAAATAGAGATGTTTTCCAACCTAAAATTCACGAAATAACTCTTAATGCAACCAAATGGAAAGACCTCTTTGAAAAGACTCAAGAAATGATTAAAGGAATGAAGCTTATCAAAATTCAAGAAGAAGATCTTACATGTAATTAATCAATCAATATAAATTTTGAAATATTTAAAAAAAGATAGAAAAAGCCTTTGCAATAATGAAAAAGAATTTTGAAATAATTTTAGCGTTATGAGCAACTAACTATAAAAGCGAAAGCTAACAAAAATATTAGCAAAAATAAATGCTAAGAGTTTACTGAATTTCTTAATTATAATATTAATTATTACTACTTTTATATGAAAAAAATTAATAAATTTTCATCTACCATTCAGCAACCAATTAATTTATTGACTAATGAATGAATAAATTTTATTGATTTATTCACTCTAAATAATCGCTATAAATACAAATTTCAAAATTAAATTAAAAAATTCATTCAGCTCGCTCTTTCGTATCTTTATTTGATTTTATTTTCAATTAGACAAATCAATTTAAATTTTATTAATAATAAATTTTTTTATTCAAATTTTGTATCTTAATTTAAATAAATTTTACCTTGCTAACAATTAATTTTCATTCTAAATTATTTAGCTAAGCACTCTCACTTCAATAAAACTGAAGAAAACTATAAGGAATGCAGAGAGATTTTGTTAAGTAAGGATCTTGATGTATCAGATGACACCATAAGAATGTAGGAAGCAAACACCACCATAGCTCATGCTGAAGGAATACTTGAAGGTTATCGTGATGAGCTTCATTAGTTATAAACCCGTAGAAAAGAAGAACTAAACGAATTATCCATTTCAATTAATCACAGACTCTACGAAAAGGATTAAATGAAATAAAAAATCAGCTAAAGTGCAGATAAAGATGAAATAATGTAAACTTTATTTATTTAATTGTAATTTTAACTAATTATTGAACAAATTAATTTTAATTTTTATCAAGAAAATTTTAAGAATTATTTTTTTATAAAAAATAAAAACAGATAGGATTTACAAGCAAAATTAGAACAAATTCAATAGAATATTAAAACTAAAAAGTTAGAAATTGTACGTCTCAAAGAATTACAAAAGGCTGATTTAGAAAACAGCAATAGCTTAGATAATAGCATCAACCATCTTTCTGAAAGTGTTTAAAAGCTAAAATTCGTAAAAAATAATTTATTTAAAATTAATAATCATTGTTAAAATAATCTAAACTAAAAAGGAAATTGCCTCTTTGGAAGTTAATTTGGAAATTGATTAAATAGCTGGTAGAATTAACAGATAAGAGCACATCAACAACACCAAGCAAATGATTTAAACAATTTAAAAGAGAATTAAGCTTTTTAACAACCATAAGATCTCTTCTGATGACACCAAAGAGTTAGAAAAGCAATTAGAATAAGATAAGCAAAAGTTAAAAGATCTTAATGCTTTGTAAATTAATTTAATTAAGAGTTTCTATCAAAAGACTGTTTCTGCAAGTGGAAAAACTCTTGAAGAGCTTAAACAAGAAGAAAAGAGCCAAAATGGTAATAAACAAATAAACAAATAAACAAATAAATAAATAAATAAACTAAATAACTATCTAAATAAATATAAAAACACTCTAAAATTTATTAATATTTTTTTACTTTATAGAAAAATTGTAGACCTTAAAAAAGAAATACGAAAATAGAGATGAATCTTTCAACAAGTACGAGAAGCAAATCGATGCTATTGAAGTAAATATATAAATAAAAAGAAAGAAAATTTTTTAACTAGAAAATCTTATAAACAGCAAGAAGTTAGATAATTACAAGAAGATGAAACTAAAGCTAAATAAAATCTTGAAAATGCCTTAATGAACTCAAGTGGTGGTTCAGATAAATAAGTAGATGCTGAATTAACTAAAAGAAGAATAAAAGAACTCGAAGAAGACATCTTGAAGCTCAAGGAAAATAAAAATGTAATCATAAATAAATCAATAAAAAATATATTCTCTTAATAAAAATATTTTCTAAATTATTTCTATCTTATTATCAATAAATAAATAAATGAATTTTTAAATAAATAAACAAAGAACTTGGAAGTTGAATTTTAAGAAAAAATAGATAAGACCATGAATAAGATTTCTGAATAAAAGACCATAATTTCTGAAATTTATATTAAATTCACAACATATGTCAAGGATAGAAAAAGTAAATTATTAATTAATTAAAACTATTTTTTTATTGAATTAATTGATTTATTTATTTTTAATATTTATTAGATATTGAAGAAAAAATCTTAACTGACTTGAACAGATGTAGATTACATAGATATATGATGGAAGTCATTTAAAAGGGAGCTAATGAAGAACATGAAAATATTGCTACCACTTTAAAAAATCTCAAGAATATAAAATACGCTATTTTTGAATTATTAGAAGAAATGGTACCTGAAGAAGACGATGATGAAAATTAAGAAAGCACAGAACAAAATAACTAATAAGAATAGATATCAACAAATTAATGATTTATTTATTTATTTTTGATCAATAATTCATTAACAATAAAAATACTACCAATAAATAAATAATAATTACCAATTATTTTTCCTAATGATTTATTAAGTCAATTTACTTAGCAGGTGATAGAAGTTAGTTTTTCAATTTATATTACTTTGCTAAATGAATAAATAAATAAAACAAAATATTTCTTTTATTGTATTTTATATTTCATGCATGTAAACTATTAAATTTTGATATTTTTCTTATTGTTTTAAGCAATTCAAAGTTAAGTCATGAAGTTAATTTGTTAATGAATAAGCAAAATTATAATTATTCAATTAGTTAGTTATAATTCATATTCTCTGATTAATAAGGTTATAATATTTTCTTTATTCTTTTAATCATATTATTCCCTTCTAATAAATAAATAAGATAAAAATAATCGTTTAATTTTATTTTATATATATTCAATAATGCTAATTCAATTTATCATATTATTTTTTTTATTTTTTTAGTATCAAAAATTTCATTTTTCCAAAATTATAGAAAATTGAAAAAAATATTTTGAATTGGAGAGATATTTTATTTACTAAATGTATGTGAAAATTTAGTTAAAAAAGCAAAATTTATTGAATTAAAGGTGAATTATTTAATATAATAAACAATAAAAACTGAAATAATTTTAAAGAAAAAAAACGCTATTTATTAAAATGAATGATAAAAAATTAATTACTGAAAAAAATATTATTTAGCATTAAATAAATAGTTCTCACTAGAATTTAAAAATCTAATAATTTTAATGGTTTTATTTATTAAGAAAAAATGGGAGAGTTAATATGTTAGTAATTCATTTTTAATTAAAAAGTATAAATTGGATTAAAACTGGTATTTTAATAGTTTTACTAGTTTATTAATTTGCTTTGTTAAGGTTTTTTAATTTGTAAAAGATATCTTGAAACAGCAAACAAACAAACCAAGCAATCAGTAAATAAATTAAAGGTTCAAAGATAAAATCTAGCTTTGAAGTAAGTAAAAAACAAAGTGAAGAGGTATAATTAATTAGATATAGGATTAAAAAGTCAGGTTATTGCTTAGAATGTCGTCAGTATAGCTTCCAGACGTGAGAATTTTTGCAAATGGTATTTAAAAAAAATAGTATTATTATTACATAAATATAGATAAATCAGAACAAAAACTATTCTAGCATTAAGAATTTAGATAGGAGATTTAATAAGGAGACTCCTAATGGATAAAAGCGACCTTTATATGGAAGTTCAGTTTTTTTAAATACTACAAATAATAATTCAGTAGTATAGAATACTAATAATCCCACCCCAAACAATAATAGTTCTACAACTAACTTGAATACTTTGAATTAGTCAAACTTAAGTTAGTCTTAGGTTTTTGTTGCTTTAAGATCTTTAGATAAATATTATAAGTAACTAAACACATTTCAATTATAAAAATGTTTACAAATATATTTATTCAAAAATATAGAACTAACGATATCCATGATATTCTTGGCCATGAAAAAGACTATTATCCCTAGCTTTCTGAGTCTCATAAAGTAAATAAAGCGATATCTCATTTGAATTATTTAAACTCAAAATACATTAATAGAATGAACAAATAAACTGTTTTATTCTTTAAAATTAATTATTAAAACAATAGAAAAACTAAGAAAAGGAAGTTGATGGAAATTTGAATAGTCTGAAAAAATCATTTAATATTTTAAGAAGTAAATCTGACAAACGCGAGAAAGAAATCTAATCAATGAGAGTATAATCAATTAAATTATTTAAGAATAGCTATAAAAGCTTATATAAATTGCAGCTCTAAACTATATTAATTAAATTGAATTTATTTAAAATGCTAGTCAGATATAGACAAGATGAAAATGCAAGAAAAAACATTGCTTATCCGCACTGACGGCGCAGGAGATGTATTAAATTTTATCTTTTTTTGTGCAAAAAACTCATGAAATTACTGATAAATAAATAATAATAAGTTATTAAATAGCAAAAGAAGTTTTAAATTTTTGTAGCACAAAAAAACTTTTGAGTGCTATTTTTGAAAATTAATAAACAATTATTGTTAATGAAAAAAAAAAAATAACACAAGAGACTTATTTCGTTTTATTCGTATGAAAGGTTTACAATGAATTAGAATAAGAATTTGAAAGTACAAAATCCCTTTAGGAAGAAGCTGAAATGAATAAAAAAACATACGAACATATGCTTGATAGAATGAAAGTAAATAAATAAATGATCTTAAATATTATAGAATTAAAGAAAATTTATTATTTAGAATGATATTATTGCTTACAAACTCAAAGCCCACAGCACAGAAGATACTCTCGAATTAGGAGAATCAGTACTTACTAATGCTGTTTTAAAGTAGTAGTAAATTGTATAAAAAGAAGGCAAAGCTCATTAAGCTTTAGAGCATGTTTTAAAAGTATGAATTTGGTTTGTTATTTTTGTTAAGTTTCAAAGTCAAAAAAAAAAATAATAGGCAAAAGAAGAAGAAAATAAAGACAGAGAAGCTTATTTAGAGAATTTCAAGAAACAATTAATGGAGTAAACTGAGTTAGAAAAGCAAAGAGATGAAAGAATCAAGAGACAATAAGAAATTGCAGAAATAGCTGCAAATGATATTAGAGATCTTAACTTAGTAAAATTAAAATAAAATTAATTCTATTTGATAAATTACTTAACTAAATAGAAAAAATGGAGAAAACTATAGCTTGTCCATCAATTTTTGAGCACTTTTCTTAAGAAGAAAATGGAAAGCGAGATGAAAAAGTATTAAGGCATTGAGTAAGCCTTTTAAAAGATAAAGGCTTCCACTGTAACAAACATTTAGTTTATTTTTTCAACTAAAAAGTTAATATTTTTGAATTGATAAAAGGGAGTGAACGATGCTGGAGAAATAGTTCATAAATTCTTAAATAGAGAACACACATATAGTCATTTACTCATTTCTATATCTGACTACGAAAAAAGAATTGATACTTTAAAAAAGAAGAATGATGAGCTAAAATCCTAATTGCATAGTTTAAAGCAAGAAATATTCCCTATTGAAAAATTAGAAATAAAATAAGACAAGTTGTAAATTGATGAAATATACCAAAAATACAAAGACACCAGCGACAAATCAGATAACTGTCATTTAATCGAATCTAGAGTTTACGATTGGATGATTCGTACCTTAATGAAATTAGAAAGAGTAAAATTTTACTTTTCTTCAATATTTTGTTTGAAAAAGTTTTACAAAAAATTAATTTATTTATTTATTTATTTATTTTGAAAAACATGTTTGTTTATAAAAATTAACTAGGTATTATTTATTTATTTATTTATTTATTTATTTATTTACATTTCATTAAAAAATAATAAATATTTTTTATAGTGTATAGGTATAGAAAAGAATAAAGAACAATACTATTAAGATTATAAGAAAAGTAATCTTCCTGACTTGCTTCTTAGAATCACTTCTATATTAAGAGAAAATCTTGTTTCTTTGGATAACTCTGAGGTATATTATAAAGACTTTAATAGCTAATTATGTCTTATAAAAACTTAAACCAATTTTTAAATTAGGAAGCATAAAATGTTTTAAAGGCTACACTGGCTCAAAAAATTAATGGTGATATAGAACTTATGCGCAGAGTAAATAGAGTAAAGCCAATCGTAGACACAAGCTAAATTCAAAGAAGTCCATCAAGAGATTCATTTGATAAACCATCAGCAAGAGAATCAACAGAGCATCTTTCGCATCATTCGGAAGTAGAATTAAATAATAGTGATGTCGATAGCGGTATAAAATTTAATTAAATGATTTATTTGATATTAAAGTAAAAGGATAGATAGATTAATAAATAAATAGCATTCATATATATTTAGAAAGAACTTTTTTTAAAAACTATTAAAATCTTTTGCAAATAAATTATTTTAATAAAACAAAATTAGTAGACTTAGAAAAGTAAGAGTTTGATTATGTCAATTAGTTAATAAAAGAAACAAAGCATGATTTAAAACGTGGATTTGCATATAAAAATACTCCATAAAAAGCTTGAATCTAATATTGAAAGGAAACACAATAATTAAAAACTTGTTTATTTATGTTTTTCTTTTACCTTTAAAAATTCATAGTAAATAGAATTATTGATCTAATTTTTCTATCTATTACATCTATATCTAAATTTATTTAGGTAAATATTTTTCTTCAAAAGCTAAAGTAACCAATCGGTTCTAATTTGATAAAAAACTACTTAGCTGGATTAAAAAGTATTAAACTATGTAACTTAATTCAATAACATAGATTTTATAAAAAGTTAAAATTTCGTTTTGCTAGTATTAAAAATAAGATACTTACTACCAAAAATTAATGTGAACAGATATTTAACAAAATTGTTACTCCAACTCGAAATCTATTTAAATTCCGTGTAGTTATTCGAATTTGGAGGTAAGAAAGAGCTAAAAATAAAAGTATTCGAATTCAATAATTTTTAATCAAGATATAAAAATACTTGAAAGAATTTTTGATGAAAAATACTGAAATTTTTGTTGTAATTAAAAAAAATTCTTTTTTTGTTGTTGCTTTTTTGATTGTTATTACTAAGTAGTATTACGTGATAGCCCATGGTAATAGTTAATTGTATTGTTATATTAACTTAACTGAAGAATTGTTTACAAGTACTATAAAAAAGATTTGTTACATTTAAGCTTAGACGCTTTAAATTCATTTTAACTCTAATCATAAATTTATTGAAGTTTTGAGATTTTGTTATTTTAAGTCTATTTAACAATCACTCAAAATACTTTCAAAATTAATTCAAATAATTATTTAATTGCTTTCATTTAATTTTATAAAAAATAAATAATATTAGTGAAAATGCTTTTTTTAAAAATAAATTATGTGGTATTTATTTTCAAAATGTTTAAATTGTTAAAATAAAATAAATTTTATTTAATTATTTATCTATAAAGCAGATCTTTTGTTTTTTTTAAATGAAATAATACTTTTTTTTTAGTAAAGAATAGCATATACTAATTTAAGGTCTACTTATTAATATTTTTTTGTATCAAAAACTTTTAAATGAATTTACTGGAATGTTTGACCTAATAAGGATTACACTCATAGTTTTATTCTATTAAAAAATAATAGTGTTTGAATATTTTAATAAATTAGTAGTCCATTACTTTTTTTAAAAATAATAAATTCGATAATTTATCAGTCAGTCAGTTTGTGATCAAATATTATGTAATAAATATTTTTTTTGTTTATTTTACTGAGTTTATTTTTTGATAGATCAATAATTCAAAGATAATATATTTTTTTTAGTATTTAACTTCATATATAGAGATTATAAGTAATTTATCGTATGGAATATTAGAACTCTATTGAAAAATATGTATTCGCGTTTTAATTATTTGTAAGATTAATATTCATGTCTCTAATCAGCCAAGCAAATTAAAGTTTTTCTGTTGACAAAGATCTTTTCCAATAATTTGGCCATCAAAAACTTACTTACATAAGGTCAAATAAAAATTAATTGTAATGTTTTTCAAAATGCAAATTTTGTTTTGAAATAATGGTTGATAGCTACTTACTTAAAGTGCATTTTTATAATATCAAAAGAAGTTGTAATCTTATTTTTGAATGTGCAAAAATAATAGCCATAAAAAATAAGAATTTACATAGAATATTTCTAGATGTTTTTATTTATCTGACGATTGTTCTAATTTAAGGACTATCTATGTATGGAAAGGAAAATTAATTCCAAATGGCTTAGTAATCAACCAAATAATTTCCCAATAATAATAATGACATCTTACTCAATTATTTATAATAAATTAAATAGTAATAGGACATCTTAAATTAAATACGTTGATCGAAACTTTTTTAATAATTAAAAAAATAAAAAATTCAATCATCCATCAAAAAAATAAAATTAGTTAATATTTATTTTGAATATTTAATCAAAAATGCAAGATTTAGAATAAAAGCTATAATAAATTAGAAAACTTTAGTTTAATTTCAAAGTAGAAGAATGCAAAAGCCTATGTTTAGAGCTTCTCTAAACTTCAAAAGAAAGTTTACCAGAGCTGAAAACTATTTGCGGCTTTTGTGAGTAGTTTTCTGATCCCAAAAAATCAATTAATACTTTATATAGTGTCTATGAAGACTCTCCTTTTTACTTTAAAAACAACACTTATCTTCTACATGTATTAGACCAATAGTCGTGTGAAAAAGCAAAGAAATTTGCAAGCTAATTAATCAATTCATATGAGAAGCTTGGCGAATAAACAGATATTTATTATTTCCTTTCATTTTCTATGGCTTAAAAGACTATTGATCCTGAGAACCACCTAGGCACTAAATAAATCCTTTTGAATGGCTATACATAACAAGGAAGTATAAAAAAAAATATTGAAGATTAAGAAAAGTCCTTCTAAAAAATACTATGCTCACTGCAAAAAGAGGAATAAGCTTGGGTATATCACCAAATAGGTAAAGAGATTCTTTACAAATTTTTTTTGGATTAAGAAGACTAAGACATTTTCAATGAATGTGCTACTATTCTCAAAAATTGTCTCTAGGTATAGCCTAATAATACTCTTGCTATGTAACTACTAGCGATGTTGTATGTTCAAAATGAGCAAAACAAGACTGAAAACCTGCTAAGAGCATTAGAAATATATAACAAAGCTTTAAAAATTAATTCAAACGACTAACAGATGAAAGTCTATTTATGTGAAGTTTTAATTGAGCTAGATTAATTTGAAGAATGTGATGACATTTTGGAAGGAATTGTAAGCTAAAAATAAACACCTTTTTTGTTCAACAAATATTTGCAATACGTTTCTTTCTCATATCAGTATAGATTCAAAGACTAAAATATCGATTTTGAGAATTTGTTTCGTCTTCTGATGCAAACCATAGAATATGATGGAGAGGATTATTACAACTTTGATTCTTTTTATTTATTGGTTTATCTTGTTTAGCTTTCTAAATCTTTCATAAAGCAAAAGGAGTAAATAGAAAAAGCTTTGGAATACCTTTCAATGAATGATCCTAAAATCTAGTCTAAACTTAAGCAATTAGTAGGTTTTGAGCCACAATTATAAGAATTTCTAAATGTATTTACTAAAAAAATACAAGAGAGTATTTAACAAATTTACACTTTAGCAGCTTATCAAAAGGAGATAGAGCCTTAAATTACTTATATGAGCAGAATTTCACATTGGGACAATTATTTTAATTGAAAAAAAAAAATAATAATAAAAATAAAATTTTGCGAAAAACAAAAGTCAAAAAAAAAAACACTTATAATCAATTTTTAATTTAAAAAGATTTAAAAGAATATAAAAGATTAATTAATTTTAAATAAAATTATTGATCCTAATTCAAATAAAAAATATAATATTAAAAATTATACTTTAATAATAGTTTATTCTGAAATAAAAACATTAAATAAATAAATATTTATAGTATTGCTTATTTTATAAACATCTTACTAATATCTTACTAAAGTATTTAATTAATTATTAAATGTTTTCTAATTTTTTACATTTTAATTAGTTTTTTAGAAGTAAATATAATTCCTCAATTTTAAGACATTCTATTCTATTTATAAATATTTTTCAAATAAATCTGTTAAAAATTTAATAGATTTTCATTTATTGTCTGTCCTTGCTTTTTGCTATTAGTCGAGGATTTACGGTAAAATAATTTTAATAGCCTTTAATATAAAATTTTCAATATTAAAATATTATTTAATTCCTCTTTTTTTTAGAATTTTAAATTAACAAAGCGCTTTTATTATGCTTTATTAATTGATGATTTTACTTATCTTTTATTATATTGTTATATAGATTATAAATTTATTTACTAATTTAATTTTTTATTTATAAAAATATTTTTTTAAAATGATTATTAAATTAATTAAATAATTTAAGTTAATTTATTTTTAAATTTAACTTTTCTTTCATTTTTTACTTCTAATATTTTATAAAAAAAATAACTCCCCCACCGGGACTTGAACCCGGGTCTCAAGGGTGAGAACCTTGTATCCTAACCAGCTAGACTATGAGGGATTTATGCTTAATAACTCACAGAAGAGCAAATAGGTTAAAGCGAAAAAATTTGATTGATGTTTTTTAATTTTAAGTATTTAAAATTATAAATTGATATTTGGCCATTTAATTTTAAAATACTTAGATTTTGAATGCTATTTATTTAGATTAATAAATTTAAAAAAATAAAAATTCAAAGATTTTATTTAAATGAAAAAAGAGTATTATTAAGAAAGCAAAAAGTTGATACATAAATAAATCCGATTTGCTATGAAAAATTATTTTTTATTACTTAAATTTTTATATAAATTTTAAACGATTGATAAAAAAGCTGTTTTAAATTGAAAGGTGAATTTAAATATCAATTGATTGTTTTTAGAATTAATAATAGCGGTCTCAGACAAACAAGATTTGCCTTGTTATGCAAATGATTTAGAAGTTTGAAGTGTTTTTTATAATTTTGAAATTGAAAAGATTCACTCTAAGAATATTGATTGAATTTTTCATTTATATTTATATGAATGAAATCTATTATGGCATATCAAAAGAAACAAAAAAAATATAAATTCAAGATTAAAATGAAGAAATTTAAATTTTGATCTTCATTTTGAATAAATAAAGACTCAAATAAGCAAACAAACAAAAAGGCAAATGAATAGATAAATGAATGAAAAGAAAAGGAGAGATATTTGTTAAACAGTATTTAAAATACAATAAATTCAAAATACAATATAAAGAATTGAATAGATATAGTGTATAGTTCATAATCAATCAATATTAATAAATAAATTAACAAAAACAACTCAAAAGTTAACAAATTAAAAAATTAATTATATATTATCTACATACAATTCCATTCATACATACATAAATAATTGATTGAATACAAAAAAGAAAAAGAAGAGGCGAGTTTTAGTAAATAAATATAATTTATAGATAGGTTCATTTATAGCAGTTAGTCTTTATTTACTTTTACTTTCAATTAGTACTGACATATTTCAGCAAAATAAATTAATCAATAAATTAAATGATGATTGACAGCAGCTCTTCTTCGAGCAAATCTAAACTTGAATTAAAATTGATTGGTCCATAATCTTCTCGTAATTAATTACGTCAATCAAATAATATGACTAATGGAAATTTATCTACTAATAGCCAAATGGGCTTTAATACTACTTGCAATACAGCACGTAACTAATAAAATGTAACTCCAAAGCGCTAAAATAGCAATCATAATGGGAATAGTGTAAACTAGGCATCTAATTTTAATATAAATTAGAATAATATGAATGCTTGCAATACTGCAAGCAGTAATTATAGCAGCTTATTGAATGGTACTCCAAGCTCTCTAAATACTCAAATGAACAATCGTATGTAAGGAAACAGTTACTTAAATAAGACAAGCAACAATGGTAGCTCAGTTAGTAAGCTTAGTAATTAGAATTTTTCTAAAAAGAGTGGATCTGGACTTGGCTCTAATTTAGGCTCTACGAAAAGCTATTAAAATAATCAAAACCATCATTCAGGAAGCATTGTGGGAAATTATACTGGTTCTAGCTTAAATCAGAACCAAGGAAGTACATTTAGTAAAGAAAAAATGAATACTGTTATGAAAAATAATATGAGTAAATAAAAAACAAATTCAAATATGCATATGACTCACAAAAACTAAATACTTTAGCAGTATTAAGCTAGTTAATAGCAATTTATATAGTAGCAGCTATAATAGCTCAGCTATGCAAACAATCAGCAATCACACTCTTAACTTAACTAACTGATGGATTAATCTCCTAATTAGACATATCATTTGTCTCCTTCTACATCATAATAGCAGATAAATACCAATGAAAATACCAAAGTAAAAAGCTCATATCTTTCATCTAAGCCTACAAGCCCACATTCCTACTTAGGAAATTCAGATACCTAGGGTAATTCTAAAAGTAAACAAATCATTTATTTAAGTTTAATTATCTCTTTTGTGTTAAACTACTTATAAGTAACGTTAAATATCCTATAAAACTAGATTTCCAAAAGTTTTCTCAGCCAAGCAACATTAAAGAATCAGGTTATTTCAGCAATCCGTTTGGTCAGAGTTTGTCAAGCACAAATAACTCTAAATCAAATAAGTAAGGATATATAAATAAATATTTAGATTAGTATAAATGTAAAGGAACATTTGGAATCTAATAAGCATTTTTAAATTGAATTTAGATTTATTGATTGAATTAATGAATGTCTTTGTGCATCATAAATTTCTTTAACATATTTTTTTTAAATAACCAATTTAAATTATTAATTTATTGGTTATCAAAATTCAAGTTAAAATTTAGGTACTTTGTAATTAATTTTCATTTAAAAACGATAGAAAATGAGTAGTGCTCTTTTTAATAAATAAGAAATTATAATTAATTATTTCTATGGTTGATTTGTGATAAAGGAGATTTTTTCTAAACTTAAAAATCATAAATCATGCAATGAATATTAATTTATTTAGCTGTTTATTTTCTATCGAAACAAGAATAATTTCATTTCTGAAAGACTTTTAAATAAAGCAAAAAACACAAAATATTATAAGAAAGTATTATAATGTTAAGATAATAGCAGCTGCTTAATTATAATTAGTAAATATATTTTTGAATACTGGCTGATTGAGTGATTGATTTAAAAAAGAGAAAGAAGATTCGTTTTCACTTCGGGAAAGAATTTGAAATAAGTATAACTCTCTATAAATTTAAATCTTTAGTTGTTTCTCACACTCGCTCCTTATAGATTAACAAATAAAAAATCAATAAATAAATCAGTCTCTTACCCAAACAAAAAAGATTAAATTTTTTGATAAAAAGAAAGCAACTTAAATAAAACTAATCTAAAAAATGATATAAATATTCATTGAATTTAAAAATAATTAAGAGAATTAAAATTAAATTTATTAGAATGACTTTTAATCTTTAATTTTAAGGATTTTTAAAATTAATAAAAAATATCTTTGAATTTTATTTTTCTGGCTTTTTATTTTATTATTCATAAATTTTTATTTCTCATAGAAAATCGAACAATCTACTCTAATTTTTTAAAAATTTTCCATGCTAATTAAACAAAATTCCTTTTAAAAATTAAATTGATTCTTAATTATGGTTGTATTTTTATAAATATGAAGGTGTATGACTCCTATAAATGAGAAAAGCAGTAAGAGTCAAAATAGCTATTTAAAGAAGTCATAACTCATCGTTACTTCAAAGAATCAAAACAGCTCCAACATGCTGAATACTTCAACAAACAACAGTAATACTTCATTTTTGAAATAGAGCCATTCTCGTTCACCTTTGAGCTCTAATCATATTGAAAAAGAAAATAACTATCTTAGCCACTTTGATTCCTCTAGCTTGTATATCAATGAAAAATCAAAAAGAATGTCTTAAGCGTAGCAGTAAAGCTAGTCATAATCTCATTTACAATAATCCCCATTTTCTTACTTATCTTCAGGCCATGCTTCCTCTATAAACAACCAAGGAAATACTCAAAATACCTCCCACTTGAATAACTTATCAGGTATGAGCAAATCTAAGTCAAGCAAAAGTCCAAAGTAATCTAATTCTCTTTAAATGGTAACTTAATCTCTAGAAACTCCTGCTGGAAACTTTTTTTCTTCTCATTTGAGTAGAAAAAAGAATCTCAGCACTGTTAACTACAACAGCTTTACATAAAATATAGAAAAATAATCTTCTTCTTCGTCTTCCTAATAGAATTAATAGTAATCATATACTATGAGCACCCAACACAACTTTGATTCATCTCCAATCAGCAATACCAGAAGAATGAATTAATTCAACAAAAACGAAAGCTCTGAAATGCTTCAATCTAATGGCTAAAATTCCTTCTTGCTTTCATCTAATTTAAAAGATAATAATTAAGAACTTATTTAAAACAAGACTCATGATTATGGTTCATATAATAACAATAAAAACAGTGGATTTTTAAGCCATTATCCTAATAGCAGCAGATTCGATTAATATCGTAGTGTTGATGGCTGCTCTGAAGGATAAAATAACAGGAATTTCTTCCCAAAGACATATTTAAATATTGAAACCAAAGATTCTTATGTAAGCTTGAAAAAGAAGAACATCACTATGGGTGGAGAGATGCTTAACGGAATAGGATAAAATAAATCAAGTAACGGAATATTAACAACCGATAATAACTTTATTACACTAAATGAGCAAGAGCTTAGTTTCTAAAACGATTAAGAAGATAACATCATGATGATGATTAACTAATAAAATCATAACTAAACTAACATTTAGCCTGGCAATAGCTACTGCTATGGCTACTACAATGAAGATGAAAGTAATTTCTTAAATAGCACAAACTTCCTTAACTTAACAAATCTCCAAATAAACACATAAAACAACACGATGATAGCTATGAGCAATAATTACAATAATAATAATAAAGATGTCAATAACTATCCAAATAAAAACTCATCTACAAACGGTAGTTAAGTACTTCAACAAAATTACAATGGCACCAACACTAATAATAACATTTACTAACAATATAATATGGGTAATAATAACAACAATGATAATATTGGTAATGCTAACTTATCAATGTAGTAAAATAACTTAAGTAATACTTTGAATTGGACTAATAGTACTAACTTATTTAATAACTCAGTGTGTGCTGGTAGTATGTTGAATACAACTATAAATAACATCCTTTAAAATATGAATTCAACCCAATCAACTAACAACACCTTAAGCGGCAATCCTAATTTTTTAAATTCTAATAACCCAAACAGTAATGCTAAGGCTGCACCAAATATTTATAGCAGCTTGTCTTAGTAGAATTCAAATACTAATCCAACAAACACTAATGCTAATAACACTCCTACAAACACTAACAACAATAACTAAGGAAATAGCTTTTCATAAGCAGTTATAAATAATATATCTATTCCTGCAAATGGTCAGACTGACAAGCTTCCACTTGACACAACACCAAAATAAGTTTCGTTATTCCCTGAGCCAATCCCGAATAAAAACTAATGCAGCAGCTTAAAGAGCATTCTATATGATTACGTAATGCCAACAATAAAACCTATAACTCGCCAGTTTAAGTTACTGAGTAGCCATCAACAAAACAATTCTCAGAGCAACTTTTAGCAAAGCATAAACTTAAATACAAATAATATCTTTGGAAATGAAAGTCTTAGCAACTAAAATAAGTAATAAATTTTAAGTTCTCTTAATAAATAGCTAAGCAGCAAAAATTTAAGCAACAATGCTTCAGCAGCAAATCTAAATTCAAGTAGCAATAATATCAATAACACAAGCAGTATTGTTGAGAACAATAACTGTTTAGTTAATAGCAGCTGCAACATGAATAATTTTAATAATTTTAAGAATCCCTTTAACTTTGATGATTAAAAGAGTGAAAATTACTCTTGCTCTCAAGGTTTCCCAAGCAGCAACTTCTTAGATTTAAAAGAATAGCAGCAAACTCAACAAAGTCAATAACAAATTTATTAATAACTAGGAGAGTCTCAAAATAGCAACTAGGCAACTCCTATTAAAATACATTTAAAAGTAGATAGCCAATCAGTAAACTCATTCAATAAGAACAATCTATTTTCTTAAAATCAGGGAACACCTGCAATGAAATCTCCTTCTAACAAAGATGATAATATTTATTACCAAAACTAAGGTACTCCATAAATGAAATCACCAACAAACAAATAAGAAATCAGTTCCTCGAATCATTAACTCACCCCATCTTCTTAGGGTAATGGTGGAAAATTAACTTTTTGTAATAATCCTACAATTATCATTTCTTCTGAGAAAGATTAACTTACAATGTAGTAATACAATTTCTCTTTCTCCAACTGTGTAAACTAACAAAAAAAAATACAATAGTAATAACAATAAGCTTAAGAATAGTAAGAATAAAAATAATAGAGTCAAAATACTCTTCATCCTAATTAAATCTTTTCTTCTCCTTAAAAGAATTTAAAGAAAGATGATGAGAAAAAGAAAGGAAGCAGTTAGAAAAAAGGCAATTTATTAATAAATCAAGAGCACAGACTCGTAGAATCCTCTAAGCAAGAATACTCAACCTCCCCTGAAAAACCTGTGATTAATATTCTTCTGTCTCAATAAATCACTGTTGTTGATGGAATATCATAAGTCTCATCTCAAATGTTCAACATTGAATAACCAGATCCCTTTGTGGACTAAAGCCTTATATAAAATTTTTGGTCGATCGATTCGTTCTAAATTGGAAAATGTTTAGGTAGAGGAAGATTTGGTAATGTCTACTTAAGCAGGTAAATAAATCAATTTTTTATTTTAAATTATTTATTTGAAAATCAAAGAAGAGTTTAACAATAAAATTTATTTGTATAAAAATTAGACATAAGCTTACAAATATGCTCTTTGCAATTAAGCAAATAAGCAAGAAGAATTTGATAGAAAGCTGCATGGAAAAATAACTCCAACAAGAAATTAAAATTTAGACTTATTTAAATCACCCAAATGTTTTGAAAATGCACGGCTTCTTCGATGATAGTTAAAAAATATATCTAATTCTTGAGCTTGCTTCTCATGGAGATATTTATAAAGAAATAAAAAGAGAGGTAGATATTTTAGAATATTGAATCAAAGTTCTAATATATTTTTTAAATTAGGCAAACAAGAAATTTACCGAAGAAAAGGCAGCAAATTATATTAGACAAGTGTGTGAAGGATTAATTTATTTACATAGTTAAGGTATCATACATAGAGATATAAAACCTGAAAATATATTGAATAGCTACGGAGTCCTTAAATTAAGTGATTTTGGCTGGTCAATCTATACAGAAGAAAAAAGAATGACTTTTTGTGGTACACTCGATTACGTATCTCCAGAAGTTGTTTCAGGAAAAGACTATGACTTCAAGGTAGATATTTGGAGCATTGGAGTACTAACATATGAATTAATCACTGGTAAAGAATCACTTTTATTTTTGTGTTTGTATTGTTTAATTTTTTATAATTAATTAATTTAAGGTAAACCACCATTTGAGAACAGACAAAACCATAATGAAGCCTACTAAAAGATTTTAATGGTAACTTAATAAATAAATTTTATATCAACTAAAATATTTTAATAAATAGGTTAAGTATGATTTTCCTAACTACATTAGCAAAGAAGCCAAAGATTTTATGAGTAAACTGCTGGTTGGAGACCCGAATAAGAGAATATCTTTAGAAACTGCTTTAAACCATGAATGGATCTTAAAAAATACTAGAAACTGCTTAGCTGACTGGGATCCTAAAGTGAGTGAAGCTTGTTTATGTTTACTTAAATGAAAATTCATTTTTTTTTAAATTTCTTTTTCTATTTAAATAAAGATAATCTTTATATGACTGTATTTTGATAGAAAGCTCAACAATTAATTAATTGTTTAAAATGAATGACATGCAGGCAGGCAGCTAGTTGATTTAAAAAATAGTTAAAATCTATCTGAAAATATATATAATAAACTATATACAATTTTTAATATATCAAATAACTAAATTATAACTTATTGTTTTAATGTTTTCCTTTATTTTTAATTTATATTTTCATCTTTGTTTTTCTGATAGAATTGACTTATAATTTCATTCATTCCTTTTTCTAAATAAATTAAAACATAAACGGATCATACTTTCTAAATTTAAATAATAGCTCTTCATGGTTTAATAGTAAACTAAAATAAAATACTTTATTTGATGCTTTTAAAAAAATAATCAAGTCAGTTAAAATATGTAATAAATATATTTTGTTTTGAGAGTGTTAAAGTTTTTAACAAAAATAATAATTTATTATTAAATTTTTTATTTAAATAATTAGGTTCAGTATAAATGGTTTGACACTTTAATAAAAGAATTGATGGATACTCTAAATTTGACTATTTTACTAACAATTACTGCAATTATTAAATATCAATTAAGTTTATTAGTTAATTAATTGATTGATTGATTCACTTATTTTACTTTTCAAACTGATAACAAATCAGAAAAATATTAAGTAAGTAATTATAGTAAAATAGCGTAATTCTAGTTAAGAAAGGTTACAGTAAATTAATATGGGTACTTCATCAAGTTAAAATATTTGTGGTGCTGATTCATTTTAAGATGTATATGAAAGGAATTAAACAGAAACTTACCTCCCTTCTAATTTCTATCCTTATCATATTAATCATTTGCAAAATTCAGAGTATCATCCTCGCACTTATCGTTAGTTAGAAACAGAATATGATGATTATAATTAAATTACAAGGGAATAGCTTTAAAGATCGAGATCACCTGTACCTTTGAGAAAAGAAGGTCATTAATTTGCTTACCAAACTTACTCTTTAAATAGCAACATCAGTTCAAGCTCAAATAAAAAATAAACGACAGAAAATAATCTTGATAAAACTATGAATTACAATTACACTGCAACAACTAAAGAGCCACTCTCTCCTTTAAACACAAATTCTATGAAACACACTTACACTTCTCCATTTTAGTACTAGTCGAATTCTAAGTTGCAATAAGTGATGACGTAAAAATAAAATGTAAATGATACAGAAGAGATGAAAGAATAATAGAGGCAATTTGCAGAACGTGTTAAGAGATTATCAGAAATAATAAACTTCGCACCAGTTTTAAGATTAACTGTCATAGCATCAGCTAATTTAAAAAAAGATCTTTATTTAACAATAAATGCTTAAGGATTATTGAATGGACTGAGAAATGAAAAAGACGGATATGTGTTTTTTGGTTGTAAGAAAAAGGCAAAGAAAATATCAAAAGATACAAAATAAGCCTTAGTTATAAATGATTTTATAATACCTCCTACTGATCCAGTCCAAGCAAAGCAATAAAGAGGCCGACACTTCCAAATAAAATATGATATTAAAAACAATTTCTACTCCATAGTTGACTTAGGAGTAGGATTTGGCGTTTTTAAAAAGGCAACTATTCCTCATATATTACGCAATCAAGATCTAATTAACTTTGGACTTACACTATGCACTATAAAATTTATTACTAGAGAAAATCCAAATAAAAGTTTCTCATAGAAATATTTCTAAAACAAAGAAGAGATCATTTTAAAGGCTTAATTTTATGGAGGCTATTCTAATGGAGAGGTTTATGAATTAGATCCAAAAGAATACTAAGAAGTCACTTTAGGTAGATCTGAAAAGTGTTCTTTGTGCTTTAAAGATAAATTAATATCTAAAGTTTAATGTTTAATATAATTCAATCCAAATATTGGATGGATTCTTAAAGATGGCGATGGGTCTCTTCCCTCTACAAACGGTACATGGATATATTTGTAAAAAGAAGAGTAAATTGTAGATGGGATGATTATAAAAGCCAATCAAACTATGTTTTAAGCTTCTATTCACTGATAGATCGATCGATCGATTGATGGGAAGGATGGATGGATACTTAAGGTCTTAATTTCTTAGCAATATTCTAACAATTATTTTATAAAAAATAGAAAATTAATATATAAAAATCTTTTAAATGTAATAAAACCTATATAATAAAAATACTTACATTATTTCCTTTCGGTTTAAGTAGTTTAATGGTAAATTATAACATTCTTATTATATTCAATATTCGTTGAAATCAATTATCTATGCATGTTTACGTTTTAGTTATAAAAATAATATTATATTTTAAATCTTTTCAAAAATAAAATTATTTATTAATAAACATTTTTTCAATAATTTAATTAAAAACTTGATATTTATTAATATAAATAATTTTAACTTAACTATTTTTGATACTTATGTGAAATTATAATTTATATCTAAAATAAATGAATTTTTGAGATATTAATTTATTTTTATAAAAAGATTAATTGTTTGTTTAAATAATTTATTAATTAAAAATGTCTATCTTAAAAACTAAGTTACAAGTTTAGGCTCAAGAAAATCTTCTAAAAAAAGAGATATTTTTTAATTTATTTATTTATAAATTGATAAGTTATTACTATTATTGATTAAATAAAATATTTTACTCTAATATCTCAATTTCTGTTTCCTTAAAATTGTCTATATATATTCAGAAAGTAGCTAATAAGAAAAAGAATAAAATCAAATTTGCAATAACCAAAAAAATATAAATTAAAATGATTGAATTTATTTATTGTTATAAATTAATGTTATTAACTGTTTAATCTTTTATAATGTATATGTTGTTAATGTCTATTCCATATTGAAGAATAATTTATTATAAGATATTGAATACAGATAAAACAAGTCAGGAAAATATTTCTTTTTTATCAAAATAATGGTTAATAATAAAAACAAGAAAGCTCTTTTTTCTTTTTATTTTTATTGCGCTTGCTTTTTTTTGTTCTTTCTTTGTTAATTTAATTAGCTCATCCTTTTATTTTCAAATTTTTTACTTTTATTATTAATTAATTAATCTTATTATTTCATCTTTTTTCTTCATTTTTTCCTTCGAATTAACTATTTTATGATATATTTTTTCTTCAATATTTAAAAAGTGATAATTAAATTGGTGACGAAGGTGCATCAGGCTTAGGTTCTGGTTTAGCAAATTGCATTAATCTCTCAAATTTGAAACTTTACCTTAAGTAAAAACAGTTTATTTGTTTTGGATTGTGATATTTTTAATTATAAAAACTAATTAAAAACAAGAAAGCTCTTTTTTCTTTTTATTTTTATTGCGCTTGCTTTTTTTTGTTCTTTCTTTGTTAATTTAATTAGCTCATCCTTTTATTTTCAAATTTTTTACTTTTATTATTAATTAATTAATCTTATTATTTCATCTTTTTTCTTCATTTTTTCCTTCGAATTAACTATTTTATGATATATTTTTTTCAATATTTAAAAAGTATTAATTCAATTTATAACGAAGGTGCATCAGGCTTAGGTTCTGGTTTAGCAAATTGCATTAATCTCTCAAATTTGACACTTGGACTTAGGTAAAAACAATTTATTTGTTTTGGATTGTGATATTTTTAATTATAAAAACTAATTAAAAACAAGAAAGCTCTTTTTTCTTTTTATTTTTATTGCGCTTGCTTTTTTTTGTTCTTTCTTTGTTAATTTAATTAGCTCATCCTTTTATTTTCAAATTTTTTACTTTTATTATTAATTAATTAATCTTATTATTTCATCTTTTTTCTTCATTTTTTCCTTCGAATTAACTATTTTATGATATATTTTTTCTTCAATATTTAAAAAGTTGGAATTATATTGGTGCATCAGGCTTAGGTTCTGGTTTAGCAAATTGCATTAATCTCTCAAATTTGACACTTAACCTTTAGTAAAAACAGTTTATTTGTTTTGGATTGTGATATTTTTAATTATAAAAACTAATTAAAAACAAGAAAGCTCTTTTTTCTTTTTATTTTTATTGCGCTTGCTTTTTTTTGTTCTTTCTTTGTTAATTTAATTAGCTCATCCTTTTATTTTCAAATTTTTTACTTTTATTATTAATTAATTAATCTTATTATTTCATATTTTTTCTTCATTTTTTCCTTCGAATTAACTATTTTATGATATATTTTTTCTTCAATATTTAAAAAGTAAGAATTCAATTGGTGACAAAGGTGCATCAGGCTTAGGTTCTGGTTTAGCAAATTGCATTAATCTCTCAAATTTGACACTTAACCTTGAGTAAAAACAGTTTATTTGTTTTGGATTGTGATATTTTTAATTATAAAAACTAATTAAAAACAAGAAAGCTCTTTTTTCTTTTTATTTTTATTGCGCTTGCTTTTTTTTGTTCTTTCTTTGTTAATTTAATTAGCTCATCCTTTTATTTTCAAATTTTTTACTTTTATTATTAATTAATTAATCTTATTATTTCATCTTTTTTCTTCATTTTTTCCTTCGAATTAACTATTTTATGATATATTTTTTTCAATATTTAAAAAGTTACAATAATATTGGTGACGAAGGTGCATCAGGCTTAGGTTCTGGTTTAGCAAATTGCATTAATCTCTCAAATTTGACACTTGACCTTGTGTAAAAAACAGTTTATTTATTTTGGATTGTG